TTTTCATAACAGTGTGTCAGCTTGACTCATTACCTTTCAAACACCACCGCACAAACCAGAGAGTTCGGGTCTAGTTTTTAGCTAAAGAGGCCTGAAATACATATGCACAGTTAGCACCGGAGAGGTCAACCTGCCAGCTGGGCAGCAACAAACCCTCCACACACAGATGGTGCCCACATATGCAATGTTCATTTTATGATATGTTCATTTTATGATATGATCATTATGCATCGCACTGCTGCCAATTCAGTCAGAAGAACAGGAACATACACACAATAACCTCATACATTTTTTAATTATAATTTTATCAACATTCAAGAGAAAAACACCTGCATGTATTTATATTTATATACAAAATCAGATAAATACAATGATATTGATTGTCTTCCCAGATTGAGTTGCGCCTGCACTCTTTGATGTATATGACAATACTGCCATGGTCAATAGTCTTTTGAAAAATAAAAGGCAAACACTGTGCCTAACTTTTTGGAGGAGTGTATGTGCTAATAAACTGTCTGGGGTCGCATGCACAGCTGCACACCAGCCCAGTTGGTGCAGGAAGAGGACATTTCCACTGCTCTGATGAGGTGCTGGAAATAGCAGCGCCTCTGAGCGTTATGGCAGCCCCAGCAGACCCTTGTCCGCAGGCACTTAAAAGATACTTCCCTTTTCTATGATATCTTTCCAGAAGAAATATAAACAAACTCAATAAGAAAACAACATTATTAAGACATAAAAGACTGTAGGACAGGGTAAGTACACATGAAGCTCTGGCATGTTGTTTTTAAGGAGACCCTAACCACGCATACTGTCCAAACTAAGGGCCGCGGGACAATTGTCCGGGCCACAATTTAATGTGGCCCACTGCTTTGCTAACCCAAACTAGTCTTTGAGATCATAAACACACGTTGACAGTGTCATCCAGCCAACCTCAGCCAAGGCATGCCTTTTTGTAAAGCTGAGGACCTTTTTATTCGCATGTACTGACATTTGTTTTGGATTGTGTCAGAAAATGTCCTCTACGGTGCTAATGTAGCTGGTGAGATGGTCAGGTCTGCCATAGCTAAGTTTAAGTAAGTAAGTAAGTAAGTAAGTAATCATTATTTATATGCCGCCTTTCACAGACCAGAGTCACAAAGTGGTCTACAATTGTGGGCATTTGTCCCCCACTCCACACAGATAGCGGGGTCGCCAGTACAGGAGGCGCATGCCAGACCTATTGTATATGTTTTTAGTGGTAGGGGAACCCAGAGCACCCGGAGGAAACCTACACAGACATGAGGAGAACATGCAAACTCCACTCAGAAAGGCCCTGTTCAGACCGGTTTAAAGTTTAAGTTTAAAGCTTAGAGCAGCCTGAATTCAGTCAAAACAGTTTTCAATCCGGGTTGTTGGCCCTTGGACAAGTCTGGTAACGGTTATCATAAAATGTGCATCTAATCACCATGCCGAGGGGGATTTGAAATTGTCTTTGGCGCTTTATTTTTGTTTATATATTTCTGAGACATCAGTAAAAGGCCTCATTCATCATTTCAAGTGCTGATCGGAATGATTTGAAATTCGAGCACTTATTTCTTTTGTCTCATTTTAACCTGGAAGACGACATACAGTAAAGCCAATATAGATAATCCAAATAAAATTCACAAATCTTTTACGGATGGCTGTAAAAAATCTCAGCAAAAGCTCATAAACCCCAGTTCACAATTTCATCCAGCCGACATCAGCTCTGCTAAAGTACACATGCCATATATTATAAACATTAAAACCTCTGGAATTCAAAAGCTCGCGAAAGAGCAAGCAACATTATTCAAGTGACTCAATATTTTTACATTCTACTTCATATACAGTATCTCTAAGAGCCCCACTTAGTATTAGCTTTGAATTTACAAGTGTCTGACAGGGAACTTGACCAACACCAGTGCTGGTTTTGAAGTGGTCAGACATGCCCATCGCGCATCATCCATGACCACAATGCTGTATTTTTGACAATGACAATGTATTTTGAGGAACATGAGTGGGAATCAAATATGTATAACTGTTTTATTAGTCCCCATTCAAATTTTACAGTTGAAAGATCAAGTTTAGTCACTTTTAGTGCAAATAACACAGAATCTGTCTTGTGTAAAAAGGTCTAACATTTTACCAACGTTTGTTCATTACAATTTAGTACATTCTAGGAATCTACTAAAATCCCTACTACAGAATATCCCCGCTGTACAACACTGCTGCCTCCACAACCTGGCTGCGGATAAAGTGGAATAAAAAAAGAACGAAATCCAATTTCTTATTTAACTGTGAAGGACTTAGGAAGATGCACATTTCCAGGTTATGTTCTTATTTTATACACCACTTTATTTTATTTTAAACCAGAGTATATATATACATTTCCCCCAAAGGAAACAGGCCTTGTTCTACAGATGGAAAAAAGTTGTGTATTGTCTGGGGAAATACTAAAACAGAGACTGATGTAGGTCTTTCTTTTAATTCAGAACAAACACAATAATAAGCACTTTGTAAATTTGTAAATCCATCAAAATGTAACACTAACAGCAAAGGAACTGCCTTTGGTTGTTGGGGAATACCTTACAGTCGACCAATGAGCGCATCCCACATTCTATCATTTAATGAAGCACTTTGGGCAGTCTGCACTATTAACTGTAGAGAAATATACGGCTCATCCATTTCCACTGATTTCATGTGATACGTCAAGCTACAACCACATCTAAAGCTTATTATCAGATCAAACTTCCATAGCGATCTGTTAAATGACAATCTGTTAAATGACACTAGAGAGGATAAAAAGTCAGGAATGGGATTAGATCAAGTGACGAGGGGGACGGGGTTAATCCACAACAGCTGAGCCAGTGTCAGGGATTACTTATGGTGAGTAAATGCGATATGGGCCGTTTCTCAAATATGGAGACAAGACAGAGCGTAATTGCATGCAGAACTTGTTCCAGAACGACCTCTTGAAATGTGGGGACTCTTAACAAGATATGTAAGAGTACGTTAACCAGTGGCTGTACCTCAGCTCAAGGCCACGGGCAGCTAATGATGCCCTTTCAAACATACAGCAATTAATATTTTACTACTGAGTGCTTTGAAAGGAACATGCAGATGTGCAATATATCCTGTTTGTTTACCTTTGTAGGTGCAACAGATCAATACAATCAGATTGATACCAAAACTACAAACAAAACTCTAGATCCTGATTTGAGCAAGTATCTATAATAAAACAATTACATTGATGGGACAATAAAGGACGTTTTCTCAGAAGTTAGACCAATTTTTAACTAAAGAACAATTCTAAAACTGTACAGAACCTAAAAGAGTACTATTATTTTGTTATTTGAACCAAAAAATTGTCTTTCAATATTATCACTGTGCTATAAACGGGTGTATGGTGAGTCCAACAATTTGGTGTGAAAATCTTGCTCCACATTGTAGTATTGTGGCTACACTATTAAGCTGTAGTGGACAAAGACATTCTTGATCGCCTATCCATAGATTAGACGTTCAAAAAGTTTTCCAGATGTATGTGTCTGTACCCACAAGACTTCAGTTTCATGCAAAAGACAAAAATGTATGCAAAAAATCACTCAAATATTTAGCAAACAACAACATTTTCAAATTATCAGCAGTGACTGTGAATTTTTACAGCTTGCCCATAGAGACCTTTCTAAATTAGTTCAAATCAAATTGACAAATAATAAAAAGGTTTGTTAACAATCTACTGATTAAACGACTGATCGACAGAAGACTACCAGTCCAAAACACTATCATGTTAGTTTTTTTTTTAAATGAGGATTTTTTTCATGTTTAATGCATACGTTTCCTTTGTTCTTCATCCCAAGCAAGACATACTTTTATTTATTTAACACTGAAGCAGTGGATAACAATATAAAATGGTGGTCAAGAGATATCATTAGAAGCAGCGTGGGCTACTGATTGGCTGACCTTTCTCTCACTCCACAATTACTTAAGGTATACTGCCCAGGTCTCATGTCAATCAAAATGTGTTTGTGTGAAAGACACTGACAGGAACTGAAATCCCTGATGATGATCCTCTTTCCTTTTATAGATTGCACTCATCCATCCATCCATCCATTTTCTACCCTTTAATCCATTTCTGGGTCAGGGGGGTGGCAATCAGAGATGCCACCCAAGTCTCATAGCACCAGCCCCTCACTGACCCTCTGCAGGTGGTGAGTCCACAGGAGGACAGCTGCTCTCTGAGTGTGAGCAGAGCCTTGATCTTTCAGTGGGGGCTTTGGGCAAAGTGGGGTTAAGTGTCTTGTCCAAGGACACAACAACAGCAGTCATCAGTGGGAGTCGGTGGAGAAGGTGTAGAGGTGGTAGAGTGTAGATTGCACTCACAATCTCAAAGTCTATGTGGAACTATGTAGATAGAAGATTGTCCCAGGAATTACAGTAAACTATCCATAAACTAAATAGGACTTGCCTTAGTTCCCTGGATGTTTAAGCTGCCCTACACCACAGCTTTAAACTATTGGCTCTGGAGTGTTGTGATGTCACATGAATCTAACATATCGACAAGTTAAAGCGAGCTGCTACTACCGAGGTACTGGTATGATTGTAAATGTGTTGTATCACATTCCAGATTGCTTTGGCTTGGCTCATAATTTACCACAGTTGCCAAGCATATTACTCTATAATTTCCCAGCAGTCTTTGACAATCAGTGAATAAGCAATCACCATTTATCTTGATGTCTGCCATACACGGAGCAGCAAGCTCAAATGTTTGATGGGCTGGGACAGAAAGCAAAGCGAGGCCAACTGTTTGACAAGGGCAGTTACTATTGAGGTCAGAAGAGGGCTCACCAAGCATAGTTTCACCCAACAAAAACAGATGATTACGGCAAGCTTAAAAAGAGTTCTCACAAGATTAAAGTCGCCACAAGAAAGCTAGAAAAAGAAGAAGAAAGGGGAGAGAGAGCCACACAAAAAGATTATTAGACCGTGTGTTATTTAGGACTCACTTCATCTGTTTGACGATGGTGCTTTTCCCTGACTCTCCAGCTCCTGAGGGGAAAAAGACAAGAAGACAATGTAAACAGGCTGCATGTGTGTTTGTGTGAGTGAGCAAGATGGAGAGGGGGGGGGGGGGGGGGGGGGGGGCGGGGGGGGGTGCTGGGAGAGAGGAAAGAAAGGGAGATTCAGCCTCTTTAAAAGCAAAGTGAATGAGCGCAGCAATGGGGTGAAGATGGGAAAGATGCAGAGAGGGTGGCTGCATCACAGTTTGCTTCTATTTGAGCTGCAGGAGCTGGATTGATTCAGTTTAATAATATAGATTTAAAGCTTACAGGTAATTTCCCACTTGTAATCAATGAATCGATGTTGGGCACTTGTACAGTACCAGCTATTGCTTCCATTTTTCATGCACGGGGCTGCAGTTTGGTGGGGGTTTTCTATTCAGTGGGCCGTGTTAACATGTTAACACGTTTCAGATAATATAGCAGGCCTACAATATAGTACTAATAATCTATATAAAGATATTCAACCAGTTCATTGAGCTTGAGGCTTTAAATATCACACTTAAATTAGCTTGCGTGATTGGCTCAATATATGCGCATTTTACAGTGTAGACAATTTTTTTTTTTTTTTTTTTTTACATGTGTGAGAAACCTGCCTCCTCCTGCTTGTTAATGATGTAACATGGAAGCAGGGTGTGTTAAGGAACCAACATCTATCAGAGGACAATTTCTTAGCCACATTTCAGTGCGCGTCTCTGCTGTAAAATCCTAGTCGTGCCTGATTTTGAAGCAGCCCACCCCCTCCACACACACATACACAGTACACACACACCCACACAGTACATACACACCACACCTATATCATCCACCCGAACCAGGGGCTTGGGTAGAGCCAGGCCCCGCGGTGCAAAAGCGAGCAGACATCTCTTACCCAGTAGCAGCAGTTTGACATCTTTGGCCGCGGTCATCCCGTCCTCTTTCAGGTTTTTCTCGATGGCTTTGCTCCGATCGAGAGCCGCCCTCTCCTCTGCGCTCAGGGTACATCCCATGGTTAGTGAACACAGCTTGATAGCCTTTACGGTACCGTGATCCAGGAGGAAAATTTTCAATCAATCACACTCAACTTGAGCGTTAACGCGAATCTATGGCAGACCCCGCTGTTCTTTCTGTGCGTAATTTCCTCCTGGTGTGCCCGTTATCTCTCGGTGGCACTATGGGCAGCCTCTCGCCCCTACGGTCCGCTAAAGCATTTATATCACTGGGCAAACACTTGATCAGTCGGTCCGTCCGTGTGCCTTCTCGTACTATTCCCGTTACCGTATAGTTCCCCACTCGTCGGTAGTGCGTGTGTTATTGGGCGGTAGTGAGACGCGCTTCTTGCATCGTTTGCTCCCCGGCTACGCGCGGTCCTTCCCTGGGTTCAGCTTCAGCAGCAGCCTAGGTGGTGGTTGTGGTGGTGGTGGTGACGGTGGTAGCTCCGGTCGGGGGTTCGCTCGCCCTGCTCGGTGCTCGTTCAATTGCAACTTGCTGACGTCACGGCGCAGAAAAAGAAAAAAGAAAAAAATGATAAAGTTGAGTCGTGTTGGTGAAAGGTGCTCAGAGGCGCCCCCTGCTGCCGCTGCACGCCCCCTACAGCTTCGTTCGTTTCATTCAGAGGTTCTCCCATGGACCTATAATAAGGGTTCTCCAGTGTTCTCAACTGGAGAGCTACGGAATCGTTCTTCCATCAATCGATATTTATTTGTATGGCAGAATTCTTGTACAAGGCAATTCAAAGTGCTTCACAAGAATTAAACAATTACAGATACAGATAAAAATGCATTAAAAAGCAGATAAAAAGGGAATACAGATGCAGCAATACATCAAGCATCACTTTGAATGTATTGGGTTCAAAACTCTTTTAAAAGGGTGGTGTAAAAATAAATAAATTGTTCAAAACTCTGAAATTGATAGGCATTTCATGATATAGCTTACTACTCCACAATCTGGGGCTCTTAATGAATGTGTTCAGACTACATGTTGACATGCTCTCTTCTTATTAGAAAATTATCTTTTCTTTACTTGTATGAGAGAACCCTGTGAGTCATACCCAGTTCTGTGTGAAAAACTGATCTAATTCGTTTTTTCTGTATCCAAAATGCAAGACTTACATAAACAAAAAAAACAATTCCTCTGAAAATTAGATAAAACTAGAATTGATGGATGGATGGATGCATTTGAAATAAAATGACTTAACTCTAAGACTTCCTTGATTCCAGAGTCTGATGGAGTTAATTTGTTCATGATGTGGGCTTTGTAGTATGGTAAAAAAATCTTTCAATATTGCTTTGTGAAAATACAGTATTTTACATTATTTATATTCTACCCACTTATTTGGATTTGCTTGGCATTGAATGTTGATTGACGTTCCCGAGAGCGTTCCAGCTGAGAATCAGAAAAATAAATCATGTAAACGTTTCATGGATATCTCAATGGTCAAGAAAAATCTCCATACGCAAATTGTAAAGCTAGTGTACTTGACTTTCAAACCACACAACATTGAACTATATGTTTTAAAATCCATCAAACCTCTTTCCTGGCTCTACAACAGTTTGGTTCCATCACATTTCATCTGCATTTTGGGCGTCTGTCACAGTAGATCATCTTTTTCAGACAGAAAAGTGAAAATGAAAAGACACTCACTCAGTTTCTTTTCAAATTAATGTTTTGAGAAAGCAAAATAACGAGCAGCCATCACTGTCAGAGCCAGAGGGCAGTGCTCTGTGTGGGCTTTCAAAAACAACACACCTACTGCTGCTTCCTGACTCCAACAGACACAGTGGAAACTGTGGGCTGAACATAAAAAACATGTCTTTAAATAATATTATCTACCCAAATGTTGTTTATTGAAACAGTGGGTGTACGTACTGTGATGTCTCTTACATTCTCCGTTTTTGGATTAAACCTTTTTGGACTATTAATATAATAATATAAGAGTGCAACACACTTCCTTTAGATATTTTATTTATACTTGGTTCTTTTTATGTACTAAAATTAGAGATTCACTGGTGATGCATCCCTGAAATTTCCCCAATGTGGGTCGAATAAAAGGTCACACCGGGGCAGAATGCAAGTATAGTGTCTTGCACAAGGAAACAATAGCAGTATCAAATTGTGGAAGGTGGAATCACACTTGCACTTATGAAACAATACTCTGAATAATATGGTGTTGGATTTAATTGATATAGTGAAGCAACCGTTTTCCACATAATTTTGTCATGGTGGATTGAAATCAAGTCAGTGCAACAATTATTTTAATTGTTGTTTTAATTGACATAACCAATTGAATCCAACAGAACAGAGAATGAGCAGCCTTCCTTTGTTTTGAATAATCCGACTGAAAGCCTGCACAAACTTATGACAGAGATTTGTGGAAAAGGTTGCTTATTGTCTCTAAACTTTAACAAATTAAATCCAAGACTTTATTCCTTTGAGTGGATGTAGGCTGATGTCAGATGCAGGAGTCAAACCATGGACCTTGGGATGGAGCTGCTAAGAGCTGTTAAAAGCTGTAAAGAGCGCCACGTGTGCAGCTCGTAGCAGCAGTGCGGGACATCCAGCTGCTGTCATTTAGCCGTGACACACACAGCGCTCACCACTTCTCCAAAACACATTTCCACACACATGCTGAAACTCCGCAAAAGGTTTAGAGCATGTGTTTACCCGAGGACTCCTTTACAAGCCACAGACAAGGGGGTTTGTAACGGACTTTGTAAACATTTGAAACGTTATAACGATCAGGATTTTGAGATTTAAATAAACTTAATAGAATGTGTGAATGCTTATTTATAGTAATAATAATGCATTGGTTTTTAAAGAAGGGGCAACAGTGGCTCAGTTGGTAGAGCATTGGCGTTTGAGCCTGGTGGTCCTGGGTTCGAGGGTGGGGGGATCGTGGGTTCAATGTCTACTGTTGTTGTGTCCTTAGGCAAGACTTAAGGCAACAGAGCAGCCATCCTCCTGTGGACTCTCCACCTGCAGGAGGATCAGTGAGGGACTGGTGCTCTGTGGATCGTGTGCAGCTCTGACTACAAGCCCCCGACCAAGAAATGGATTAAGGGGAAGACAATGGATGGATGGTTTTAAATAGGGATTTTTTGGGACACTCTCATTATTGATTCACTTTATACATGATAGTGATAAACTACTACTGTAGCCACAGCTGCTCTGGGGCAACCAGAATGTATCATGGCAAGGCCAGTTTATTTGTATAGCACAATTCATACACGAGGAAACTCAAAGTGCTGAACAAAGCAAGATAGCATAACAATCATAAATAATCACAGTACATAAAATAAAGATATAAAATCAGCAGCTTCTCCGAACGCCACCAACCATTCACACACACACGACTCATTTCAGGCAATGTGGGTGAATTCAGGCACTTTAAAACCGCCCCACTAAGGGGCCTGGTGTTCCTGGAGGTCTTCCATCAAACTACCAACCAGGCCCTGCCCTGTTTAGATTCAGAGGCTCTGACTTCACATGCAAGATGCACCGTATGGGAATGTTGATGTTCTTGCTGCAAATAACAGCAAGTTATTCATGAAACCCTAAAAATCACTTTTCTCCAGTGAGCCCCTTTGTCACTGTCACTCTGTCTTTATCCAAGTCTTTATCCAACTTTGTTGTTTTATTATAAGTCAACAATTTCCTCATCCAGGCTGCCTCACCACAACTCATGCACATATAAAAAGAGACATATAAAAAATGCAGTAGAGTTTCAACCCCAGTGGCTGCAGTCACATCAGTTTGTCCATGGAAGTAAAGATGCTGTCTTTTGAGAACACTGTGTACTCCTCTGTTGGTTTAACCACTAAACCTATAATTATAGTCTTAAATTAGAAGATGACCTGATGTAATGTGTCATTCGTTACATCAGGCCATCTACCTACTGGGGTTCAGGGGTTCACACATTTCAATGCTTTACACAAGTGGCGGATGGCATCAAGGATTCGCGCCAAAGAGAATAAGCAATGCAAGATTTGAATAATCACATGTTTTTCTTACAAAGTGGGAAACAACTTAGAAGCTGAGATCAGACATAAAGACACAAACCAACAAGCTATTTGGCTTTGAATGGTGCAGCTAGCATCGGCATCTTCACAATAAAGCTGACAAAACGCTGCATAACTGAAATGTATGCCACCATATGTGTGTATTTTTTTGTACTTGGTCTTACTCGCCTCATGATTAAATACGAGAGGCCGTGTCGTCATTTTCTTTACCCTGTCCCTGTTAGCGGCTGCTAAAGTGCCTCAGCTCTGCACCGCTGGTAGTTATAAATAAAAGAGGCCTTATTCTGTTATAGCCTGGTGTTTCCTCTGGCAGGTGGCTCGCAAATGAGGAATGGGTGGAGAAAGATTGTAGCTTGTGAGGCCAGTTTTTAATGGGACCTGTGTCAATAGGGAGCTGAGTCTGCTGCTTTATAATTTTATTGTGCATAATTTTAATCAGCCTTTATCTTATCAGAACATTATTTTGGGGTAAAATAATTGTATAAAAGTGGTCCGCATATTTGTATATATCACTGTAAGTATTTCAGGCAAAAATAACTTATTGGGGTGTGAACATTTTGGTTGTATTTTAGGAGTGAACTGGCCGAATGCTGACGTCACCATAGTCATAGTGTTTGCCAAATGAAAATGGTCTGAACATAAGCTAGCTGGAGCAGACATGTTGCTAAAATGGTTGTTGAGGTAAGTTTTATTTTCTCCCACAAATGAAGGCATCTGATTGACAGATTTTTTTTATTTACTTATTTTTTAACCCAAAATGGTGAGCGGTGAGGCGCGCTATAGGCTATGTTTTTGTGGACAGAGCAGCCATCTTCCTATGGACCCACCACTTACAGGAGGATCAGGTGCTAGTAAAATTGGCTGTCAGCACTGATTGCCACCCCCCCGACCCAGAAATGGACAAATAAAGGGGATGAAAATGAACAAATGAATGTTGAGTATGTGAAACGGTTACTGAACTAGAGGAGTTTACTTTTCAATGTAAGTCAATAGGAGCCAGAGCAAGTTCAAGCAAAACTTTGTCGATGAGCCTTGTCCATCTTGACACATTCTATGGGCGAGAAAGTATATGTTATTTTTCCTCCCACTCCATTTCAGTCTCATCAGTAGGAGTGCATGGATGTATTGTGAATATTATTAAATGCAGATGGCAAAACTCATGTCTTTAGCTCTAGAAAAATACATTACATGAATAGGATATTGGGTCTGCTCTTCATGCTGAAGTGATGGTGTGCAGAGAATAGGGTTCTTAGTGATGCGTTTTCCGGTACAAAAAACATAGTGGGACAACTCAGGCTATTCCAAACAGCACTCATCTTAAATAATTCATAATAGCAAGGAATATGGGAGAAGAAGATAAAACACTAAAGTAATGTTATAAGGAAGCTATAACCGGAACATAGGTAACTGTGAATGGTTAAAGAGGGACTAGACTAACCGTACATTCGAATGCTCCAGAAAATGGGTAATGTCTATAGGCAAATGTTTTTGTATACCCCCTAACCTATTTACACACCTTCGTCAACCGGAAATTTTGGAGCACGTTTGTAAATACATGTGCAAAAATACATTTAATTACACATGAAACACACGTTACACATTTAGTAACACATTTCATGTGATAATATTAATTTTAATGCAATATTTAGTCCAGAGTAACACAATACTTGTCTGTGTAAAAACGCTTAGCTGCTCCAATTTGCCATGGAATAAACACTAAATATTGTTCACACTACTGTTCACACTATTATCCAATTAAATCATAACTGAAACTGAGAAAAATGACTCTCTCTGAACTCAGAGACGTTACTAAGTGATCTCACCACTGGCACTCTGCAGTGAAGGCTGGTTAAAAGGTCTGAAACCTAATTTGGAGCTTTTGCAAAGGGATAAGTGCTACAATGGAGATGTAACTGGAGAGTATTTCTATTCCTGTAAACAAGCGGCTGCACACAGACCCACGATCACAGAAGGTGAGACATACTGAACACTTATCTCTGTGGAAGCAGCTTATCATGAATTAGATGACAAGAAATTTTGAGTTGGCTTGATTTGATTTGATTTTATATATATGTTGGAGTCTATAGCAGTTATAAATTAAGCCATGTAGATGTGATATTAAATTGAAAAGACAACCAGCATGAAGCATAAACACATGTATTGTTAAGACCGCTGAAATCAAGAGAATAGAAGCTAAACATTTGAATACTTTGTATTTATTTTTTTATATACATGGTAAATATATAATACATTTTTAACTCTCTAAAACAATACACTGGAGCAGCATGTGGTTCATTTACAAAAGCAGCTGGAGTCCTGTAGATTACTGCTTTTGCTATTCCAGATGTTACAGATGAGATTTGTTTTAGAAGTGAACGATACATGTTTCCTGCACACTCTTGACAAGCATAAATGCCATTGGTACACACATCTCTTCATTTCAAGTGCAAAAAAAGTGATTAAAAACAGAATAAATGAAGAACACAACTTGGCGTCACTCGTAGAAAAAAAAGCCACCAATACCATCATAAGAAACATGAATAAATGCTGATGTACAGTATACCATCAAATGTCTAACCACTTTAGTTTTAGTGCAATGTCACGTGTCACCACAGCTGAAGCTCAGAGCGACTCTTCTTACTATGTAGTATGTATGATGGCTAACGGGGGAAAGGGGTGGGGAAAGAAGCAATATTAGATAGTTTTGAAAACAATAACAACAAGTAGAGATATATGGCAGTAGGTGTATTTTAAAACACAGCAAGTATAAGTGTTTAATATACTACATATATCTGCTCACATCTATGACAGGTTCAGACTGCAGGAGTCGCGCTGTGGCGTTTCTACTTCCTACATTCCTATGGTCATCTTTATGTTGGAGTTCATTTTATTCACACAAAAAAACACTTGAAGTAATAAGTAATCACTAATATTTGTCTTGATAAGGTTTGAATGAAAGGATAAACAATTAGGGGATAGCTTATAATTCAGAAAAACAGACAATCCCGTGATTATGGTCGGCTGTTATATTGTCAATGGGCAGCATGGTGTTGCATATTGATCCAGTTGTGATTTTCTTTTTTCTCTCTTTTTCTGTACTGCAAATACAACAGAAATGAATCATAACACAAAGACAGACGTTTGTGCATGTGCTATTGCACTAACTATTATACAGATGTGCAAAAATGCAATGCAGTTTATGGTTTTGTTTGTAACATCTTCACGCACATGGACAGAAGGTAGGCTACATGTTTTGCTGTGCAAAGGTGCATTAGATATATGAAATCAGAGTCATAATTTACACATGTTATATACATGTCATTTTGAAGTTTCAGGCGACTCTGTGAGGAGCTATTTTCTGAAGTTGACACTAATGCACCTCTGTAGAAACACAATTACTTTAAACACATATATGCTCTACATTTTGCTCTGCTCCATACAATAGCCACTGTCTGTAAACCTATTCACGTTACTTACAACTGTTTAAATAAGTGTATTTTTATTTTTCTGTCTGTGTCATAAAACTGATTAGAAATCGGGAAAAAACATCACAATCAGAAATTCCCTCTCTCAAATGTAAAGTGCAAAAACCTTCAGGCTTTGCCAGTCCACAGCTGAGTGCATAGGTACAGTACAACCTGTTGGTAATAATACCCAATCTTTCAGTCACTGTTGTGGTCAAAGCATGCGTTTGAGTAGGTCAGTTTGACTTAAGTTTAGATGAAAAAACAGCCTGGCCGGACCATGGAGTAGGAATGAACAGAATGGCAGCTACAAAAGAAAGTAAACAGAAGTCTTTATGAGAATTGTGCTGATTTTTAAAAAACTATACAAAAATGCACTACAAGACTTACCATCACTGCTCTTCACACTCATTTGCTGGAAATGCCTCAGCTTCCTGGTTTTGGAACATGTACTGAAAAAACATGGTGACAAGATCATTTAATCAGTGGAATGCAAATCTTCCAAGACAGCTCGAACTTGAACAAGAAGAGCATTGATCAGATGCAGACAAGAGGCCTATACTGAGGAGCTGCAGACAGGTTCGGGGGGCATCGGTATATGGGACAAATCATTGTAATCCATACACATGACTGTCAGAGTTGATGGAAAAGTGGACGGAGCAAAATACAGGGCAATCTTGTATCAAATACTGTTACAGTAATTTTCCATACAATGGAATGGTTTACATGCATGGTACACTTCAACACATATTGAAGTGTTAGAATGGCAATATCAAGCCCAGGCCTGCGTCCAATCAAGAAATGGCAAGATCTAAAAACTGCTGTTCACAAACATCTAATATGATCGGCAAAAAAACAAATGTGGAAAATGTAATCAATTTGAGCAGTGGTGGAAACCAGATCTTACATGAGAAGAATGTATGCATTATCTGGTTGAAGAGTTGAACCCAAGACCTTGTTTTTGTGAAACAGACCTTCTTGAAATTGCTGCACCTCTCATCTCCCTATTTCCTTTTACATGTAGCTACACTCAAGCAGATAAGTTAGTTTTGATACATGTTTGCTTCTACGACAAAAATGGCTGTTTTGATATGTTCTTTATTGAAGAAACCTACAGAATGTAACCATCATTTGTGATTAAGTTTGTTAATTTATGGACTATAAAAGATGGGTGACGCAGTGGTTAGCACTCGATGTTGCAGGTAGAGAGGGTTGGAGTCCACCTCCAGTAAGGGCCTTTCTGTGTGGAGTTTGCATGTTCCATCATGTCTCCGTGGGTTTCCTCCAGGTGCTCCTGTTTCCCCTACTTATATAAACATGTAGGGTGAATAAATGTGTGTTTGTGAGTGTGACTGTGGAGACAATCTGTTGTATTAACAGGACTGCACAGCTCATTTTTACTTACTGTCCCAACCAAAATAACATTATACAACATAATTGAGAGATATATAGTATATATAGTATATTCAGTTGCCTTATTTTAAGATAAATATATTAAATATACATATTGCTGAAAAAAAAAAAAAACTTTTCTTAGACTAAACTAAGAATAAATTATCTTCCAGAGTGGAAAACGCTCAATTATGTTCAGTGATATTCGGAGCTCTGCAAGAATGTTGATAAAATAAACAAAGACCCAGGACGGACCTGGGTTATTTTACAGAAAAAGTTATACCCTTAGTTACTTTAAACTACTATGATCCAGAAAATATATAGAAGATATCATTAGATATGGCTAGTGGTACATTTCACCACTGTAAATCATAAAATGATTTACTCTCTGAGCAATCAAATGTATGTTTTTTCTGTATGCCTTTTTCCTGTTTATAGCTTATTACCAAATGAAAGTGCTGGTTATCATAACTCACAGATTTGAGGTTTGGATCCATCTCATTGAAGTTCCACTCAGTGAGAGGCAAACTCAGAGTGAAGGGCTGCGGAACCGAGAAGAAGTGATTAGAACAGTTGAAACGTTTCTGCTATGTCTGTGTGTGTACGTGTGTGTACTGTATGTGTGTGTGTATGACATACATCCACCGCTGCACTGCCCCCGGCCTCCACCGAGCTGTGCTGGTGGCTCCTCAGCAGCAGCAGCTGCAGCTCCTCCAGGCTCATGTCCACATTCTCCACTGCCTCTGACACCTCCCCTCTAAACAAACAAAGCACAGATTTATATTACACTTTATGTGTTCTCTCTATGTTGTGTTCATGTGAATACAGTAATAACACTTCGCAACTTTGTCTCTAGATGAAACAAAAATTACCATGAAGGTATTTCATCAAATAAAATGAAACCAACTAGAGAAATCAATACAAAACATGTGGAACAATAACTGCTCATTACATTTTCTAAACGTTTCCTGAGTTAGGCACTTGGCTCACACTGTTATGAACTCATATTAGAATAAAACGCACGTATAAATACAAGACAGGTGAGCAGCACTTGATGCCATACCTCTCTGAGGCCATCCTCTTGCTCCTCCTGTCGCCCAAAGGTCCAGAGGAGCCCCGTCCCTCCAGCACAGACTGCACCAGGGCCACAGGGAGCACAGGAGGCTCCGCAGGGCACACTTCACAGGGAGAAAGGCCTGTGGGATCCCCTCCAGTGGGTCCCGCCTTTACACCTCCTCTCATGGCCGGACTTACAGGCTCCTCTTTTATCAGCATCATGCATTTCTCCCTGTGAGGACATTCACGCATGAACAATTTGAAAGATTCTAAGAAAATTGCTTGTTAATGAGCATGTGGTCAGAGATAAAGCACAAGATGCCAAAGCCCATTGCTAAAAAAAATTTGGTGGGGACAGTTACAAGTCAAACTTGACCACTGGTAAGTACATTTGTCACTATCAAATAATGATAATGCCCTCCAACTGAAACAAAATTCTGGAACATGAACGCTACCTATTTGCTCATAAAATGCCAACAAAGTATTGCAGCTGTATGTTTGAGGTTAATCTACCATAATAACTCACCTTGTCTCATCTGTCTGCATGTGCATGGTCAGAGGAGTCTGGGACATCTCAGTGACATCTGATATGATTGGTCCTCCACTCATTCCATTGGCAGAGCATGCACCACTGTCACCAGGAGGCTAAATACAACAAAACATTTTTATGAGAACTAGTCAACCACAAGAACATCAACATTATGACTTGATGTTTCATGAAGTTCCTGTCAAAAAGTGCTCCAATGCTGCTCTCTAGTGTTCAGTTGAAAAACAACACTGAAACTCCGTTAAAAATGTGTAGGTAAATTTCTTTTTGGTAAAAATAAATAAGTATTGTCATTTTAGACAAAAAATCCATTCATAGACTGAATACTAACCGATTCGATGTAAAAAGATTCATTTATGCGTTCCACATGGTGGCTATGGCTGAATTTAGATGCAGGGTTGCCAGGAGAGCCATCATCCAGCATCAGTGGCCTAAAACAACAGACACATTACTTAGTAACATTTTTTACCCACAGCTTATACTATAGCACAATCCAAACAGATTCCCAAGCTACTGCAGCTGGCTTCTCTTGATATGGAGGAGCAGCGGCCTTACTCCAAGCTCTTCTCGTGTGACAAAGCTCCTCACCCTATCTCTAGGAAGTGCTCAACCACTCTGCGGAAGAAACTAATTTTGACCGCTTGTATCTACGATCTAGGTGAGGGTGAGAGCATAGATTGAGTGGTAAATTGAGAGCTTTGTCTTTGGACAATTTGTCATTTCGAGCTGACAACTGTTGTTGCTTGATTGTATAGTTCTGTTACAGTATATACTGTAAGCACAGAAGGCAACATGTATAAAGGGTCATGTAAACTAAGGAATGTCAATATTGTAAATAATTATGATTGTAACATTTCTGCTCGAATGATTAAAAAAATCAATCAATCAATCAAACTTCCTCTTCACTACTACAGTCCAAAACAGCTCTGGGTACAGACGCTGCTCCCTCTTCACCACAGCGGTCCAATACAGTGACCGCATAACTGCACATGCTGCACAGATCCGTCTGTCAATCTCACTCGAGGAAGATCCTGAGCTATAGTGACACGGGTTATTTTGAGCATCCAAAGAAAAAAATTGTGCCCTAATATGGGATGAGTGTTTGTTTTGTGTTAGAAATTCTTTCTTCCTTTCCACTTTCACAATAAAAGTGTGAATCAGCGGTTGTGTTGCGCACACGCACAGGGCGGGCTCCTGTCATCCATGTGTGAGAGACTTTGACTCAGCACTCGTGGTCATTCACAGCTCTGGTGGATGGTCAGATTGTTGAGTTTGTCAGCTGCCTGTTTGTTTCATGATGTGTGTTCACTCACAGCTTTCTCTTCAGGCTCACACTGTTGGGGGAGGTGGGCTGCATCTGACTGAACAGGAACTGGATCAGCTGGAATACAGAGTAAAGCAGAGCATGAATCCGCAGGCTCAGGCTTTATGCAGTCATTCATATATATTACCACTTTTACCAGTCAACAACCAGTATAGGATTTAAAATTATGTAATATATTATTGAGATCCATGCCCATTATTAAAGCCTAAACTACTGTAACTTGCTTGCTTTATCATGTTCCACTTACTTTCGATTTTCAACATTGTTATTAGACTGACCTTGTTCATGACTTTTTGCTGTTGTGAATGGTTCTGCCTGAGTGACACTACCTCTCTCCACAGCACCTCATTCTGCCTACAAAACACAACGAGAGGAGGGCATATTTATCACAAAACACACTGATTTACTGTGATTTGAAATAACAATTAGAGACTTAATTGGGTCAAATTTGCACAAGCTTGTTGAAACCAAGCTGTTACTGCCTAGATTTGTGTCAGTGGCCCCTCCTGCATGTGTGATGCGTGTTAGTCAGGTGAGCAGGTGAACATTCTCCGCTCTCAATCGCACACAATGGGAAGCACAAAGCCTCTGGCCGACACAAAAGTCCCACAGCAGCTATTTTCAGACACAATGGCCCTGAAGAGAAAATGTCAGTCCAGCTCAGAGGATCATTTGTTGTCCGTGCTAATTACCTTAATCACAAAGGAAAATAGAAAGCTAAATCACTACTTTCTATTGATTCACAACATGCTTTCTGTATCAGACTGCGTATATGCATTTGAACACTGATTATCTTGTGGATACTTGGGAGTCACTATTTGACAATTTCAATCACAAGATCGAAGGATGCGACAGAGGCCAAAAATGACATGCAGGTGAATACTAGTGACACAACCAAAGTGTTTAGAGATAGGAACTAGGTACATTACATAGTTAGGGTTCGGGTTGGGGTTTGTGTTTTGTGGTTTGAAAGGTCGTCTCTTTCTATATAATCCTCACTTAACCGGTCTCCCTGGCCAATGTGAATGGATGGTGGATGAGTGGATGGTTAAAGGTTTTTGCCTAAATAGAAACTGCACTGAATCACAAAAAAGCACAATGAGACATAGATTTAGTCGTATTGTGCAGAACTCTAACATCAATCTATGTTTATGAAATGCTGCTTGCCTGGCCTTAACACTGTGCATTTTTCCTGAAGTTGTTTTGAGTCACAAATAGGCCTTCAGCATTAAAAACTAGCACTGCGTATGTAACTGAAGACTGAACAGTGTGACAGCGAACATGTCGAGATCGCACACAAGTGACTCACTGTTTCATGTCTTGCATTTGGCACTCCATGTTGTCTTGCTGTGTCCTCAGGAGCTGCACTTCATACAGCAGTTTGCTCAAGTCTTCCTGTCGCACTTTTGTTTCCTCCGTTTTCACTATAGACACCTGAAAAACAGTCCAAAGTAATGTGCAGAGAATATTGCATCTGTCGCATCACAGGCCTCACCTTCCTCTTTATATGCTCCAACATGTGTTCATGTCCCTGTAGAAAATACAGGTGCTGAAACTCGGTGTCGTCCCTCTCTGGTTTCACTAATCCGCTCTGTTCAATGTTGACCACTTTACGAAAACCATCTAGTCCAAATCCAAAGAGAAAGTGTATTGATACATTGACACACAGAGTTTATACTACACAGACACACTTACACATGTTCAGCTGCCGAACAAAGCTTGCCATATTATTGTGTTTAAAGTACTTGGGCAACACTTCCTTGGCGAATCGTCCCTGGTCAAATACATGGAAACTTGTCCCAGTCTAAAAGAGTGAAATGAAAATACAAGCATTGGGTACAAAAATACATAATACCTTTTACCGTAAACATTTTCTGTCTATTATTCAGTAAAGTAACTCACAGCGCTCCAGCAGATGAGGTGGTTTGTGTCTGGATCCTCAACGAGGGTCCACAGTTTGGTCAGAAAGGCTGGGACGTTACTGGCATAGCTGCCATCAACCCCCATAGCACCTGGAGACTCCTGCATTCTCAGTGTAAGTATAATCCAATAGCTTTGATCCAATATAAGTGGTTGTTGTAAAAGTTAAACAAATAAGTCCAATATTAGTCCATGCTCTGCCTATAAACTGAAGATTTTTCTCTGGCTGGTTCCTTCTGTCCCATGTCAGAAAAGTATTCTTAAAGTAAAATTCGTTTGCAGTTTGTTTTGGGCTCCTCTCTGCCTTTTGCCAACAGTAAAACCAAGTGAATGTGAGCACAGAAGCCCCATGTCAGCACAGATCCTAACGCTGGCCCCCCACTGACAATCAGCTCTGCAACAATAGTGCCTACACAAATGCATCAACAATGCTCTGTGTAACACTGGCAAAAGAGTCCTGTGACAAAACAAAATCATGAATGCAGCTGCATGATGGACCTCATTATTAGTCCTCATAATCAATGTAATATGGATCAATAATTAGATAAGACGCACAAGGTACTACAATGCATTTAAATTAGTTTTGAGGTGCAGTAAGAACTTTGAGAGAATCAGGAATAAAATAACTTTATTCAATATAAAGTAAAACAGTGATACAGCCTTTCACGGAGTGTTATTATGATGAGCAATTTCAAATCATGTCAAGCTGCTGCTCTGGTCTAGACTTTCATGTGGTAAGGTTCCGGAGCTGCACCTTCATGAGGTACGGCTTTGGGGTGAGCGTGAGGAAGGCAACTTCCACTGACCCTCCTCACTCAGCGCAGACGACAAGTTTGGGATTATTATTGTGCCCTTGACACAAAACACACAGCAGAGGAGATGCTTTGGTTCCAGCACAGCTGTCTACAAGCAAATCACAAAATAAACCGTGTTAGCTTGTCATTAAACTCATACCTTTGGTATGAAGTACCCCAGCAGGTCGGTGTCTCTTGTAGCTTGATGATATACAGCAAGTGGAACTGTGTCAGAAACCAGCTGGATCTCATGGATCACAGCCTCCAGGGCAAATGTTTCAATATTAGATCATCATCAAATACACACTCTGAGGTGAGAGTCGTACTGTAGATACCTGTGTGAAGGGCATCAGGTGCCTGTCTTCATAGGAAACAACAACCTTTCCCTCCAAAACTCGGTCAATCTCCTGCTGACACTGCTCTTTGGTCACAACCCACAAAATATGGAAATCAATTTAAACTTGAGGGGCCCAACATGATAATGTTCTGATCTGTACTTCAAGTTACGATAAAAAAAAAACAGTTAAACCAGTTAAAAATGCACCTTGCACTTGAGGGTAGTTCATGAGGTAGAGGAAGGCACTGAGCAGTGTGTTAGCTGTTGTGTCAGTTCCAGCAAAGTGCAGGTCCAGAAGAAAAGCAGAAAGCTGGTCTTCGGAGAAGGACGAGCTGATATCACCACTCTTCTCATGAAGGAACAAACAGATCAGTGTTTCATATGTTTGGACTTCAGGAAAGACGCTTACACACCTTGTCTAATTCATCAAGGTAGAGGTCAATAAAATGTCGAGGTTTGCCTGGAATTCTTGTTTTTTTATTTTCAGCCAAAAGCTCCATTCGTCTTTCGTGTGCAGACTGTCAAATACGAATATAGTTTATAAATACTGAAAGAATCAAAGGTTGGAGCACAAATACTGTGATATACCTTAAACAGAGAAAAGGCTTTCCTAAAAGGTAATGGCAAACCCCTTATTATTGGAATTGAGTCATAAATCTGTAAGAAAAATATCAAATTAGACACTAAAGGCCATTTGAATGGGTTACGTGTATAAACATTTACCATTCCCCAACGGCTTTTTAATATCTTGGATGTTTCATTAAAAAGACTAACAAAGAATTTCATAAACTCATCTTCATAATCGTAATGTCTGGCAAACAGGATCTGGCAGATGACGTTGGAAGCGGCACTGTGGAAGAGCCTCTTAGGGTTTATGACATTATCTGAGAATGACAAATAATATAAAGATCTTTTACTACAGTGATATGTTGACCAAGAAGAGGGATTTTTTTTTTTAAATAACCATGTCCTGTCTTATAATCATTGTTTAAGAATGCACTGGTCTTTATTCAAGTGTAAAACATATTGTAAAGTGACCATACCGCTCTGCTCCAGGAACTGTACTAAACGGTTGGTCTTCAGCAGAATCCGGTCCTCCATGGTCTGTGTTCCCAAACCCATGTTTCTCAGACTCATCCGACCAAAGCGCCGCTGCTCTTTCCATCCCGGACCATAGTCAGATAAAACCACTCCTGGGGCATTCTCTGCAAAACATCCATGTTATTAGGGCTGGGTGACATTTAGAGCAGGCGTGTCAAACTCATTTTGGTCAAGGGCAGAATAAAAAAATAGGAACTGATTGGGGCCGAAAAAATATCGGCCCCTTTTCTTATAACTGTTTTTACATTATGATGGTATTTTGACATGACTATCATGTGAGTTTCACTGTTATTTTCTGGTGGATTTTCCTGAAAAGTATGAATATTGTTTAGATTTAAAACTGGACCAAATATAAAGTTAAACACAAGTTGAACAGGTTGATATGATATGCTCAATTACACATATGCATGATTTATACTACAACAAAACAGTACGATACCTTTAACAAAGACGGCATGATTAGCCAACATATCCTGAGGTCTCCCAGAGAAGTCTCCAGATTTCTTGACCAGAGCTTCTTTCAGAGCATGCAGACCGTTCAAGACCACTGCAGGCCTTGAACCTATGTAGAAACTGAAGATGCTTCCATATCGTTTGGACAGCTAACAACCAGACGTTTGTTATAACGAGAAATAAGTCACAAAGCAACAAGTAAATAAGGTATTACCCTCTGCAGATCAGCAATAGGATTTTCCAAGTTAAGCTCCAACAGGTTTCCAAGCAAAGGCCTTGGACCTGGAGGAAAGTTTTTAATTTTAGAGGAACTTCAAAACAAAAAAAAAGTAATTAGAACAACCACCAGAAGCAAAGATGCAGACACAAACATTGTTCCTGTGTTTTGGTTAGAGGTGCCTCCAGTTGAATGCAGTGGAGTCACATTTGTCATACAATGAGAATAACGTGGTGGTCATATTACCAGGTGGACAGAGTTCATGCAAACAGTTCAGAAGTAACCTCATTCTACTTCTCATTAGTTACGTCAAAACGTAATACATTACTTATTAGTGTTATTTCAAAATAATGTATTACTCTACAACAGTGTTCCCCAACCTTTTTGAGCCGTGGCACACCTTTTTCAATTAAAACTATCACATGTCACACTGTTAGTATTAGATAGCAATATGGCCTACGTGCAGTACTCTACAAGGACTCTACAAGGACTCCATGTTATGACTCTGATGTGACTGTCTCTTTGTGACACGTATGTCTTTCGATGTGTGACGTGACAATGACTATATAAACTGTGTACTGCCTTTATTCTGTCTGAGAGAAAGAAACAAAGTAAACCAGTGGAACTTGAGAGAAACTTAAATAAACTTCCAGAGTTTGGCACACCACGATCCGTCTCTGTCTGCTGAATCCTGACAACACCACCAGCTGATTTTACTCTGCAGCCTTTATTAACAAAACAAAGTAATTCTCATCAAAGTGTATTATATAGACAATCATAGAAGTGCAAAGAAGTATATTCCAATCTTCTAATTCTTTCTTTTTCACATTATTTTGACTAAATGATATGGGATAATTTCCCAAGGCACACTGAATAACATCTCAAGGCACACTGGCTCACTACTACAATATATATATATATCCCATATGTTCCTCCAGAACTGTTCAGTTTCCAGCCTCGGTGGATCTGCTCCCCTGTTGTTACCCTGCCACTGAGCGTACACCTTCGCAGGTTGTGTTGCGAACAGCCTGTTCACCTGTTCACAGAGGCAGACATCCGAGAAAGAGTCTCAGGTATGAAAAACTGGACAGCACCTGGCCCTGATATGGTCCATGCCTACTGGCTAAGGACACTCACATCACTCCATGAGCGCCTAGCAGCACAAATGAACCAGCTGCTGAGAGATGGGACTCACCCAGAATGGCTAACCGAAGGGCGAACGGTCCTGATCATGAAGAACCCTGTCAAGGGTGCAGTCCCCTCCAACTACCGGCCAATAACCTGTCTCTCCACAACATGGAAGCTCATGTCAGGCATCATTGCGGCTAAGATAAGTGGGCATATGGAACAATTCATGAGCACAGCACAGAAGGGCATTGGTAGGGACACCAGAGGAGCCAAATACCAGCTCCTGGTTGACAGAACAGTCGCCCAAGACTGCCGGTCACGACACACCAACCTGTGCACAGCCTGGATTGATTACCAGAAAGCCTACGACCTAATGCCACACACATGGATCATGGAATGCTTGAAGTTGTACAATATCAACAGGGCTCTAAGGGACTTTGTTGCAAACTCGATGGGAATGTGGAAGACCACCCTTGAGGCAAATGGCAAGCCGCTCGCACAAGTGACCATCAAATGTGGTATCTACCAAGGAGATGCTCTGTCCCCACTACTGTTCTGCATAGGCCTCAACCCTCTAAGCCAAGTAATTGACCAGACTGGCTATGGATACCGCCTCAGGAACGGAGCAAAGATCAGTCACCTCCTCTACATGGATGACATCAAGCTGTACGCCAAGAGCGAGAGAGACATCGACTCTCTGATCCAAACAACCAGGATCTACAGCCATGACATCGGGATGTCATTCGGGCTCGAGAAATGTAGCAGGATGGTGACTCGGAGAGGCAAGGTAGTCCACACAGAAGGGATCTCACTCCCAGAGGGAACAATAGCAGACGTTGAGGACAGTTACAAGTATCTCGGTATACCACAGGCAAATGGCAACCTCGAACAGGTGACGAGGAAAGCGGCAACTGCCAAATACCTCCAGCGAGTAAGGCAGGTCCTAAGAAGCCGGCTCAATGGCAAGAACAAAGCCCGGGCAATTAACAGCTACGCCCTGCCAGTGATCAGATACCCTGCAGGAATAATCAGGTGGCCAAAGGAAGAGATTCAGACCACGGATGTTAAAACTCGAAAGCTCCTTACCATGCATGGCGGGTTCCATCCCAAATCCAGCACCCTGAGACTGTACGTAAGCCGTAAAGAAGGAGGCCGAGGACTAGTGAGTGTGAGAGCCACTGTCCAGGACGAAACATCCAAACTCCATAACTACATCATGGAGAAGGCCAAAACGGATGACGTACTCAGTGAATGTCTCAGGCAGTGGCGAGATGAGGAGGTGCTGGAGGAGAGCCCATCATGGGAGAACAAGCCCCTACACGGCATGTACCACCGGAGCATAACAGAAGTGGCTGATCTCAAGAAGTCCTACCAATGGCTAGAAAGGGCTGGCCTACAGGACAGCACAGAGGCACTCATCATGGCTGCACAGGAACAGGCACTGAGCACCAGAGCGATGGAGGCCCAGATATACCACACCAGACAAGACCCAAGGTGTCGGTTGTGCAAAGAGGCACCTGAGACGATCCAACACATAACTGCAGGGTGCAAGATGCTGGCAGGGAAGGCCTACATGGAACGCCATAACCAAGTGGCTGGCATAGTGTACAGAAACATCTGTGCAGAGTATGGGCTGGAAACCCCAAGGTCTAAGTGGGAAACTCCTCCAAAGGTGGTGGAGAATGAGCGTGCAAAGATCCTGTGGGACTTCCAGATACAGACCGACCGAATGGTAATGGCGAACCAACCTGACATTGTGGTGGTAGACAAAGGGCAGAGGACAGCCGTGGTGGTGGACGTGGCAATTCCAAGCGATGGTAACATCCGGAAAAAAGAACATGAAAAGCTTGAGAAATACCAAGGTCTCAGAGAGGAGCTGGAGAGGGCCTGGAGGGTAAAGGTGACAGTAGTGCCCGTGGTGATCGGTGCACTCGGGGCAGTGACCCCGAAGCTAGAAGAGTGGTTACAGCGGATCCCTGGAACAACCTCAGACATCTCGGTCCAGAAATGTGCAGTGCTAGGAACAGCAAAGATACTGCGCAGAACCCTCAAGCTCCCAGGCCTCTGGTAGAGGACCCGAGCTTAGAGAGGGATAACCGCCCGCGGAGGGCCAAAGGTGAGTGGACAATTTTTTTTATTTTATATATATATATATATATATGTATTTTATTTTTTTTTTAACATGGAACAGGATTCAAACATCTGACATCTGAAGTTAAATCTAAGGGGTTAAATCCTGGTTCAGTCCTGGCTCAGAACTGCTTCATAGCAGCTCGCTGCTTTTTTACTAAACTTGATCATTCCTGCCGCTGTTGTAAAACCAAAACCATAGACTATAAATATTAAAAACGTGCCACGTCGACAAGTGTCTTAAACAGGGCTCTGGATAGGGCTATACATGTATCTCTATTAACACGGACTCTTTTTGGAAGCTTTAAAAATCAAACCAGATTTTAGGCTCTTGTCTATCCAAAGGCTGCATGTCTCTGCTCATTCGCAACCAACCACTGAGCGGAGGTGGAGCTAAAATGCAAAGTAACTCACGTTACTGACCTTTGTGCCGAGTCCATTTGACCAGTTTTTCATTTGTAATGCCTTATATTACCGCGTCACAACAACAAGTAATACATTACAGTAATGAAGTACAAGTACATTTAGTAACTCTGACAGCAGATCTCACCACAAATATCGAATAGTTACAATTAAAACATTCATAATGTGGAACTGTTTTTGGTTGAGGAATGTTTAAAAACATGAAATCTTTGTACATAAGTGTAAGGATACAGAGGTTTCAAACGCTAGATGGATTGATTTATTTGTTCTGTTTATTTTTGTTGGCACATTTTTTATTGTTAATTGTTTTATTATTGTGTTAACAATTTTTTTTTTATTATTGGATTGCCTATGTTTAAAATGTATAGTTGAAATAATATAATACATAAATGTTTATTTTTATTTTTATTGTATCAATATAGGACCAGAAATCCAAGCTAACAAATATGTTTTGTAAGAGATTCCGAGACAGCAGCACAGTTCAGTCACAACGTGTCAGACAACATTTTGATACATTCAATACACTTTACAACATCATCAACTTTATCCATAATGAGAACAGAAGAGTTTATAGTGAGATTTTCTCAGAGTGTTTCCCGGAGCTGCACTTTCATGAGGTACGGCTTTGGGGTGAGCGTGACTCCATAGACAGGAGTATAGTCCGGCTCGCCTGCGTCTTCTGGCCAAATGAACGTAAACTTTCTGAGCAATGTCACAGTGATGAGAAAGAGCTCCATTCGAGCCAGACCCTCCCCAAGACACATTCGAGGACCTGGGCATTCAAAGACATGAATACAGAAGACATACATGTGGGATAATGATGATAAATATAGTGAGGTACTGACCGGCAGAGAAAGGCATGAAGGCCTCAGGCTTCACAAACTCTCCCTGATCATTGAGGAAGTTCTCAGGGTGAAACCCATGAGGAAACTTCCACTGACCCTCCTCACTCAGCACAGACGACAAGTTTGGGATTATCATAGTTCCCTATAAGCAACCAACATATTGTATTAATTGTTTTAAATGAGTCAGTAAATACATGGTACATCAAATAATGATAGTTTCTCACTTTGGGAATAGTGTATCCCATGACCTCTGTGTCTTTAGTTGTGTTGTGGAAGACACTGAGGGGGACAGTGTTGGCGACCCTCTGCATTTCATGGATCACAGCCTGGATAAAAAATAAATAAAAAAATTCCATTATCATCATCATTCATTGAGTCAACAACACATATGTTTCACATTTAAAATCCACATTCACCTGTACATAAGGCATATCGTGTCTGTCCTCAAAACAAGGCTTTTCTTTGTCGCCTAAAACTCTGTCTATTTCAGCTTGGCATCGCTCTGAAACAAAACAGGAACCATTGTCATAACCATAGGATGTAACTATGTCATAACACACTGTCATGTAATGCTATTGTGAATACATACACACCCTGGATGTCTGGGTTTGTCATGAGATAAAGAAATCCAGTCAGTAGTGTGTTGGAAGTCGTGTCTGTTCCAGCAAAGTGAAGATCCAGGGAGTACATGGACAGTAGATCTTCTGAGAAAGTTGAGCCAGGATTTTTACTTCGCTAAGCAGATCCAACAAAAACAAGTTCAATGTTATGATATGAATGTCTATTACTCATAAGAGAAGAACTATAAGAATGTCAAATGTTTTTCTGTCAAAATAATGTAATATTTTATGTTATTTTGTATTTTATATTATTTATGCATATATGCCCTTGCCATAAAGAGTGTTGGAATCAACATATGACTGAGAGCTGATTGGCTGAGCAAAGATTGCTAGCTTTACTGCTGATCTGAAGCTGTGATAAAGGCCAAAAAGTCAAAACCAGTGATGCACCACACTGTTTTAGTTTTTCTCGATGGCTTTAAATACAATACGAAGATCCACTTTTTCTGGTTTGAAAATCAGGTACCCCAGCTTTAACTGTGGCTACGGTTCCTTTGCACTATTTCAGATCTAATTTATCGGGAAAAGGTAACATTTGTGTTAGTATCTTGATGATATAAAAAAAGGAGGCAAACCATTTCCAGCTCATCCAGGTAGCAATCTACAAAGTCCCGTGGTTGTCCTGAGACTCTAGTCCTCTTGTGCTCAGTAATCCAAGGCACAGCAATACTCTGGACCGTCTGTGAAAAAAACACACTGATTAGATTGTACTTTTCAATGAATTGTAATAATCATGAAATAAACGTACATTGATATTTGTAAACGCCTTGTTGAAGGGAAGGGGAAAGTGACGGATCCAAGGAACTGAGTCGAAAAGCTGCAAAAGATCACGACAATGGTAAACCCTTGACGCTTGTGAACCTCAATAACTTCCTCATCCAGATTTACCATAGCCCAGGGTCCGTTGGCTAATTTGGCATTCTCAGTGAAGCAGCGAACTATTTCCTTCATTGTCCAATCGTTGTAGTCGAAACGCATCCCGAACAGAACCTGACAGATGATGTTAGAGGATGCATTGTGGAACATCACTTGAGGACTCAGAGTTGAACCTGTTAGTAACACCAACAGATTCAAGTTGGTGTTAACTTTTCAATAACTGTGCAAGACTACCCTAGTACACACAAGAGCCCCTACCACACGTTCTAAAGTGGTATTACTAAACACTGTCTGCGTTGGCGTGCACCTGTTACCTTGAAGAAGTAATGATAAGAGTATAATGTCCTTGACCCCAAAGCGTGCTTATCAAACTTACCAACGCTTTTTTCTAATTCTGCAGTTGTGTGTTGGATCTCTCCCAGAATTCTCTCCTCCATAGACTGCTTTCCCAGACCAAAGTTTCTCAAAGTCATGAGTGCGAAACGTCTGTGCTCCTTCCATCTTGGGCCGTAATCAGCCAAAATCACTCCTAAATAAATTGCAACAATAATAACAATCTACATGTATATCTTGCACGTCACCTTTTTTCCAATGTTGCTACCTTTGTTCTCAGTTGTGATATTGACGTACATGTCCTGGGGTCTTCCAGCAAATTCTACTCCTTTGTTTACCAGAGCTTCCTTTATGGCTTGCACCCCACAAAGCATCACCATTGGTTTGGAACCTAGATAGAGACTGTAGACATTTCCATACTTGAACCGCAGCTGGGGGGTAATGGGTAAAACCAGGTAACAGAATGCATTAAGATAATAGAATAACACAAACATTCCCATGCAAGTGAGTGCATCAGGGGATTAAAAGTGTTTAGATATTTGACATGACTCCAGGACAGATAGAAAGCTAAGCTGGTTCGCACATTTAAAAAGGGAAGATAGATGGCACCTGTTGGAATGAACCTTGCATAATATTTGTACGTTTCAAACCAAATAGGTGTGACCCTTGTCCAGACAAAACTTTTGCCAAATGATTCCAAAGGTCAACAACACAAACAATGATTTTACACTTTTTTTTTGTTTATGTAGTATAGTGCTATAAATCAATTTGTAACCCACCCCACTTACCCTTTCGAAATCCCGCAGTGGATTGTCCAAACTTAAATTGTGCAAGTTTCCCAAAACTGGCAGTGGAGTGGGTCCAGGAGGAAAGTTCTTTGGCCGACGGCTTTTGAACTGAATCATAATAAAGCAAAGTATGAGCCATAGAAGAAAAGCAGAGACCAACATTGTGGACTGAAGTGTTTGAGTGCTCTCTGTGGAAGTTGACTCAACACTGACAGACCTGTGGTTTTCTTGTGCACGACCTTCCGGTTTGTAGAACTTTGCCCCCGCAGCGTCACAATCAACTTAAATAAACAAGAGGTTATTATGGTTTTCAAGACGCAAAGATAGAAAATAGATAAAAATAGAGTGTGTTTGTTTGCAACATTTACACGTGTTGATTGTGTAAAACAGTTTTAAATGTTTATGACCATAAAGCCTTATCTTACGTGCTTACAGTTGAAAATGTATTCTTTTAAACATGATTATAGACATTTTTACTTATTATATAATGTTAAAGCTTCAATTCTTATTTTGTGAACTCCTTTTTGAGAACTCTTCTGTACAAATAAATATGTTTGCAGTGTTCAGGGGCAGTTATGTAAGACTCTGATCTTCAATTACATCTACAATTTTATATATTTTATTTGTCCCTGCAGACACATTATCAACAGGTATCACCTGACCTTCTCTGATCAAAACAGAGACGATACATTAGATTGACCAACAGTCATTATAAGTCATTATAAGGTGACCTTCATAATGATTGAAATGAACTCTTCTGAACCTGGTAGAGGCTCTCTATCTCGAGTTCAGCAGAGTTCTGTCCACCAAGTTGATTTTATTAATTATAAATCACAGAATTCCTTTGTGAGATAATAACTAGGTTTAACTAACTGGTCCAAAAGTACCTAAACTAATTTTTTGAAATACATAAATATGTATAGTCTATCTTTGCATACAGTGAACTCCTTCCCATGTAGCTCCTCTGAATAAGTGGCAAACAATGGACAGTTTAATCGACTTTACCAGAGTCAAAGTATTACTAATTAATAAAGACATGTCATTCACATGTAAAAGCTTCTGACTGTCCTGACCCATATTTCAGAAAATATATCTATCACCCCAAGTTCGCTTGTCCGCAAACAAACATCCTAATTGGCAATTTGGGAAAAGATCTTTATATAAAATATCCAGGGGATCAGCTACAGTATAATCTTTCCAAACCAAGTGAAGTTATTCAAGTAAGCTTTGCTGTAGTCTAGATCAATCTCGGTGCACACTGAAGTAATCTTGCACAGTTATTCTAATATGGTTTTACTGCCAATGACAGATAAAATGTATCTGAATCTTGATCTGTCCTTTTAATGATTAATACATTTTCATTGATTGATACATTCTTTTAGAAAAAAAGATACACGTGGAGTAAGCAAAATCCCACTCTAAGAAATGAAACATAGGGGTTGTCAAATATAATTCATACTTTTCTTTTCAATGTAGTTACAATTGTTAATGTTGGGGTTGTAATTAATAACGTTTTATTGGATTTAATTAAGTTCAAACATTGTTATTGCTATGTGATCGAACTATTTTGAATGTTTTGAACATCTTTAATTAAATCCAAAGCGCCTTTTCCACACCCCCTCTGAGCATGCGCAGAGGTTCACGCATGCGCTGTCTCCGGTGTCCAGCATCCACTGCCATCGAGGCATGCGCAGTCATGAGTAACGTCATCATCGTGCAGTTTTGGGTAATTACTTCTTTATTATTATCAAATATTAACTGAGTGGTACTTTGGGATAATATATTGGGTATTTCATTCGGAAAACTGTGTGTGTTTTTTTTTTTTTGTCATCTTTTGTCATAGTTGATAGCTATCTTAAAATCCTTTTTATGTTGTTCCCAGAGATAATATTGTATTTTGTAGCAGTATATGGCAATCTGTATTGTAATGAAACAATAATTTGACTATTAGACGTTATTGTACTTTCCCCAACTGCGTAGTATCATTGAAAGCTATAAAGCACACCCCCCCCCCCCCTCACTTTTGTTTTCACGAGTTCAACAGCAAACAAGTCATGGGGTCAAACACGCACTGTTTACAAAGTGCGGTAAATGCATCGGTGCGAACTGCAGACAAACTGTATTTTAATTTAAGTCAACGCTGTAACCACGGGCTGTTTTTTAATTTGTTTATTTGCGCTGCCCGCCTGAAAGAGATTGTGAAGGGAGAATAACATGGACGTGGCTCTGTGAGGACGGTCCACAGTGGACCTGCAGCGGCGGATCCACGGTGGACTGATTCCCGGTCCCGCACGGGGATCCGCAGCGTATGCGCTGCGGTGTGTCAACTTCATGTATACTTTTTGCTAGTATGGGTTTTATTATCCTGTTAGCTCTAGTTAGCTCGTGGCGAAGGAGATGGCTATGCTAAATGCTAAATACATGTGTGGATTGTTGTTGAGCCTGGTGTGTTTATATTTTCTCTCTAGGTTGCCATATGTGAGGTGGTAACTGCTGTGCCCTAAAACGCCATCCTAAAGGTAAATTATTATTTTTGGCTTTTGTTGTATTTTCTCTTTCTAATCTTCTTATTTCTCTCAGGTTGTGAAGGTGGAGTTGTAAGCTCTGTTCTGAAAGTATATATCTTCAAGGTACTAAAACGTGAATGCATCCTTGATGATCTTCCTGAATGAGAATCCTCAAAACCTCATCAAAGAGTATATGGTAAGTTACACTGAAATCGGTTATACAGGTGTATACAGATGTAAACATGCCAAGATGACTCAATCAGCTGTAATCGCTACAACCAAAAATGTATCTTGTGTGTATGAATATGGTCTTGAGTGACATCACTTTGGCTGCATGTGTCTTGGTCAAATGTGTGAAAAAAAAACTTATTCACTGACTTTTGTGATCTAAACTCATGGATTAGTTGGGCAATTATTATATTAATATATTTTCAATTTTTTTCCCTTCATAAATAAGTAATTGATGGTCCCAACAGTCTTGTAAAATGAACATGTTATCTTTTGCATAATGTGACACTACTTGTTTATGGTATATTTGAAAACCAACCAATACTTCTTATTGCCGTTCACAATCACAGCTGTCAACGTGTAATGAGCTGTCAACGTGTAATGGATTTAAAATATATTTGTCTTCTTTCAGGATGTCTATGTCATGAAGAATGAGGAACTTGAGCAGATTGATGTTTATGAAGTCACCTGTGAAGGCGCACAACCTGGTGACTCCCTTGAAGATGAAGTATCATGATTGAAAGATGCTCCAGGTGCTCCAGTGCTGCTGGATCTTAAGATAAGATAAGATTTGATTTATTTATCTCACATAGGAGAAATTTACATGTCACATTTGGCATGGATAGAGACACTCAGATTGTGCAAAAGGAGGAAATGTGCAAACATGTTACATGCAGGATATATGTTCAATAAAGTGACAATAATTATGTGCAACAAAAGTGACAAGTGTCATCTTGGAGATATGGTGTGATGTGCATTGTGCACTAATTTACTGCCTCAATCTGAGTTATCCAAGGACACTCCGCTACACATTTGAGTTAATCCAGAAAGTGCTTTTGGGACTGGATGATAAAAAACTTTCAAACAAAACACAAGTGATCAAGAACAGGAGATGCTCCTGAGTCCACAGGAGTTTAACGTCCTCCTGCAGAGTGATAACGCGTCCATTGAGAGAGTTCAACAGAGAATGTTAAATTCTCAATTGTCTTTATAAACAAAAGTTGGAATGTACAGTTTGTAGGTCACCTGTATTTGTGAGAACATCATTTTTGTTTAATGTACTCTGAAAAGTATTTTCACAATCTGCTGTCTGCAGTTATTTGGTTTTGTCAATCAATCAATCAATCAATCTTTTTATTTCGAACTTTGTTGTCAATCCAAATGCCATGTCATTTCATAATGCATAAAAAAATAAACTTTGTACACTCTGTACTTCTATTCTCATTCGAAAAAACAAGGAAAAGAAAAAACAATAATAAATACAAAATATGAGAAGCAATACAAAATTGCAAAAAAACAAAACTAATACAAGATACAAAAAAAAAAAAAATGACAACAAGAAAGTTCGAAAGGGAGTGGGAAGAAGTAAATACTTTTTAAATCCCACCCCCAGTGCATAAATGTTTGGTGGTTGCTTATGTTGTTTGTGTAGTAGCTTAACCTTTATTATATACATCAATAATTCTAATAACTCATGCATAGCTTTTAATTCAATAACTTATACTCTGTTCATGTACAGACTCAAGATTGTGTTTTGCAGATTTTGACACTTAATAAAATACAAATACTACATGATTTAGTAAAGAATCAACATACACTGCAACCCTTAGTTCCGTAATACTGTTATTGTGAGTAAATGATGTATGATGGTGTTGCTACTATATGACTATAGTAAGGATTTTCACTGTGTACTGTACTGTTGTAAAAAGTTTTTCTTTATATTTGACTTTAAAATGGTATATGGTGGGACATTGTTTTAACTTCCAATCCAATTTATTCCACAGTCGCACACCGCACACTGAGACACACATACTTCTCCTCGTGGTTCTTACAGCATTTGGTATAAGTTTACCATTTCCCCTGAGATTACGGCCATCTTCTCTTTCTATAAATTGAGATTGAATGTTGGTCGGCAGAGATTTTTTACTGGCTTTGTAAAGCAATTGAGCTGTGCAAAAATCCACCAAATCCACAAATTTCAATAATTTAGACTGTAAGAAGAGTGAATGTGTGTGTTCCAGGTAACTCGTCTTGTGGATAACTCGTACTGCTCGCTTTTGAAGTAATTCCAATGTTCTTATGGCAGTTTTATAATTGTTTCCCCAAACTTCTACAACATATGATAAATAAGGATAAACTAAACTAAAGTATAGGATGTACAAGGCGTTATAGTTGAGTACCCACTTTGCTTTATTTATAATAGCTATATTTTTCGATACTTTCTTTTGTATGTAATTAATGTGAGATCTCCAGTTTAAGTTTTTGTCGATTATTATTCCCAAAAATTTGATTTCTGTTACCTTTTGTATTACTTTACCATCAATAGTTATGGATATATTTGGGTTTTCCTTGCAGTTACCAAATATAATTACTTTCGTTTTTTCAAGGTTAAGTGATAGCTTATTATTATTCATCCATGTTTTAATTTTTGCCAATTCCTCATTAATAGTGTTTATAGCGTCATCATAACAATCATCTGCATAGAAAATGTTAGTTGTTGTCTGAGAAAAAAAGACTATTCACAAATGGACACAAAGTCGCCCAGTTTTTGTTTAATCTAACTTGTTCCAAAGTTAGTGAATGCACTATTTTTCAATGTTTTGTTCATGTAATATGCAGTGATTTTTGTTCTAATTTGTTGAATGTTCTAAATATTTGAGATAAATAACTACCTTAAATGCATTTTTATGTTTATTCCTTGTTTTTGCTGCAAAGGTTCTGCAAATGTTGAGCAGTAGTAACATTGTGTGTTGTATGAACTCTGCAGATCAACAGCAGATCGACAAATGTATAAGATCTTTGTCCTGCACTTGATGTAATCCATTTGTCACTTTGTTGAAAGAGAAAGAATGTTTTTGATTTTTAATACAACTGCTTTATGTACACTTTTTCAAAGGAGTTTTGCCTCGTTAAAAATAAAGTTGTTAATGCAACATAATTGTGTATTTGTATATGCTCATTCATAGATGTTTTCAGGTTATTGAATGTTTAATTGTTAATGTCTCTGTGTGAAAGTAGAGAAAGGTTCTTCAGCTGTCTATTGTCTAGAGAGGTTGAGTCTTTCATCTCACATCCTAGAGCTCGAATCTATAAGAGGAGATCCTCGAGGATGTGAGACGAAAGATCCAACCTCTGATTAGACTATAGATGTCAAGTGCAATTTTATCTACATTTTACACTACACTAGTTTTGATTACACATTCATATTAAAATGTATTTAAAACATAAACGATGTTAATTAAATCATAACTAAAATTGTTAATAAATCAAAACTAATAATGTTTATACATCATAACTAAGGGTGTTAATTAAATCATAACTAATAGTGTTAATTAAATCCAAAGTACAATGCTAGTGATGCACTTAAATCCAAATTAATAATGTTAATTAAAACCAACATAACATTGTCAATAACCATTTAACAGCATTCAGTAGAATGTAATCACGCAGAGCTGTTGCATTTAAATAACAATTTTACATCTGATATAAGGGACCATAGAGGTTGCAGCTAACAACAAAGTTATTTCACAATTAATTGACTGAGTTTTATGGAAAAGTTTGACATAACTATCAATTAAATCCAACACCTTATTTCTTAGAGTGCAGAAGAGCTCAGCTGAATTCTAATGAAATGTCCTCTTATCTGTAGCGTTTTCTGACACAGATGTGATTTAGAAAGTATCCACTCCCCGTTTCCCAATACCCGTTTCCCAATACCCAACTGCTCCCACAGTCAGCACTGACTGTGATTCAACCTTTTCCAGGCAGAAGAGGCATTTCCAAATATTGCTTTAGGTTGTCTCATAAAGGTGGAGCTCTTGTTGAATATAGAGAATATGGATCTTTTTCAAAAATGGACAAACAAAGAGGGCGTTGTGAGGATGAGCAGCGTGCAGCAGCGTCAGAGGTCACAGTGGGAGCCGTGTGAACTGGAAGACGCCTCATGCAGTATATAAACACTGGGATCCTGGTGTGAACAGAGCAGCGCCAGGCACACTCAAGAGACGCAGCAATATGGACTACCCTCGCAAACGTGAGTTATGGTCCACTTTATTAACATGATACGTTCATAGTTTTATTTATGAATGTGAGATTTGTATGTGTTTTTATTAGCAAAAATAATAATAATACTATATATAACACGCTTTTACATAACGCTCAATGACGTTTCACATACTGAAGCATTATTCGTTCACTCCATACATGGTGGTGGTAAATCATGCTGTAGCCACAGTTGCCCTGGGTTTACGAATACATCTGAAAAAAACATGTTTCTCTGTATTTATTGTGTGAGACAGTGGACACATGACACGGTTATTTCTATTTCTATTTTCAGGAAACCTACATAATTTTGATAATTTACTTTTGAATAAACATTATGACCACAGAACATTTCAGAAATGTTGGGCTAATACTTCAATCATGTTGAATGTGCCCATGTGGCATTTATCTGTTTGGTGTGATGCAGCCCCTCCTGATTCCTGATACAAGGAGATTGTGTGAACAAAGTGAAGAACAATATTGTGTTTTCAAACAGCCTGAAACATCAAAGGTTGTTTGATGTTTCAGGTGTAATCTCAGCAGTGGATTTAAGGAGTCATGAAAACAACCTGGTTCACCGCACAAGAGAGATCCACCGCGAGCGCTTGATCCTTCGCAGGGGGCAGCCCTTTTCCATCACACTGCAGTGTTCAGAGCCCCTACCCCCTGAACACTACCTGGAACTGGTGCTGCATGTTGGTAAGAAGCAACTTTTGGTTTACTATTTATTTTGTGTATTTTGAAATACTGAGTATATCAGGATAGATCAGATGGAATAAGTATCTTAAATTCATTCTTCTTCCTAAAATGGAAAGTATTTTGCAACAAAAGATGTGACCCTTCCTGAGTAATTATTTTGCCCGAAAATTCTTGTGCAAAAGACAGCCGACTTTACAGATGTAAGAACATAAGGTGTGGGATTAACTGTAGAGCAAAGGTCAATACTGGGACCCACATGCAAAATATCAAACAGAAGTCATTCACTTTATTGATGCCACATTTTTTATATGTGTTGGTGATAACTGTTGGTCTATGTGGAAATGAGGACATTAAAAAACAGTGTTTAAAATCAATTCATAGCTCAGTGTGAGGAGGTATTCTTCGAAAGTATTTACCAGATTAATAAAAAAATGTAACACCTATTAAAAGAAAAAAGTAAATGGAGAAAAAAGAGTGATGCCCTCAGCACAGAACAAGTGACGGGAGAGAAGTGTAGGTTCAATGTGGTCAGTGTGTGTGTGTGTGTGTTGGAGTGAGTGAGTGAGTGTGTGCGTGAGTCTGTGTGTGCGTGTGTATGAGTGTGTGTGTGTGTGTGTGTGTGTGTGTGTGTGTGTGTGTGTGTGAGTGTGCTTCATGAATGAGAGGTGCTGGAACAAATTTAAGCATCTGGAGACTTTTTGAGCTTTTGACCATGTTACAATCAGAACCGTTGTTTTACGATCCATCTACACAAACTGTAACTCCGGCCCTCCCTCCTTTTTAAAGCAATGTGGAGTATTGCACATGTATTAGATTTGGCAAATTACGACAAACAGAAGATCTCGCTACCATTTCAATGGCCACAATAATCATATTTCTTCTTCAAAGGCAAAAGAGACAAGGCTGTGATGAAGGTTCAGAAGGAGCAGGGATCTGGGGACAAGTGGTGGTTCGTCCAACAGGAAGTCCAGGATGAGATCCTGCTGACCCTCCACAGCCCAGCAGATAGTCTGATTGGAGAGTACAGTTTGGTGGTGCTGCTGATGTCTCCTGGAGGACACATTCAAGAAAAAACAGACAGAATTAAGTTCCATTTGCTGTTCAACCCGTGGTGCAAAGGTAAGATGTTTATTTCCAGGCGATTTGCATCAATCACCAACAAAACAACAGTGATAGATAGATAATTGCAGCGCTTATATGATGTTTGATGATCGTGATTTTGATGTTTTGTTGTTGCAGAAGATGAGGTGTATCTCCCTGATGAGGGCCAACTGCAGGAGTACATAATGAATGAGAATGGAATCATATATATGGGATCCAAAGATTATATAAACACCCTTTACTGGAGTTACGGACAGGTAAAAAGACACATGGGGCATGAGGCATGAAGCACTAAGCTCTCAGAGGTTAGTGTCATTACGGTCACTTGGGCTGTGGGAGAGCTGAAACTTGTGGACTACAGGTGTTAAAATGTAATCCAACCGCACAAGGGCTGGTCTCCTCACAGTCACAGTGTGCTGCCAAAGTGTAGGAGAAGACTGAGGGGCCAAGAACAAGCAGAGCCTTGTTTAACATGCACACTTTTCAGTTTGAAGACAATGTGATGGACATCTGCTTTGAGATCCTGGACAACTCAAATGAATCGCTGAACAACTGCCATCTTGACAATGAGAGGCGAGGAGACCCCGTCTATATCTGCAGAATCATAAGTGCCATGGTAGGAGTTGTGCCTTGCTTATGAATGTTTGCACATTTTGTTACGACCACCAGCATAAGAACCATATTTATATTTATATCAAGTAAGGTTGTTAAAACAAAGTAAATACTCTGTGGAACCCACCTTTTGCGCAAATCAAGTCAATTGGGGAAAAACTCTACAAGCTTGGCACTTCTAGATACTCAAAGTTTTCAGTCAGATTTGATTGGAAGTATTTGGGAATAGCCGTCTATACTGATCCGTTTTTGTAGTTGTTGTTTTTAAATCATTCTAAGTATCAATTGAATGATTGTACTTTTATAGAAATGATCGTGATGGGATATAAACATCCACGCCAGCCTCAAGCGTGTTGCTAACCTCAGCAACTTTTCTTTCTAGATTGACTTGTATTTTGCAGTTTCTCTTGCACTCTTCCTGTCCCTGCTGAAGAAAAGCAGGTCCAAAGCATGATGCTGCCACCTGCACCATCTCCATGCACTGGGGATGGTGAACTGAGGACTGTCGAGCCATACACAACATTTTGCATAATTTCTTAATTCAAATAATGGGATATGTTTGTATGACCTTAACTATGCTTTAAACTTCTTCCCTGACCTTTGTGGTGTGCTCCTTGGACTTTGTTTAGTGACCAATACCTTCCAAACATAGTGATAAGAGTTTCAAAATAAAATCCTTGGGTTTGTGATTGTGACATGACAGAATGTGCAAAAGTTCAAACTGTATTGTCACTTTTGCAAGGCAACTGGAATGTCCAATCAATATCGTGAGTTTGGATCACTTTTTCCCCCATAGATTAATGCTAATGGTGACAGAGGAGTGATAAGAGGTCGCTGGCAAGAGCCCTACACGGATGGGGTCTCGCCCAGCCACTGGACGGGCAGTGTGCCTATTCTCAAACAGTGGAGCAAGGCCGGGGCCACAGCAGTCAAGTATGGACAGTGTTGGGTGTTTGCTGCAGTGGCATGCACAGGTTAGATAATGATGTGATTTAAAATTGATAACTGCTGAATGTGTGTGTGCGTGTGTGTGTGTGGCTGTGCGTGTGTAATGAACATAACGACTATTTACTTCATTGCACATGGTTTTATATAAAATTTATAAAATGTCTGTATGAACACAAAAACTCAAATTCGGCACTAAATCTAAATACAAAGTCATTGTTTTTCAGTGTTGCGTTGTTTTGGGATCCCAACACGAGTCATCACGAACTTTAACTCTGCTCATGACGTTGATGGAAACCTCTCCATAGATGTCCTTTACAATGAACATCTGGACAGAATAGACCAGGGCAAACAGGACAGTAGATGGTAGGACATTGTGCACGTATTTGGTTCAGTAGTTTCACAAATTATAGCAACCTAGTTCCCCTGATTTTTCTCTATCTGAATTTGATAATTTTAGGAACTTTCATTGTTGGGTGGAGAGCTGGATGAGCAGAAGTGACCTGCCAAAAGGAAACAATGGCTGGCAGGTACTGGACCCAACCCCCCAGGAGCTGAGTGAGGGTATGCAGACACGTCACTGTCAAATATTACTTTAGCACACACTCAATGTGCTTTTAGAATAATAACACTTTACATTTAGGAAAGTTTTGCTGTGGGCCATGTCCAGTGACTGCCATAAAAGAGGGAAACCTATCAGTCAAGTATGACGCTCCGTTTATATTTGCTGAGGTGAATGCAGACATTGTGGAGTGGATGGTTCGCACTGATGGTCAAAAGCAAAAGGTATTTTGCAAATTGGATTCATGCAAAGATGTAGTATAGATGATGCATTTGTGTTATCAATAGATCAGAGTGGATGCGAGGAGTGTGGGAAAATATATCAGCACCAAAAGTGTTTTCGGTGACTTCAGGGAGGACGTGACTCACAATTACAAATATTCAGAGGGTAAGTAAAATCCATTTAGATATAGTATCTTTAAATAATCTTGAATGTATAATGAAATCATCACATTGACTCATTGCCCTTAAGGTTCCATTGAAGAAAGAGATGTGTACAACAAAGCAGGTCGAAGAACTCCTGTACCAACTATTGAAAACTCTGGACTGGATAATCTGGAAATGATCATTAAACATACAAAACCTGTATTTGGGACTGACTTTGACGTCATTATTGAGGTGAAAAAAAAAACAACAACAATATAATCACCACCCAGTGCAATGCTCATCTGTAAATGTCAGGCCCTTTAAAACTCCTCCCGTTGGTCTGTAGGTGAAGAATAACGGTGTTAAAGATGCTCAAGCTCATCTTACAGTCCTGGCTTTCGCTATGACTTACAATTCCATCCACCAGGGGGAGTGTCAGAGGCAGAAAATCAGCCTCTCTCTCCCTGCTCTTGAAGGTAAGGCACATCTGCAGAGGTACACATCTACAGTTATCTTCTGACTGTGTGGATCATACATGTAGAATATAGAAATAACACTTTAGCTTCCTCTCATCCTTTATGTGTTTTAGTGCACAGGGAAGTTCTGCGTGTACGCTATGATGAGTATGTGAGGTGTGTGTCTGAACATTACCTGATTGGATTAAAAGCGTTCCTAGAAGTGTCAGGAGAAAACGAGCCCATAATGAAAACAGCGAACATCCCACTGAGCAAACCCGAGCTCCTTGTTCAAGTGAGAATACACATACATCATGAACTGTAACGTGTTCTACTTATTTGTATTCATGTTATTTGTATATAGGTGCCTGGCAAAGCTATGCTGCTTGAGACAATGACCAGTACCATCTCTTTCACAAATCCTTTGCCAGTTCCACTAAAGGGTGGAGTATTCACAGTAGAGGGAGCTGGTCTTCTGTCTGCCACTGAAGTCCATGTAAAGTAGGTGCTGATGAAAGATCTGATGCATTTATTTAGCAGTCTGTGTTAACACAATGTCTGTTATTTTCAGAGGGGATATAGCTCCAGGCCAAAGGGTGACAGTGAAACTCTCCTTCACTCCATTGAAGCCCGGAGTGAGAAAACTCATGATCGAGTTTGACTCAGATCGGTTGAAGGATGTGAAAGGAGTGGCCACTTTAGTTGTTAGAAAAAGATATAATCCTTTGATTATGAGATACTTTTAATGCATGTAATGCAGTTTTTTTCCTAACAAAACTGAAAACGTAAATAAGTGTGTTCCAACTGTGATCCAAGAATAGATGTTGATGCTTTTCTTTATTTTTCTGTGTTACTTTTTAAATAACAAACAAGCATATCTCTCCAACTGATCAGAAATGTTTTGCTTTTATATTTTCTTGCGTGATGATAATTGAAATTTCCTTGACAAGAATTTGTGCCCCTTTCTATCTAAGTAGGCACTTTAGACAAGTAGGCAATTCATTTACAACATGATTGTTAGAGTCATTCAACACAATCAAAATTGTGACATATTCTAGTTGGCAGGGCAAATTGTGTGGTATCATTAAATGTGTTTCTCTGTCACTGTTTGGACATCAGATGAGTTAAAGGTTTGAATTTTTAGTTATGATGTTTTATGTACTAAACATAGCACACTTATCAAATGTTTTCCATTCAAAGTAATGCAGAAACTACATTTGATGGACTTTGTAACATAATTTCTTAAGTAAAATGGTACAAATAAGTAATCTGCTAATATAAGATTCTTTAAAACAGACAGTTTTAATTGTTGGATTATTTAGAGAATAAGATCAATTGTAGACCCTCTGTGTCTTTGGCTTCTATCTTGTGATGTCTGACAGCATTCAAATTGATGCATATCTCAGAAATGCAGCTCACGTCGTCTATATTTTCAGTGATTTCATGTCTAACACTTTTACACTATGTTGTTAGTGTTGTTTGAGGTTTCTGCACATAGGTTTGTTCTTTATGAAGCGGGCTGTTGGACTAATAAGGGAGTTCTTTAGAGAAGGAGATTGATGCCAGACCAGTGACAGCAGCCTTGAGATTTCTTCCTTATCTCAAGGAAGGAATAAATCTATAGGTTGGATGTGTGAATCCCTTTTTAGGTGTGGAATGGAGAGATGCGGAGGGGGAAACCAGACAAAGGCCAGACCTGATGCAGAGTCCAGACCGGGACCAGGAACTGGCTGATACGACACGCCCCTTCTGCACATTATTACTTATATGATTTTGCCTGATGTTTTAGTTCAGTCAGATAGGGTGAGCCCATAGGGAAAGAGAGCAGAAATAGTTAGGGTAGGAGCTTTTTGAATTTCTGTATCTGATTATAAAGATAAATTAAATACAGATGTTTAACTTGGAAATCTTCGTCTTGTTTTCTGCATCAAATTCTGACACACGCTAACGGTTTTTTTAGACAATAAAATGCAGTATAATCTTGTGAAATGTGACCACAATTGTCTTTTTTTAGTCAAGTAATAACTGGAATGTAATAAACTGTTTGTTTTTGAGGCACACCACACATAGATAAAACATTCCACTTCCATAACAAGTGATAAACATGGCATTAAGACAGGTGTAGCTATGAACAGGGTGGCATATGGGCTCTATGCACGCACCACTTCCGCGTTTTAGCTACAACCCCACTTCACTTCCTGTTCGAGGGAAATGGCTTGAGTTTCACTGTTTACAGGAGTTTCTCAAATAATGCTCAAACGGGAATTAAACTGTTAGGATACTGGGCATTTTTGGGACACAGCAGTGCTCTCTGATTGTGCTGTCATTTTGTTTTTATAAAGTTTACAAATCTCTCTGAGTGGCCACAGTCAAAGCTCTAGCTCAGAGAGAAAGCACAGCAACACTTTTGGGTCAGTCTCACAGCTGAATGTATCAATCTCATTACTAAAGAACGTCACTAAAACCCACCTAAAAGCCATAGGATAGCATAGGCAGGAAGTGAATGGGCTGTGCTTTGTTAACAGGAAATGACGTTACGCCTCCCCGTGCATATAGCCCATTTGTCCCCCTTACACCTATGTTGTTTGGTAAGTCAGACAATCATATTTTATTCTAATGCCAAAAGTAGAACACTTTCCATACTTTTATTTATAGAAGTGGTATGTTTCAGACGGCTCAATTTTCACCAATGCCGTCGTTATCATATTAACAATAAAAAAACAAGTGGAACGTTTGTGGTTGGTATTGTATTCGCTGTTGCGAAGGACCTATTTTAGTGTGACACAAGACGTCATCGGTGTTTTGCAGGTTCCGTTTATGGTTCAGAACAGTCTGAGGTGGATTTAAGTGAGTAGTAGCTTTTAATACTTTATCCAACCTTACATTGTTGTGGATTAGCGTCAATGTCAGCAACTCTCGCATGTAATTCTTGTTTAATTTCCCTTTAGCACAAATAGCGACTGTGCGCTGAACTGGTGGCGCTGCTGCACAGATCTGTGCTAAATGCACAACAGTCTTAATAAGGGACAATGCACGTATAAGGTGCTTGAGCGTTTGCTGGAACAACGCGTGGTGCATAATTCCATTTCAGGCTAAATCTATTAATATACTCACTATGCCATGGCATGATATACAAGCCGTGCTGGTTTGCATTGGATACAACTATCAATAGTGGATAAAATGCACACCACATTGTAAGCGTATTAAACCTGCACAGTAATAGTACTTTGTTGTAGTTGTGTAAGTAACGTTACTACAGTTGGGACATAATCCGTAAACGCAATGCACCAGGTTGTCCACAAGAGGGCAGCACATACCCTTATTATTATAATAAAGCCATGTGTCATCACCAGTCTAGATAAAAAAAAAAAACATGGCACGTCCTGTCTTTATACCATTAACCACTATATATATATATATATATATAACAATTAGACAGTCATTTGCCAATTAGTTAATAGGACTATGCAATGTAACTGAGAATTATATCTGAAATTTGGTGTCTGTTTGAATTTTCTTAAGCCAAAGGACCGTTAAAATGGCTGAGGCGGCTGCTGCTGGTGGTGGTGGTGGTGGTGTAGACCTGAGCAGGAAGTTTGTGTCCGAGTCTGAACTTGATGAGAGAAGAAAAAAGAGACAAGAGGAATGGGAGAAAGTCAGAAAACCTGATGATCCAGAAGGTAATGTATTACCAAACAAGTGCCAGAAATCTTTCTTCCAAAATGTTTTAATTTCAGTTATTGTGTTTTACAGAGGCTCCAGAGGAGGCATATGACCCCCGATCTCTGTTTGAACGGCTACAGGAGCAGAAAGACAAGAAACAAGAAGAGTTTGAAGAGCAATTCAAATTCAGTGAGTTTTTTTTTTTTTTTTTAGTTTGCTTAGATTTGAAGAGACTAATCAACTGTAACTTCTTCTTTGTATAAATGATGGACCACCATCAAAACCAGGGCTCTTCTACCTTCATAAGAAGACAAGAAGAACACACACTAAAACTGACTAAACATTGTTTTTGCAATCCTCTGTTTACGCTGTTGAACACATACGTTTGTCAATAAGGTGTATAGAATATTGTTGTTGTTGGTACATGTCATGTGTGTTTCCATGGTTACAGAGAACATGGTGAGGGGATTGGATGAGGAGGAGACCAGCTTCCTGGACGAGGTTTCCCGGCAACAGTGCCTCGTCGAGAAGCGGCGGAGAGACGAAGAGAAGCTGGAACTGCTGGAATACAGAATATCCTTTCATCTTGGTGTTGTTTAGAGACATTACCATTTTAATTACTACATCTCACTGACTACAATGAGCTAAAATGTGTTTCAGCCGCTGCGTAGGTTTGGGCCTTCACATAAGTGCAAAATCAGTCAGGGGGAAGAGTGCGGACAGACACTGACAAAACAGCATTAATCAAGTTGAAACCACAAGTTTAGTGGCTGCCATTAGCAAATCACAAAATCTGTAAGTTTTATATATTTATAGATATTATAGCAAATTAAGCCACAGGGGCCAAAATAGCATAACTGCCACATGAGCTCCTGAATCCAGTACACTTTGTATACAACAACCTGGCTTCCCCTTACATCTTTTTGTATTATTTCTGTTATAGATTTAAGTAATCCTCTATTTTAGCATCGTCCATGACAATTTTCTCAATAGTTATATATACAGTTTTTACGTACATTTTATGGATATCGGTTACTTTTGATTACCAGTAAAATAAAACTTTTATTCATCTTAATTGGTTTATTGCTATTTATTTATAATGGCCTTTGCACATCTGTCTGGAAACGGTTTTGTTTGCTATATCTGTGTTTGGATTCTGGGCAACTCCATGCAGTCCAGTAATGTTTGCCAACCAAGTTCATGAATGCCGATGAGATCCTGTTTTTTTATCCCCGTCCCGCTTTCCACTTAGATCTGATTTCTTGTATTTCCTGCTGTGGTTGACCCATGTTGGGAATGGTAACAAAGTGCTTTTGTTGCATCTTGCGTTCGTTACAATGCCAAGAGTTGGTAGTCACTGTCATTTAACTTAAGATGATGTATTTTATCCAAGAAAGTCACTCACGATTACAAATATGAAATTTCTTGTTTTATGTTTTAGCTGTAGAAAATATACTATAGACGAGGACTTTCAATTCAGGTGTAGCTGCTCCGTGGTCGCTCAGTCAGAATGGTGACAGACAGGCTCGTTTGCAGATGAAACAGAAAATGGGTTGTCGTGGAAACTGTATTACAGGCTGGTAACTACGGTGACAGTGGATTTTTTTCCCCTTTTTTAAAGCCTTCGTGCAGAAGTGCAGGTGTTCGTTAATGCACAGAAGCAGGGGGTTGTGGACCTCTGTCTCACTGTTCACTAAATTGGACATAGTCTTGAACTCGCATCACTCTTCCTCTGTCCTACTTCATTCCCAAGTCCTTGTTTAATCCTGTTTGTGTCATTCTCGTCCGCGTTTCATAGCCGATTACAAGTATGTCACTGTTCAAAGGGTCCATCAGTTCATCTACTTGCTATGTCATGCCTTGACTTTAGGCTACAGTGCTATGGCAAAGCATTCGGCATCTGAAAACCGCAGAGAGCCCGAAAAGAAGACCACATCCAAACAATCTGTAGGAGAGCAGCGGACCAGCCACTTGTCCCAGGCTCACTTACTTGCTGGAGCTGTCAAGAGGCGCAGGTACAAATGCAATGAACACAGTATGTAGATGGTTGGCAGGAAGATCAAAGCTCCTGGTCATTTTAAACTTTCAAGTCAGGAATTATATGACACCATATTTGACAATTAATACATTTACCCAATGGCTAAAATATCATCCATTCTTCCTGTGTATGTAAAAGTATGAGCACAACGGTTGGTAACTTCTTGATATGTCTCAGAAGCTTATCATTAAGGCATTATGGAATTACTTGTTTATTTTCTATTGTCTACAGTTCCTCACAATCATCGGACGGCGCTAAAAAACAGAAGGTGGAAAATGCAGGTTCAACAACAACAGGAACTGGAGACATTCACACAGGTGGGCTGCAGCCGTGAAGTCAAGTGCAAGATGGCATTAGTATGAACTTATTATTATAACTGTAATTTGTAAGTTATTATAGCCATAGCTGTTTGTGAAAGCCTAATCTCATCAGATCTCAGAGGGTTGGTTAGTCCTATACTATGGGGGAACTGGTCGCCAGTTAGATTGGCATCAGTTTAATTCACGGCAGCAATGACTACATTAGTTTGGCTACCGCTAGGATAGAAGTTGAATAGCAAGCCTAAAATCTCATTTTTATCATGCTAAGGTTGGAGATTTTAGACCTGCTTCAGTAATATGCTAAATATAGAGATTTTAATTTATTGTTTTAGTGTAATGGCGACAGTAGCTCAGCTGGTAGAGTATTGGCCTTTGAGCCTGAAGGTCATGGGTTCCAGTGAGGGGCTGGTGCTCTATGAATTGGGTGGCATCTGATTGTCACCCCCCCGACCCAGGAATGGACAAAAGGCGAAGAAAATGGATGGATGGTTAATTTATGTTTTGCTTTGTTCTCCTCATTCCTACTGTTCTGTAACTGGTGATGCCACTCTGAAATGTTTTCAATGTGGGACGAATAAAGGATCTCTTAATCCTAATCCCAAAAGTTATAGTGTGGCATTGTCACACTCTTCTCCCTCTCCGCCTCTCGTCTTGTGTATATTATGAATGAATGAGAGAAGGCAGGTAAGGTCACTGAAATATTTTGGCTATCGTGAAACCTGTTGCCTGGCGGTTGAAAACCAATGTCATACAATACATGGCTTTTTCCCTTAGTTCCAAGTGCAGTGTAGCTGTAAGGGAGTTAACGGTGTGTTGTATTGTTCAGAGCAGGAGCGAGGAGCCTCTGCAGAAGCCGAGGCGGCTGATCGGCCTCCAGGAGCCACCTCTAGAGCCGTCTCCCAGAATGCCAGTCGGGGCGTGGTGCACCTTCCCGCCGCTGCGGTCTGTGTGGGCGTTCTACCTGGACTCTGCAATTACTCCGGCAGCAGTGACTCTGACAGCAGCTCGGACAGCGAAGGTAGCGTGGATGCAATCATGTCGCCGTACCCCCGGCAAACCAGGGCCTTCAGATAGATGAATAGAATGTTCAATACTTATTCAAATAGTAATTTATGACTGTTGAGGTTTGCTCCCTGTAAAATCCTCCTATAATAAGCTGTGATGTGAGTTGACGTGTTATCCAAACTGAACCTGTGCTTTTCTATTTGTGCTTTTTTTGATTGTGGTACTCAAACATGACGCCTCCACCCACCCACCTCCATCCTCCCCTTCAATCACATACCACGCAGTTTAAGCCGGCAGCCAATCCCGCGCTGCCTGTCCTGACGGCAGCCCGCCCCCTTCCCCTCATCTCCCTCTCCTCGTCCCGCCCTGAGCCGCAGTGGCCGTAGGCTGGCTGAGGGATGTGATTGACAGCTATGGCGCATTGGAGGAGACTGCTTACATTGTCATGCGTCTTTTTAGGAGAGGAGAGCAAGCCCTGACAGCCTCTGTACCTCCCAGAAATCTGTTTATCACTGAATTAAAGATTGTGTGCTGCGCTGCTTTTCTTTTGGAGCAGGTCAATAAAGTACTTTATCTCATTGTGTATGGTCATTGCGCCTGGTGACCTTGTTTAACCCAGACAGAAACATGCATTTTGAACTTTGAGACGGCAACCTCCTGGACAACATTAAAAGAACCAGTAGACGCACATCAACATTTACTTGAAATCCTCATTTGACTTTTACTGTTGTACAATAAACATGTAACAATTGCTAGTGATCATATTTAAGTGTTGTTTAAGTTGTTGCATTGATAAATGATATCTGCGAAACTCATTTTAATGTCGCTAATCACAATCCTACAAATGTCACTAATAACTAATGCACTACTTAATATCACTTTGATTGTAGCTTGCTTTAGTTTCATGGTGAAAAATGAAGCCATTGTCAGTGCAATGAGTTGCTATGACAACAAATGATATACCAAAGATGTCACATCAGGACTGAAGTGGAACCACTCACCAGTGCAGAAATGGAAAAAAAATAAATTGTTTATTTACAAGAGAAAAACACAATGGAAACAAGGTATTTTGTGAAACTACAGTAAATTGCACACACCCAGAAACTGGTTTATCTCTCGAGGCCACACGGTCGTAAGAATGGTTTAAGCCCTCCCATCTTCCCCATTATGAAAGTCTGTGGTATTGTTTGTTTTGATAGCATTTTAGCAGAAGGGTTTTTTTAATTTCAGCCTATATCTCACAGCACAGATTGTAATAAACATAGTTCAATTTAACCTGAGTGTGGACAAAGACAACTTTATAAAATTGGCCAGAGTTTGTACAGAGGTGCACAATAAAACATCTGCATTAAAGCACACAATTTAGCACAGCATAAAAATGACATTAAAAACGGACCAAAACAGCATCATATAAATGTACATTCAATAAATATGCATATTAGGATCTCTGCTGACAGTAATACGCAGACACTGTTAACACTTGTTTTTCAGCAGAATTGCATTATTGTATTTACAAAATATAAATATAGATACATTAAATAATCGAGGGATTCATGCTCTCATAAGTGGTTTGTAAACGATACAATACTGGCAACATGCAAGAGAAACGAGTCAGTGGTTAGACAAGGATTTTGCAAAGTATAGTCCCACATTTGACTTTTCTTAAAAGGCTCGTGCTGCTACAACTGTTCTATAGAACCTTATTCGGGCCAGACTCTTCTCCACTGCTCTTTTGACACGCTCCTCCTCGAGGAGCTACAGGCCACAGCAGGGTATCACTCACTGACTTGCTGAGCAGAAGACTTGACACCAAAGGTTTCACATGATCCACTCACAGACACACACATGCATGAGGTCCTATCCATCGTTTCTTTAAGAGGCCCGTTCTTTCTGCATAAGTCAGTTGGCTGTGTCTGCCAGGCGCTGGACATACCACCACCACAGTCGTTTATCCAAAGAAATTCTATTAACCAGACAACAGAGTTTGCTGCAGTGCTCAGTCCGCAGCTTGAGCCACACGTCATTCAGCAGTTTGAGCAACAACTATATTTTGGAGCTAATTACAGGGGACAATGCCCAATGAGCGCTCACTCGGGAGCAGGGTTGGCTGGCGGGACGTTCCGCTGCTTGAAATACTGGGTGACTTGCTGAGGCAGCTCGGCCAGCACAGACTTGGCCAGGGTCTCTTTTGGAGCCTGAGTGGAGCAGAGAAAGAGAATTATCAGCTGTTTAGAGATTTACAGGGACGGTCCCCGCCTGAACGTCTGCCAATAGAAACCAGTTTATCTCACTGGGAGAAAAATGTGTTCTGTGTGATTCCATGAAGCAGACAGTTCAAGGTAGGAAATATTTCAGAACATTCCCCATGGAGATAAGTTTAATTCCATATTGTACAAAAATATATCCTTAGCAATGTTTCTATGGGAACAAGCTGGATGACCTGTCCTCCAGGTCAAATACAAGTTACAGTAGGTTTGTGGAGATGGGGTGTGACAATGTGTTGTGGTGCAATGTTATTATGACATGACATGTATAAGAGAGACAATGCACAACCCTTAGGAGGGCATTATCATCTTGGTGTGTCCAAAAGTAATAACTTTGTGGAAATAGACCCATAAATATATATTGAATATTATTGAATCCATATGTATGCAACAAAAGCTTCAAATGTCCTGACAACAGCAGCGCTACAGTTTATTCAGCTAAAAAAACATCAATAAATGTTATTGAGATCCAATCAGAAGCAGGACTGGTCTGTTTCCGCTCACCTCAAATTGTTTTGGCCAAAATGGTGAGTGTGAATGATCAGTTTATGGAGCCAAATTGGCACAAAACGTTACTCATGAGCAATTTTATATTAGGCACCAACAATCTGGCTCATGCAGTCTATGGTTTAAAGTGAAATAAGTACAATACAACAATTTTAAACCATGTCGAAATTGCAATTGCACATGTACAATGGTTTTAGGTTCCTCTCATTAGGAGCTCTTGTGTTTGTGTTGCCGTCTCCCACTAACAAACTGGACTAATGCCAGCAGCGTGTCTGTTCCTCCCACTTCACAGGAAGTCAGAGCGCCCACTGCCCGCCCACACAGACCGCTCTAAATGAATGTAACAAGAATGATGTCATTACCTTATAACCTCCCTGTGGGTCTGTATGTAAATCTGTAACATGGTCTAGTGTAACATGTCAATTATAACAATAGAAAGCTGTTGTTTGTAGGGTCACATTTGCCAGATCACTAAACAAGCTTCAACATCATTTTAAAAGTGAAGGAAAGATTTTGAACAGGACTTACATTCCGGAAATCTCTAAAGGGGACAAACTGCACTATGTCCCGGACTGCCTCCTCCCCAGTGCTGGAACGCAGGACACTGGCATCCCCATCCAAGAACTCCATGGCAGCGAAGTCGGCGTTGCCTACTCCGATAATGATGATGGACATGGGCAGTTTGGAGGCCTGGACGATGGCGTCACGGGTCTCGTCCATGTCACTGATGACACCGTCAGTGATGATGAGGAGATTGAAGTACTGCTGCAGAGGGAAAGGCAACAACAGTACTTTTGGTTAACTTTGATCCTTTAAAACAAGTGTTTTTTCATTTATAAAATATGAATATTCATCACGATTAATTTGACTGGAGAGTGAAGTGTGAAGTGAAAAGGGTATTGTGACTGGTAAATCTTAATATTTACATTATACATAATCTTGATGGTCCCGCTGCCGTTTCAGTAACCACTAGTGATCTGTTTGGGAGGCACTGGACCAGACTTTTATCACCACCATATTTCCCAGAACTAACATAAAGATTGCCATGTGTTTTGCTGCTGTATTTGCTTGGCCAGCAGGCAGCACACAAAAGAAGACTTTGAAAAGCACACAACTAAACCAAACAACACGACACAAAAAAAACTCACACAAAAAGTTTTTTTTTTGGTCACAGAATGTTGTGTGATAGGCAAGGTAACTACTTAGAACAAAAGCTCTTTCAGTGTACACACAGACACGCTGGGTGGGCTCTGAAGCCAGTCCCTTTAATGTGCTAACAGCAATGCTCATTAGAGAATCATTCTCACAAAGACAGACGCGCGGCTGCGGGCCAGTGCGGTCAGAAAGACTCGCCGGCTCTCATTATCTGCAGTTCAGCAACACCAGACCCGAGCGGCCACAACCTACGGTGCTTCCACATACTCCCACACACAAAGCACATGGAAGTTTACAGCCATGGGTGCGCTGCCACATGTCAAACCAGCCTGATGAGCCTGAAGAGGGAGCAGAGGAATGATTCTCCCAGAGACGAGACACAGCTCACACTAAAGAAATTTAGAAATTTGCTGGTGTGTTTTGCACTCAGCGGGTGACAGGATACAATTAGGAACAAAAAGCCCTGTGGGAGCATAATGATAGCCAACTACTGAGCTTCTGAACACTGGAGCAGGAGTCACAGCCTCTAAGGAAGAGATAGAGTGTGGACAAAGTCTTACAGATGTTTAAGCCACTGGTGTCGTCCAAACTGTAGTGTAGCCTTTGAACTGAGCACGTTCTATTTTTCTGGTGAGACAGGCCTCTTCTCTGACAATGTTTAAAACCAGGTTAAAAACTGTTTTGTTTAGCTGTGCATACAACTGAGATATTTTTCTTCTTTCTTTCTTTTTAATGTACTGTGATAATTTCATTTGAATGCTTTCTTATTTTGTTCAGCACTTTCAGTTGCCTTGTGTATGAAATGTGCTATACAAATAAGCTTGCCTTGCCTTACTGGTGAAGATAACTGAGAGAAGACTGATATGTAAACAAAAAACTGGGCGGCACGGTGGCTGAGTGGATAGCACTCTCGCCTCTCAGCAAGAAGGTTCTGAGTTTGAATCCCAGTCGAAACAGGGCCTTTCTGAGTGGAGTTTGCATGTTCTCCCTGTGTCCTACGGTTTCCCCTACCACTAAATACATGTGCAATAGTTCAGGGTTTGTGAGTGCTGGTGAATATGGGACAACGGATGCAAATTAGCCCATGGCTACAATCCAGAGTCATGTACTCTCCCAAATAAACAAACAATAATTATGTGGACTACAGATAAAAAAAGTATCATTATGTCTAATAATGTTTGGCTCTGTTACTCTACTCTCTGTATGTTTTTTTTTTTTTTTTTTTTTTTTTTTTTATTCTTTATTTGAATTGGGACAGTGCACATTAATCAACATGTGTTTTTTCAACATGTAAATGCGCCGGAGTTAGCCATATAGGCTAATTTTCATCCGTAGTCCCATGGCAGGTTGATGTCAAGATAGGTAGTATAGGACATACAACAGGCACAAACATACAGCAGAAACACCATCACAGAGACATAAAAAAGACAGTGAAAGAAGAATACAACATATAGTTAAAAATGCAAGGAATATATAAGAATTTGTTCAACTAAAAAATCAGAAAGGGACAATACACACAACACCATAATCTTCCACACAGCAAGACATGTATCAGTGTTTGGTGACTTTAGTTCATGTTGTGTTCACATGTCTGATTGTCCAAAAGCCACTTCTTCACAGAGTTCCTTTTTTTTTTTGTATGTGTTTTGTGTTTATTAGTTGGATGGTTCACAAAAATGGCAATGGTTGCACTTTAAACTGCAACATTATTATCCTGCCCCAATAAATTAACATCAACAAACATAATGAATCTTGCAATAGTTAGAAAATTGACAGCTTGCAGCTGATCTTGACTTATTTCTGTCCCCAAGTGACACATTTGGAGAAGTTGCCAGAATCATCAGCGATTACACATAAGGCTGTGAAGTCTGTGAGCAGCCAAACACGGGCCTGGATCTCTCATTTGTGACTCCAGCAGAAGCAAGGTGAGAAAAATCCATGCTGTGGTACAAATGGCAAATAAATGTTTGGGTAGAAAAAACGAGCCGAGACTGCTTCATAGAGACCCACTATGTTTTAAAGAAAATGCACAACACAATGTATGTACTGATAAAACTAATTCTTTTGCAACTTACGTTAAAATGCGTTAAATTGTTTTAGCTTTTACTTTTATCTGATAGATAATCTGAAAAGCAAATGGAAATGTAGTTATATTATCAGTTATATCTGCATCCAGACCCTCCTCCTTCAACTATCAGCCATTTGCAGTTGCTGATGTCCAGTCCAAGCACAACGCTCACTTGTCTCAGTCTTTCAGGGTTCCATAAACTTTCTTAAACTGAGGTCCATGAACCCAAAGCCTGCTGTAGCCACACGCCAGTTTACACAGGGTTTGTGAGTAAAGGCCTCGAGAGCCTGATGGACCGTACACTTTGAGATTGAAGGATGTCTATGTTTACACTTTGACTGTCCCCATCATCAGGATGATGGAGCTAAATGTCTTTTCAGTTATTGTCGCTGTAGAAAAACTTGAGCTCTGCATTTGACACATCCTTCAAAACCACTAAGGCCTCTGTCAGGAGCTGTGGTGGACACCTCCAGATGTTGATGCTCGGCTTGGTCAGGACCAGAGCTTGATGATTTCACCTATTGAACATGTTTTAATGGTAGGGAAACTGGAGCATCCTGAGGAAACTTGGGACTTCTTACAGGAATAGACTTCTTTCATCCAGTGCAAGTGCAAAGACAAAAAGTCGAGGCCACTTTCTTCTACAGACTAAACTTAGTCTTTTCTTTTATTTAATGATCATGGTTATCTGGTTTTATAAGTGTGTATTTAAAAAGAATGGCTTTAAGGGTTGTGCTGTAAATGCCTCTTGACCAGGACACATTTGGAAAATAGATGGATTCGGGTTTTCCTAGTTAAATAAAGCTTACAATTTAAAATGTGTAAAATGTGTGTTCAGCATGTCCAAACTCAGGACAGTATAAACAGGGACATAAACCAAATGAAACAAGCCTAATGTTTAAGTGCTTATTCATGCTGTTTTTGTGCTCAAAGTAAATACAAGAAAACATTTCCCAGTGGGACAATAATGGTGTGTTTTTTGCAATAGATCTTTAGCTAGGACATGACAAAATGTGAGTAATAATACTTTTCCCCATTTCCAGCGCCAATGAAAGCTCAACAAAAAAGCGAAATTGATCCCTTGCACCCATTGCGCATTGGTCAAATAACATCCTCTAAAGTTTACACTTCTGACACAAAAAATAAACCTGAACCGACCCATAGAAATAATAAAAGATTCCCAACCTGAGGATCATAGGAGAGAAAGGAGAGGCCGCCATTGAAATGCAGTTTTGCCTTCACTACACCGTGTAAAATCACATAAAGCTATGTGTCGCCTACCGCTGCTTTCTCTTGCTGAAGGGCCTGGGCAGCAAAGCGTGCTACATGGTTGATAATTGGAGCGAAGTTGGTGGGTCCATAGAAACGGATGTGAGGCAGGCAGGCAGAGTACGCCTGTGCGATCCCTTCCACACCTACAAACAACAAAGATTTGAAATCATTCATTATTTGATGTTGCAGAAGTATGGCTTCAAATGCAAACTCCTTCAAATCAGTGGTTATTGTTTGGTTTGAGCTATGAAGAGTGCTGAAGGCTCTTTCAATAGAGAATGCTGCAGTTTTCTCAGGGGCATTTCGAAGATAGCTCATTGAGTAACCTTAGAGAGAGGGCACTTGTGTAGGCAGATGTTTAAGAAAGAACGAGTTGAGCTTGGTCTTTAGCTCAGGCATTGTGGATACATGGGTATATCAGTACTTTCTGACAATATATAGTACTATATATATGTGTGTGTATATATATATATATTACTATACTATACTATACTACTAAATATATATTTACTGCCTACACAAGTGCTAGATTAAGTAGAGCACACACACCATTATATACAAATGATTTGTTAAACACAGCACACGATGCTTCAGATCAGCTCAAATGGAAGAAGCACACAGTGTACTTACTTTAATGTGATTATCTCTTTAGACTCAATCTACTAATGTGCCTGGAAAGAGTGGCTGAAATTAAAACATTTCTTATTATTATTATTACTTGAACATTGCATCCGACTCATCCCAATAGTTACAAGATCTTTAGGTGGAAAAAATATAGTATTTTGAAAAGATTAAGAAAACAGCCTTTGGGATGCATACGGAAATTACTGTTATGTATAAAAGTAAAAGATGGAACCCTGTTTTAGACCATAGAGGGGCTGCAAATATTGGTTATTCATAGAGTTGGCAAATTATTAAAAACAACAATATTTTTTTCTTTAGTAGTGAGACTTTGTGCAATGTGATACAGTCCTTGCAAGCTTAAGTGGTTTTAGACAAAAATGAAACAACAGATCTGGACAGAATAAAGAGCAGATAGGAGAGAATTGTCAGCGGACACATTATAATACCATACTGCACAGAACATTATTGACGGAAAATAATAATTAGTTGACATTTTACATTCAATAATTTTGCCATCATTGTTTTGCATGACAATTATTATGATAGAACACTGTGAACTGCGATTAATCTTACGATCTTTCTGGTCACATGTTGCCTACATCACTCGCTGCATAGTGTAATTTATTACACTGTGAAGTTAGTATCTAGCATCTTTGCAAAAATCTTTGGTAAAACATCTGTCTCCGTGACGCTGTAGAGCTGATAGTTCAAGAGTGGTATTTCTACTTCTCAGTGTGAAAAGGCTGTTCTGAAAAAAAAAAGAATTTTAATAAGCCTTATGTGTAAGTGTTTTGATGGAGTTTAATAGAGCTAAATATCTACTTTCTCCGTTCTCAGTTTGAAAACCAGCTGCCCCAGCTTTTAGGCATTTGTCACATTTAGTAACAGGAGCAGAAAGCTACAGTGATAAACAAAAGTAATAATACAACTTCACTATTGCACAAAGGAGTAGATATTTTCAGAAATGAATGTGTGTGTTAAAAATTCCATTGATATGTATTAAAGGAAATACAATAAAGCCTTATCAGTGATCAAAGAAAAAGAAAAGAACAATTATGTATCAATTTGCTTTCACCACAACTGTTTATGTGTTGTGGCTTTTAAAAAGAAGATGTATGTTTGTGGCCATAAACCTAACAAAACGTGCAAAAGTTCCAGTTGTATTACTACTTTTGCACAACCGCTAGAGTCTGAGCTGAAAGTGCACGTTGTCAGATGTGGTGCTTTGGTGACCGTCCACACTCACCTGAGCAGAACGGGTTGGTGGGGTCAAAGTTTATGGCAAACTCATGAGAGACCTAAGAAAGAGCACAAATCCAATGAAGTCCGTCATTCTAACATTCTGAGTAAAATATTGAGAAAACATTGTCCATCTCTCCCACTCGCAGCCTCCCACCCTCTGTGCACTGCTCTCCTTTGTCCTTTTCATCCGCACACTGCCATGGCAACACAGATGGGTTGACAGTTGCGTAATCATGTGAATATGCATGTATAATATTGGGTTTGGTGTAAGGGCTTCAAGCATTCGCACTTCTCATAACAAACTCACGCAACAGTAGTATATCACACGCACAACATCGCCCTATCACACACAACTGTCACGATACTACATTTTCAAAATCCACTTCAAAACGCATGAGAACATAAAAATGGACAATAATCTAATTAAAGATAAGATTGACATTGTTTTTTTTATGGCACACTGTTTAATCATAGGTAAGACGCGGTTGTAAAGCTGGAGAACCTAACTTTTTTTTAACAATATGTTTTATTTTCATCCCATCACATATTTTAAAAACAACTTATTCTCTCATTTTTATTGAAAAAGCTGATCTAAAGACGTGACCAACAAAACGTGCAAACTAGTGATATATAACCGGACAGTTTGGAGAGTTTCATGGGTTTTATTCCATTGTTTGTTTGTTTACTGTATACCTGTCTCTCTGTTTTAGAAACAACCAAAAGCTGTTATTTAGATTTTACACAGTAGTCCCTCAGTATTTGCGGAGGTTGCGTTCTAAAAATAACCTGCAATAAGTAAAATCTTTAAAGTAGCTCCATGTTCTAAGGTTGTAAAACTCTTTAAACACTTTTCCAACCACTTGAACTCACAACTACTGAAGTGCGATCCCGGAGACATCTAAACTGAACGGTGAGGGTCTGAGCGCTGCTGCAGCTGTCAAAAGCCGTGCATTGAGGACACAACGCTGAGGGGCAGGAGCAGGACTGAGGACTGCGAGAACCAGAAAAGTTTTCTTCTGGCTGTCATGGCCTTTGGGATTTTGATTGTATTTTTAATGGTTATGTGGATTTGAATGTTTATGATTTGAAATGGGTTGTGAGGCGCTTTGTGTTGATGTTATGCTCCTAGTCATATGGCAAGGCAAGGCAAGTTTATTTGTATAGCACAATTCATACACAAGGCAACTCAAAGTGCTGAACAAGATAGCATTAAAGATAGCATATGTTGTTGGAGGACGCAAAAGGTAGACCGTGATAAGCGAGAGACCACTGTATTTATAATTCACGTAGAGAAACCGATTTATAAATTCTCTGTGTTGGGACAGAGAACGAGTCTGGGCTAAAATGGTGTGAGAAAATGAAACATACTTATCCTTTTGAAATAATTCTAAATAAGTGCACAACAGCCCATCCCTCTACAGCAGCCGTGCACGTACCTTCCATTCTGGTGGGAGTTGGGCGCCGAAACCCAGCGCAGGAAACATTTTGTCACTGAGGAAACCATGACAACAGATAGGGATGTTAGTTACATTTGCATTTTTTCGAATTCATTTTTTTTGCCAAATAGATGCACCAGGATTAAGACAGCAGAGGCAAAGAGCATTTAAGAAGGATGGCAATTAAAGTAAGAGAAATATGTAACGATCATTTGAGTGACCAGCCTTTAGTTACTCTTTCTTTTAGTGATTTATCTAGAGATGCTTTACTCTTTACTTTACTACAAAAACTCTGCAATGATTGTGCAAACATTTGCTATTTTTTTGTTGAACTTGATTAAAACTTAATTTTATATCACATCACATGCAGCATTACTGTGATTGAACTAAGTAATCGACAATTTAACAAAATATATTTATTGCAGGTATTCTGCTTAATACAATTCAAGATTTATACAAACATAAAAACCCTTTGTAAACCATTGTAACAGTGCTATGGCCTTGAGAAATCACAGACTTCACTCTCCTGTCCAATAAAGCATGCAACATAATTTACTGTAACAAATGATCACGACAACATTCATTTCTGCTTGCATTTTCATAGCAATCAATAAAAGAATATTACATTGTTGGCACTTACGTGTCATAATCTTGTATGATTTGTCCCACTGCCAGGATTGCGGCGAGATACTCGTTACTGCCGAGTGGATTAATATAATGGAGCGAGAACGGCTCACGTGGGTTTCCATTAGAAGCTGTGAAGTCAATACCGACCTGAAAAAACACAGTTACATTTAGTTACTTTTTTCAGAAAATATTTTTTTTTGTTGTGCAGATATTTAACTACAGAACTGTGCACAAACATGACGCAATGACTTTCGGTTTGAAATTGTTGACCTGAGAAGCCACGCAGCAGTTGTGGTTTACTTGTTTTACAGCAACAGTTTTATCTTGATCGAAAGATCACTGTGACTAAGATCAAATCCACCATTTGACCAGCAATCTATTTTCCACTTTGATCATACAGTAAAAGGAAGACCAGGGGCGGCTGTCATATTTTAAACTGCCATTGTGTCCTCAGGCAAGACACCTGGTGTGCGTGTGTAAAGGATCGGTGGTGGTCTGTTCAAAGAAGAGAATGGATTAGTTGCCTTGCTTCTGTCAGTCTGTCCCAGTGCAGCTGTGGCTACAGCAGTAGCTGATGAATGAGTAATTCAATTTTATCATAACTGACGTGTTATCGAAAAAACTATGAATAGTTTTTTGGTTCAACACATGGATCGATAGTAGCAGTGAGACATAAGGCAAATACTGTACACTGTCACAATGACAAGCATAAGAGCACCAGCAGACTATTTTTGAACATATGACCACAGGGAAAGACTGTGGACACAAATACAGTGTAACAATAATGATCATCGTCTGGACGGCTCCGACACTTTCACACAAAAACACACACATTGTGAGATGCAGAGTGACAGCCCTTTCCTCCGGCTCTGTAGAGGTTTCTGTGTTGACAGGAGCCCGACCCATGCACACGCCTACCCCCTATCAGCTTAGACATGGCCAAACATCGCCCCTTTTGTGGGCACCAAGACTTGAAGCAACAATGTTCTGCTCCAGTTTAGTGAGAACTATAAAATGGGAAAGCAAAGCGAGGAGGCAGAGGTTAAAATGTTTGTATTATGTACAGAGTTGAGGCTAAAGCAGCAGGGGGAGCGGGAGTGATGGACGGATGCATGCAAGGTGACAGAATCAGGGTGCTTCTCTGTCGGCTATGTGCACGCTTGTATTAAGAGGAGAAAAGGATATTTGAGAAAACAGTACCCATGGCACGATATGTTGTCTGTCCCGCTTAAATCAAGCAGACCATAAAAATATAAACTGTATATTCCTTTTTTTTTATTCACGGTGGATTTCACATTTGATCCACTGTTATTGACTTGAGTTGGTAGTAGCTCCACGCAATGACAAGCCATCCACAGTCACATACTGACACACACAGACAACTATGAAGACTCCTGCTGTGATTCAATTTATTATGGGATGTTATCATTAATCTGCCTGCCTGGATGTCTTCACCTCTTCACTGTTTTATGGTATAGAGGAATTGCATGTCTTTGGAGGTAAAAAAAAAAAGTACCTTAACAAAACCAACAGCTGTTTATTTGCTTGTGCTTTGTATTTTCATTGTAATCATGTAAAAGGCACAGAAAATATGAACGGTAGCAAACAATTATAATGTACTGGTAAAAATCTCCTGCGGGGGTCTTCCCTGTGTCTTGTGGAGATGGCTTGCTCTTGAGGGGGCTGGGAAACTTCACCACCACATTTCTCACTCTGTATCTCTGTTATGAGACAATTGCCCTCATGAGCTCACACGCTTTACACAGCCCTAAATGATATCAGGATGCGAATAACTGTGAAAGTCACGAAAGACGTCTTTTGCAAACACTAGCAGCTCATGTTGCTTTGTGTCTCAGTTTCGGCACAGCTCTCTTCCTCCAGCTCACACAGCCCCGAGGAGAGACTTTCTCTTGGTGGAGATTAGGATTATAGAGTTGTAAGTCTGATTGAACACCGCACCCATTTTTTTTTTCTTCCCTTTCCCGCATCTATGTGTGGCCTTTTTTATGTGACTTCAACTATATCTATAAAAGTGGCAACGACAAGATGTTGGTGTTCATGAATGAGGTCCTTCACTGTCTGTGTCCATTTGAGGCAGATATTTGCGAACCTCTAGCACTGGCCTTGTATGCAGAAGAATGATAAGAGGAGTGGCTTTGTGTGAGGGAGAGAGAAGGTATTATATGTGTTCAGTATGTGTATATGCAAATGAGCCGAGAGGAGGCAGAGGGATGCATCTGTGTTAAGTCAGTCTTAGGTGTGTGTACGCAAGCTCGAGCCAGTCCGTGACAAGATTAGGAAGGGAGCAGTGAGGATTTAGCCCGTCTCCCTTAAATGTACCCATTTCGCTGGCGAGAGAAAAAGGCAAAACCAAAGCGATAAAAATGTTGCTCGTTGCCAAAAAGATCTAGGCAACATATTGCAACGATGGAGAAAAAAAAAAGGATTGAAAAAATAAATGAATACAGAAAATAATACAGGTGAAACTTGGAAAATTGGAATATCATTCAAAAGTCCACTTACTAATGTTTTTCAATTTACACTGTGAAACTAAATGGTGTAACTAACCGGGTTTTAACATGAAAAAAAATAAAAAAAAATAAATACAGGTGAAACAAGGAACATTGCAATATCAATCAAAAGTCCACTTACTTTTCAATGTACAATGTGAAACTAAATTTTAAATCAAGGAACCAATCACCCACTCACAAACACATTCATACAGCAGCACAGACACTGGGGGCGAGGCTGGTTAAAGTATCTTGCCCAAGGACAAAGGGCAGCAGTCACCAATGGGAGCTGGTTTCATACCTGGCAACCCGTGGGTCGGTGGATCTGACCGCTTCACCAAATTATGTTCACTTTGAGAGCTGAATTTGAATTGCCATTTTGTAACAACCCAATTGAAACATCTCAGACGATAAGTTAATGTTTTGTAAATGGACTGTGAGTCGTAATCATGGACATCATGACAAACAAAGGTGTATGTCACTTTGAATGTAATGAGAATCATACTACTTTCACATTTTCAGTTGAATTACAGAAATATATGACATTTTCAATGATATTTTAAGTTTCTTCTGTACATATTCAGAATATTTGGATGTATCTAGAAAGAATGTTCTCAAAACGATCAAGTGTAATGAAAGAGAGGAGGATTGAAAGAAATATATTTCTCAAAATCTGTCACCAAGTTCCGTCTTTTTCTTATTATAAAAATGACAACAAGATCAACTAATACTGAGAGAAGACAGAAGGTACAGCATGTGATGCTTTGTCTTCTCATCCAGGCATGTCGGCCAGGTGGTGCTTGAGAAACACATTTTGTATAAATGTAAGTTACATGAGGATTTGGGTCGTTTCTGCGTTCCCTTCATTCCCTTAGAGATGCAGCTGGGGTAATGCTACATCATTAGGATAGTTTTCACAGTTGTCGACAGAAAATAAACACATTTGCTGTCGCTATTATATTGCTATAAGCTTTCTTCTTTACGGTTTGTTCTGTCCATAAAAAAAAAAAAAAACATGCCCCAAGAAATTTTCATTCAACATTATTTTGACCCTTGCTTTAATCTCATCACAGCACTATCCCAGACAAACAACAGTGCATTCTGCTTGTGTATAATCCTTGTGTTTGTTTGGATTCATGGAGACTTCACTGGTGCCGCTATCTCCCTGACAGCTCTACACCTTTGCGTTTGTGTTTGGCCAGGGCTCCAGGCAGACAAGTGCTCCTCGTAATGACTGCATTACCTTTTACAAAGCAAACACACCCCGATACTTTACCCCAGACAAATGTGAGCTGTGTAGAGTTCAACAAGTAATCTTCTCCGGCGAAAACTCCCAGCACTTAAAGCCGGGGGACCAAATTTTGTTTGTCCCAATAAAAAAAGTCTTGTAGAATATTTTAATTAATGAACAGACAACAACTGTTTTTTATCTTTTTAGAAAACACTTTACATTTTGCATATTTGTAAGAAAAAGAGCCCTGTGAGTCGCCAGAACTACCAGAATTCTGAAATCGGTGACCGTTTAACCGGTGGTTGACCATCACAGCGATAACCGGTCAAAGCTGTCGGTTAAAAAAAAGAAAAAGGGGAGAGGGAGGGTCTCTAAATAACGCTATTTTAAGGCCTATTTGCACGGTGTGACGAGCGGGTCTAATGTATTAGTAAACTCCGGGCCGACTTTCATGCCGCACGCGCCACATATGCACGCACACATGGCCACGCACGCGCACAGACACACTTTCCCCCCCCCCTCCATTGATACGTAACATCCACACGCATCATCTCTCCCCTCTGTTACCGCCAAAGTTGCACACTGGTGCCGGTCAGAAATACATTGGAGCTTATATTTACACACATACATGTACACACATACGTACTCACACACGTACACACACACATACCGGTCTGTCGCGCTCCTCTGTGTCCACAGCCCAAAGGATCCTCGCAAATACGCGGCTTCAGTCAAACCATATGGGAACATGTTTGTGTTTATGGTCCTTGGCATCAGCTCCACACACATCACTGTATTTAAACTTTAGCAGAGACCTGCGAGACGCGGCTCGTCACTCGCTGCTCTTACCATGTGGACGAGCCGTCTTTTGCTTAAAAATGCTTTAACCCGCAGCCCAGAAGAATGGGAAGATTAAAAAAAGCAGTTCTCTGTGCGCAAAGGTGCCGAAGTTGTCGCGGGTTTTGGTGCCACTGTCTCGGCTCTGATCCATTAGAACGCATAGCTGTATTTATGAGAAGTACACAGCTCGAAATGGCTGTTATTTCAAAGAACGTGGAATATTTAAAATTAACCGGTTAACCGGTTTCAACCGGTTAATGAGGCTCGGTGGTCGGTCATGAAATTTCATAGTTTTTGCATCCCTAGTTTTACCTTCACTCCCTTTTAATCGGGTAAAAAGCTGGTGAATATAACTGAAATACAGTAAACAGTGTGTTGCTATGGTAACTAGGACACACTGTGTTCTAGTGGAAAACCAAGCCGACATTTAATCTTGGAGAAACTACTTTTAAAAATAAAGACATAATGCTAATAAAGCATTTCACTTTGGACCAGAGCAGAGATAATGATCCGAACCAAGCGGCTTCTCCACCTCTGCTGCTGTGACCTGAAGCGCTGCTGCATTTTCATACTATTGTCATTTTACTATCTATTTAATTGTTTTGTTTGTATGGATGGATGTGTTTCTGCTGCGGCTGAATTTCCTGAATTTCTCTGACGGGAATCAATACAGTATCTATCTGTCTATCTATCCACAAAGAAATATATTACATATAGATACTGAATGCATCCCGTTGTCATTTGTTGGCCTTGTTCTGCTGAAAACAAACTGAAAAGATCCCAAATAGAGACCATAAACTAACCATATTCAGACTTAGGGTTCTGTCATAATGGTCAACAATCAGCTTGGATCATTTATGGAAGGTGACATGTTAGTTCCATATGAACCAACTCAGACTCTGAGGAGCACAGGGACGGGATCGAGTCTAGAGTCAGGACTAAACATGGGGAGGCTGCATTTCAGACTCATTCTGCTAAAATCAATACAATCTTCCTGAAACTTGTCTTGCCTTGCCTTGCCTTGCTTAAGTCACTTTGAGCAAAATCGAGGGTTATAAAATCGAGGTTTCACAGTCATCCCATCAGTAGAGTTTAGAACATTCACAATAGTTTCTATTCTGGCAACTATGACTGAATGGCAAGTGAGATTCAAGAGACACAATTAAAACACATTTCCAACCTTCAAAGTAAAATAGTGAGTCAGCTCAGTTTTGCAAGCATTTGAAGTACAGTGACTCACCAAATCGCACGCTAAAGAATAGAACTCTGAACATAATGTACCCCTTATTTTGTGTTAAATGACAGACAACAACGCACATTCTGAAATCCATCATCCTCATCTCCGCCTCACCGCAGGAAGCACATGTACTTTTGGATGAGGGTGTTACACAATGACGCCAAACTCCATCGCAGCAGCAGCAGCCTGTGCCCTGTTCACATCTGCACATAGTGGATGGATGGCGACGGCGGTGACAGGGCTACGGTCCTGACAATCACCGCACAGAAACCACTCTATTGTTTGTGAAGCTATTATTAAAGGAATAGTTCACCGTTTTTACATACTGACATATGTTCTTACCTTACCTTAGACTAGTTAATATGTACCTGTCTGGTCTTAGTCCGTGCGCTCTGTCATGCAAACGGAGCAAAAACGGGAGCACAAACGCAGCCTCCTCTGTATACTGTATAGTACCCAAAAGGTAGCTCCCGCTAGAAGCTACCAAACTCTTCCAAGTGTTCCCTATTAAATGTATATAGTTACGTGACGTGTTACACTGCAAAGTATAGTAACACAGAAATGTAACTGTTGATTTTCTCAGCGGATAAAACGGGTACTATATTGTGAGGCGTAGTAATCTGAGGAGCGCTACGTCCGCGCACTAACTTCTCTCCGTACTACAAGTCACGCTGCTTCTATACATAGTTCCCACAGACCAATGAATGTCACATGACCTCCTCGGAGACGCCATCTTTGATGGCACGCTGCTGTGTTTGTGCATTCCATTAAACAGAAGAATGAGAATAAATGTAGATATTCAAACGCAAATTGGAAAAAAAGGGCAACTTTTGAGCAAATAATTGTATATTAATACAATGGCACCACAGTTTAACGTGCTACGGACATGTTTTACATATTTGATCAAATTATGCAGCAAAAATTAACAAGCAATGCAAACATTTCTCAAAAACTTTAGATTTAATACCAGTTGGAGCTCCATTTAATTATTTTAATTATATTAACAATTAATTTAATTAATGCTAATGCCACACGGACACTCTGGATTGCTGTTATTGTTTATTTCCGCATTTTTGACCGTATGTTTTGGTGAATGGTGGGCAACTGATTTTTCCAGGCGTAAAGAGCAGTTTATTTTATGACACAGATCTTTTTACAGAAGCAATGCTGTTTGTGAACATGGTTTTAGCCCACCATACAACTATTATTATCTATTTAATACATTTACGTTGCCCTCGAGAGCCTCGGACGCGACACCGATCCTCCTCATAATAAAGTAATCTAACGCTAAATAATGAAACTCTCAAGTTACCAGCTATCAGCATACACAAGTTAGTACTGAGTAAATTACGTCTGTCAACACATTATAAGATACGATACGCACCTGACACAAAGTGCTCCGAGCATATTCTTGCGTGTTTTGAGGGAGTTTCTTGCCTGTTTATCTTCGCAAGCCATAACCTCCGTCGTTGTTCTGACAAAAGCTTAGTCTTCTCACATTCATGAAGTCTAATGATGGGTATACTGTAAAATCCAAGTTTAACAGAACCTCCGGCACGATTTGAACATCCATTGACCCAGCAGGAGATGACCATTTTCAACTTTATCACGACATTAACACGTTTCAGCTTCTTTTTCTATTGTTTTGCCCACAGAATGCCAACACAAATGGCGCCGGGTCGGCAAATCCCCGTATGTAGTGACGTCATGTAGGAACTATGTATAGACGGAAGTGAGCGAGAGAGAAGTCTCCGGAGAGAAGTTAGTGCGCGGACGTAGCGCTCCTCAGATTACTACGCCTCACAATATAGTACCCGTTTTATCCGCTGAGAAAATCGACAGTTACATTTCTGTGTTACTATACTTTGCAGTGTAACACGTCACGTAACTATATACAGTACATTTAATAGGGAACACTTGGAAGAGTTTGGTAGCTTCTAGCGGGAGCTACCTTTTGGGTACTATACAGTATACAGAGGAGGCTGCGTTTGTGCTCCCGTTTTTGCTCCGTTTGCATGACAGAGCGCACGGACTAAGACCAGACAGGTACATATTAACTAGTCTAAGGTAAGGTAAGAACATATGTCAGTATGTAAAAACGGTGAACTATTCCTTTAAGCACTTTCACACTTCCTCTTAGCTCCAAACGTGTGACAACAACAAGGACACAGAGTTCCTCCAACACAAGATAAATACATCACAATACAGTACAATATATTGAATACGTTTATTTACTCTTGAACTGTCATTCCAACAAGGACAAAAGATAATGCTTGATTTAAAGGAATATAGGAGGATTTTCTCTCCACTTTTTGAAAACAATCTCTGGTCTTGTTTTCCGAGCACGTATCACCAGAATGATTTACAATTAGGAGGACCAAAAGTCTTAATGATCCACTCGGAAGTAGAAAATCCCCCAATATACCTTTAAACAATGCATACATGTTGTGGACTGATGTATATTGAGTAGTAAAAGTATCATTGATTGGCCCAGAGAGAATGGAGCTATTGTACATGTTTTTAGTGGAAGTGGAAACCGGAGCACACGGAGGAAACCCACACAGACCCACACAAGGAGAATATGCAAACTCCACATAGACCTATTGAAAGTGATTCAATGGTCAAGCATGTGCCCAGTGACAGAAAGTCTTGGAAGTCAATCTTGGTTGGTGATGTTGAGCTACTAACATAGAAACAGGATATTGTACGACAAGACCTACTTCACGACTCCCACTGATGACTGCTGCCGTTGTGTCCTTGGGCAAGACACTTAACCCCACTTTGCCTGAAGCCCCCACTGAAAGATCTCAGCTCCTGTGGACTCACCACCTGCAGGAGGATCAGTGAGGGGCTGATGCTCTGTGAACTGGGTGCAGCTGTGACTGCCACCCCCCGACCCAGAAATGGTTTAAGGGGAAGAAAACGGATGGATGGAGGACATTGTACATTCATACCTAATACATTTTCTGGAAAAATATGTCAAAAAACTGATTATGTAGCTGTATTTTTCCACAGACTGATGGTTATAGAAAATTAGGTTTTATAAAATGTATGATCTATGAGAGGGGTTTCCAAGATGTGGCTCGGGAACTTCCAGGTACCACCCCAAAGGATTCAACAATTTAATATAATACATGATCCTGAATAATTAACTTTTTTAAATTAATGCAAGGATACTGTTCTGCTAAAGAAGTAACTCGCTGCCATTTCTGTTTTATAAAAAGACCCCTGATCTATGATAACATTATGCAGACATATTAGAAGTTAGGGTCAGGTACATCTGTATAGAGTATCGATTTAGTGTATAGCACATTCAAATCTCCCTAGCAACAGACCTGACTTATTATTTTTAACATACATACTCACACATTATGTACATTCCCACCATCTCCTTGTTGCAGTTCCATCTCCTTTTATGCAAATGATCGTGAGCCAAGTCTAACCCTGGCACGTGCAAACAGAACCGTTTCCTATCTGTTTTTATCAGGGAAAGCCACGCAGAACGCTACAGCAACATGTATCTCATTATGGCATCGGCTCAGGGGTGCAGAAAGAAAGAAGAAAGCCATGCTAACATCTACTCACAGTGAACATGAGCTGGCAGCCGCCCAATATGTAATCCAGGAAGGTGTAGTCCCTCGTTATCTGAAAGCAGGCACAAAATGTGGTTAGAATTGGTTTGTTATGTGTTTTCAATTTCGAAACGCATTCAATTTCAGATTATACACATATCTGTACTGTAAAATCATTTATCTTGATTTTAGCATCTGCATTAACCTATTAGTCGCCAACACCAAATTGAATGTCTTCCATAAAATTAATGGTAACACTTTACATTACGGGCCGGTAAGTCCATGGTACTTACAGTGGTACTTCTAGGTACTTACAGTGGTACTTCTAGGTACTTACAGTGGTACTTCTAGGTACTTACAGTGGTATTTACGGTGGTACTTACGGTGGTACTTACGGTGGTACTTACGGTGGTACTTACGGTGGTTCTTACGGTGGTACTTACGGTGGTACTTACGGTGGTACTTACGGTGGTACTTACAGGGGTACTTACGGTGGTACTTACGGTGGTACTTACGGTGGTACTTACAGTGGTACTTACAGTGGTACTTACAGTGGTACTTCTAGGTACTTACAGTGGTACTTCTAGGTACTTACGGTGGTACTTACGGTGGTACTTACGGTGGTACTTACGGTGGTACTTACGGTGGTACTTACAGGGGTACTTACGGTGGTACTTACGGTGGTACTTACGGTGGTACTTACGGTGGTACTTACGGTGGTACTTACAGTGGTACTTACAGTGGTACTTCTAGGTACTTCTAGGTACTTCTAGGTACTTATTGTGGTACTTACAGTGGTACTTCTAGGTACTTACAGTGGTACTTAGAGGTACTTATTGTGGTACTTACAGTGGTACTTCTAGGTACTTATTGTGATAATTCTAGATACAGCTGTAACTTAGTAATTCAAGGACACTACAGTATTATTCCTATGTAGTAAATGTGGTACTTCTACATACATACATACAGAGGTCATTTGTAGGATTGTTTGACTATAAAACATAAAACAACATTATGTAAAACAATTGTCTTTATTAATATGGAATAAGTAGCACAGAAAGGACAGTATAAATACATGTAATGCATATTTCAAAACAAGTTTCAAGGACAAGGGAAACACTGCAAGAACTAGGTACCCAACCCAAGTAACAAGAATTACACATTACCAGGTACTTACCAGCCAAGTACCAGGTACTTACCAGCAAGTACCAGGTACTTACCAGCAAGTACCAGGTACTTAACAGCAAGTACCAGGTACTTAACAGCAAGTACCAGGTACTTACCATAGGGACTGGCCCATAATAAGACAAAGGACTTTAACATAAGTACCAGTGATAACACCAGTAATTATACAGTAAGTACCAGGTACTTACCATAGGGACTGGCCCATAATAAGACAAAGGACTTTAACATAAGTACCAGTGATAACACCAGTAATTATATAGTAAGTACCAGGTACTTACCATAGGAACTGGCCCATAATAAGACAAAGGACTTACCCATAAGTACTAGTGATACCAGTAATTATATAGTATACCATGTACTTACCAGCAAGTACCATGTACTTACCAGCAAGTACCAGGTACTTACCATAGGGACTGGCCCATAATAAGACAAAGGACTTTAACATAAGTACCAGTGATAACACCAGTAATTATACAGTAAGTACCAGGTACTTACCATAGGGACTGGCCCATAATAAGACAAAGGACTTTAACATAAGTACCAGTGATAACACCAGTAATTATATAGTAAGTACCAGGTACTTACCATAGGAACTGGCCCATAATTAGACAAAGGACTTACCCATAAGTACTAGTGATACCAGTAATTATATAGTATACCATGTACTTACCAGCAAGTACCTGGTACTTGCTGGTAAGTACCTGGTACTTGCTGTTAAGTACCTGGTACTTGCTGGTAAGTACCTGGTACTTGCTGGTAAGTACCTGGTACTTGCTGGTAAGTACCTGGTACTTGCTGGTAAGTACCTGGTACTTGCTGGTAAGTACCTGGTACTTGCTGGTAAGTACCTGGTACTTGCTGGTAAGTACATGGTATACTATATAATTACTGGTATCACTAGTACTTATGGGTAAGTCCTTTGTCTTATTATGGGCCAGTTTCTATGGTAAGTACCTGGTACTTACTATATAATTACTGGTGTTATCACTGGTACTTATGTTAAAGTCCTTTGTCTTATTATGGGCCAGTCCCTATGGTAAGTACCTGGTACTTACTGTATAATTACTGGTGTTATCACTGGTACTTATGTTAAAGTCCTTTGTCTTATTATGGGCCAGTCCCTATGGTAAGTACCTGGTACTTGCTGGTAAGTACATGGTACTTGCTGGTAAGTACATGGTATACTATATAATTACTGGTATCACTAGTACTTATGGGTAAGTCCTTTGTCTTATTATGGGCCAGTTCCTATGGTAAGTACCTGGTACTTACTATATAATTACTGGTGTTATCACTGGTACTTATGTTAAAGTCCTTTGTCTTATTATGGGCCAGTCCCTATGGTAAGTACCTGGTACTTACTGTATAATTACTGGTGTTATCACTGGTACTTATGTTAAAGTCCTTTGTCTTATTATGGGCCAGTCCCTATGGTAAGTACCTGGTACTTGCTGTTAAGTACCTGGTACTTGCTGTTAAGTACTTGGTACTTGCTGGTAAGTACCTGGTACTTGCTGGTAAGTACCTGGTACTTGGCTGGTAAGTACCTGGTAATGTGTAATTCTTGTTACTTGGGTTGGGTACCTAGTTCTTGCAGTGTTTCCCTTGTCCTTGAAACTTGTTTTGAAATATGCATTAAATGTATTTATACTGTCCTTTCTGTGCTACTTATTCCATATTAATAAAGACGTTTGTTTTACATAATGTTGTTTTATGTTTTATAGTCAAACAATCCTACAAATGACCTCTGTATGTATGTATGTAGAAGTACCACATTTACTACATAGGAATAATACTGTAGTGTCCTTGAATTACTAAGTTACAGCTGTATCTAGAATTATCACAATAAGTACCTAGAAGTACCACTGTAAGTACCACAATAAGTACCTCTAAGTACCACTGTAAGTACCTAGAAGTACCACTGTAAGTACCACAATAAGTACCTAGAAGTACCACTAGAAGTACCACTGTAAGTACCTAGAAGTACCTAGAAGTACCACTGTAAGTACCACTGTAAGTACCACTGTAATTACCACTGTAAGTACCACCGTAAGTACCACCGTAAGTACCACCGTAAGTACCCCTGTAAGTACCACCGTAAGTACCACCGTAAGTACCACCGTAAGTACCACCGTAAGTACCACCGTAAGTACCACCGTAAGTACCACTGTAAGTACCTAGAAGTACCACTGTAAGTACCTAGAAGTACCACTGTAAGTACCACTGTAAGTACCACTGTAAGTACCACTGTAAGTACCACCGTAAGTACCACCGTAAGTACCCCCTGTAAGTACCACCGTAAGTACCCCTGTAAGTACCACCGTAAGTACCACCGTAAGTACCACCGTAAGTACCACCGTAAGTACCTAGAAGTAAGTACCACCGTAAGTACCACCGTAAGTACCACCGTAAGTACCACCGTAAGTACCACCGTAAGTACCACCGTAAGTACCTAGAAGTACCACTGTAAGTACCTAGAAGTACCACTGTAAGTACCATGGACTTACCGGCCCGTAATGTAAAGTGTTACCAAATTAATAAATAAAGAAATCATATAAAAATGTCAGCAACTTCAATTGTATTTCCTTTTTAAGAGAATGCATATTTTTGACCATATGACCCTGTCGAATCATGGATAATTATACATAATAAAGTGTCATTCAAAAGTATATGTAATGTATTTACAATATTCCCTTCTCTTGGCAAAACCACGACCAGTAAGTTTTCCTGGAAGAAAACATTTTGACGAATGGCGTGATTATCAAGGCACTATGGTAAATTCAGTCTATTTTGACAATAAACATGAGTTCTGGCCCAACATTCTAAACTATTCTAACTTGATGGAGTTAAAATAATAAGTCCATAAACTCTGCTCTGACCTATTATGACCTAATCATAATAGGTCATAATAGGTCATGGATAGCACTCTCGCCTCTCAGCAAGAAGGTCCTGGGTTCGAATCCCGGTCGGACCAGGGCCTTTCTGAGTGGAGTTTGCATGTTCTCCCCGTGTCTGCGTAGGTTTCCTCCGGGTGCTCCGGTTTCCCCTACCACTAAAAATATGTCCAATAGTTCTGGCATGCGCCTCCTGTACTGGCGACCCCGCTCCCATCTCTGTGTGGAGTGAGAGACAAATGCCCAAAAATTAACAATTGTAAACCGCTTTGAGACTCAGATCTGCAGTGAAAAGGCGGTATATAAATAAAAACTTACTTACTTACTTACTAATCATATAAAAAACAAGTTCTGTGTCTTTCCCTGCACTTTCCTGTGTTGGCTTTCTCTGCTTTCCCTTACTGGGGTTAGTTAAGTGTCCTGAAACTTTAAGAGATAGAGGACGACTGATGATAATGCATAGGGTTTTGTACTGACATTTTGGGCACTCAAAGAAGTTTTAAATCAATGCTTAAAATCAAAAACGCTTGATATCAAAGACGCTTAAAATCAATGCTAAAAGCAATAGCAGAAATCATTACAAATGTAGAGAAAACGCTGGAAGTCTGGTCCCTGTATAAAAAGTGTCCTGGATTCAGAAGCTCAAGTACTGCTAAACGTTGGGGCCTCAAGGGTTAACATTAAAGTGATACATTATTTAAGTAAGTGGTTTTATTTTCCATTGGCTAATCTTGTTTTATAAAAAAAAAAGAATTCAAATAATTGTTGTGCAGTATGACCTCAACAATATTATTTCAGTAATGATACCAACAGTCTGTACCGTAGACATATCATTCCGGCAGTAAAGCCAGCCCATAATCTTATTTCCTCTCCAGTTACAATGAATGTTTAGCATGGATTTTACTGTCATTAGTCTAATCCCCGCTGGCAGCCAACAAATATAATTAGTACATTAAGCTGTCGAGTGCATGTGTCGTAAATGTTATTGTCCTGCTATTTCTATGTGAGAGAGACAGAGGAAACGATTGGTCACAGTGAAGGAAAGAGAAGCATCAATTATGAAAGCTTGCCATCCGTCTACACTCAAATCGGCTGGTGTTATTTAGGGCAATGATGACCAGACACTGGGCCAAGTCCCATAGTGGCTTGTGACAAAAACACATTTCTGAGGCAATGACACTAAAAATATCGACATATATTCTACGTACTAAGACGCTGATGGAAAAAATATCATTAAAAAGCTTTTGAGCTTTTCAGTTGCAGTAAATTAGTTTTTGTTGAACAATATCGAACAAAAATGTTTTCTTGTTTCCATACTTTTATCCATATGCATAATACTTTGACTTTTAACAATGTACATCGTGAAAACAAAGCACCCTTCTTGTTTCATTAGCTGCCCCTTTCCATACAATAAATGCAATTAAAAACATATAAATACTGTCTTTCATTTATTTATCACTTTCAACTTTTGCACAAAGAATGCAGATTTCTTCATTTTACATTGTAAACCTGTGAGTTGTGTGAAAAAACTAATGAAAAGCAAAAGAATTGTTAAAGAATGTACAGAGTTTCTCACATGTGCCTCACCTCTGACCTGGCCCACCATGATCAGATTCAGATTGAGTTTATTTGCAATTTGCAGTAAAACTCCATTGGAATACTCGTGCAAGAATACCTCAGTGTGTACCGGACAGAGCAGATAGTCCACACCAGAGCTGTTGCCCCCCCATGTCTCACACTGTAATATATTGTAGAATTTATGAATATTTTTGAGTATAATAGTCGATGTCATTGGAATTTTTTTACTTCCTATTGGGAGGCTGCAGCTCTGGTTCAGTCCTGGGTCAGGCCTGGTCTAGAGCAGCTTAACACGTAAATGACTCAGTTTTCAATGTTGCCGCACTTAATCGTGTTTTCCGCGTCACCCTCGCTTTGAAGTCTTTATTAGGTCATTTCTTTGTAATGACTTGGTATTTATGGAAACTTCAAAAACACAAATGAAATAAGACTCTTTCGTATGACGCCGTCTGTACAAGGAGAGGTCAGCTGATGTGTGGACCGTCCCCCCTGAGCGTAGAGGGGGAGATACAGTGATGGGGAGAAGCAGATGGTCCTGGGTTTTGGCTAATATATATGACCCAAGATTATATACAAAAAATAAAATGTGAATACTTGAGGCTTACTGACGAGAGGCCTGCACTGCAATATAACACGGGGACTGTGTGAGTGGAGAGGTTTTACTTGTGGATTGTTGAAAGCCCTTTATCGAGCTCTGCATTTAGTGGGAAATACATACAGCACATGAAGAAGCAGCTCTGTCTCATTTCTCATTATAGCTCTGGTTTTGTACTGCTTTCAGTGACGTCATAATTCCTGTCATAGTGGAGCACACTTGACTATTATAAGTGCTTTGGAAAAAAAATGGATCAGTGGGGTCTTTCTGGCTAATCAGAGCTATTGAGACAGGAGCTGCAGAAAAGACCTCACAGCGAATAAAATGGCTACAATAGAGGGCAAGAGGCTATGAAAAAACGTGTGCATTTCAGAATGTCACTGAATGATGTAAAAATATGATTGGTGCAAAGATACTATGGCGTTTTAGGTGAACAGTCAGTTTGATAAATTATTATTATTTTATGTTGAAAGTATGTACACAGGTTTGAAAGGAATTAATATAACCTAAACATTCCAATTTACAAAGGAAATAAAATGATATGAATCCAACTAAACATTTTGACTTGGCCGACTAAACACAAAAAAAGTGTCATGTCTTGTGTCAGAACAAAACGAGCTTTAAAAATACATTTTTTGAAGACGAAAAACACTTTTAATACAAAGGCCGATTTCACTTGTGAGTAGTTTTGCCTGACCTTTATCACAGTTCACAGAATTTTACTGTGAGTGTGAGAGTAAAAAAATACGATGATGAGAAGTATTTGTATTTAAAACAGTTATTATTGAGGTCCATGGTCCAGCCTCCCAGTCCCGTTCTCAGGTCCCAGAAGCAAAAAAGGCTTTGGTATGAGCCCGGGGACTTCTGAAGAATTAAAGTGCTAAGTGTTTAAAGACAACGCAAACGCAAATCAGCAACACAGTTATTTGTGACCAAGAAATGTTATTTTTAAATCCAAAAAGATAAAGATGTTGATGAAAAGGCAAAGACGGGGCTGTGTACATATTACTTCCTACAAACTCTGTATCCCATGAAACTTTACGACACTGCGCCCGCAAGTCTTGGAAACTGCTTTTTTAACGAGCTATGTGAGTTTTTTTGGGCTAAAAATAACATCATCAATAATATCAGGTCGAAAGCAATTTCATAAGCATTTCAATATGCGCAAGAACCAAAGACTCTTTTTATACAGAGGTAAATTTATTTCCTTATCTTTATTGATAACTGCTTTTTTCAGCTTTATATCCGTCCTCTGGTCTGCACTGTTCTCTACACTCCACAGACTTCACAGAGGTCCTCTGCTCTCGCTGCAGTGTGTATATATGCACCGCGAGCCACAAGTCTACTCTGCAGCAGAGAGGTGCCAATGTCTCGCTGCACTTGCAGTGTGTAGGAAATGTAAATGTATCTGATGTTACCAAGGAGATACAGAGAAGCTACATGTACACCATTAACTTTTAGAGTTCACATCATAATATTGTTCTATAATGACAAAGAGCAGTGAAAATGTATGAAAAAGGAGTAGTGCTCACCTTGCACAACTTGACAATTATAATCCCAGAGTTTTTGTAGTTTTTCTTCTTCTTTTGTTTCTTGGGGTTGATACAGTCAAACTCCACCTGTAGATGACACCAAAATTACTATTCATGCTCAAATGAAATGAAAAGGATGTGACACGTGGTAATTCACTAGGAAAAAAGTTGTATCTACCCGCACCTGACTGCAACGTTGATGCTGCACAAAATACATTGAGGGAAGAAGGGAGGTACTTTAAATGGCATCACTGATTGAGGCTTTTCAAATGGTTGTTGCCAATGTACAAACATTTACAACACAAATATTTCTGAGGGATGGTTCTGTGAGCAGTATTACAGTACTTTGTGTACTATAAGTCGCTACCATGGATCTATAATAATAACTGGATAGGGTATAACTAGCTTATAACTGTCCCACCTACGGGCGAAGAGGGCACCCGTGGTACTCAGATTAAATTCACGCGAGCTACCCAGAAAAAATCCCATAGATCTCAATGTAAACTAAAACAGCTCGACCTCAGCTGACAGAGAACCTACAGCTTCCATAAAGGTCGGATTTTGTTGGGATTTTAGTGTCCCTTGTCATCCTGAACTTATTTTCTTCTTAAATCCTTCGGTTTTCTTTAAATCCACACTTTACTGCCACAAACTCTGCTCGTTTCCTTCCCGCTCTGGCTCCTCTCTACCGCCGCTCTGATCAACAACTCTGATTGGTCAAAGCTCAGCCGAGCCCCTCTGTGCACGTGCATGAGAGCCACACACACGTATTTGGCGCATCATGGGAGCTCGTCCACTGCGCAGAACCGGGAAGACCAGACGATGCCCAAAAATAGTTCTGCTAATTTCTCTGTTCCCATGAAGTCCCATGCACTACTGAGCACAAGTCATTCATTTGAATTGGGCGCCATCTTGGATCACCGGGACGTGGCCCCTACATATTTCAAGCAGTGGGGGCGGGTCCCAGCTCAAAAATGTCCAAAATGACGTGCACTGACATGCTTGCAATACCACCCTGGGCCGATGGCGGTGGACCCAGAATAAGAATTATTCAATGCTAATGTACGGATCTTCTTGCCACTCGAAAAAGGGTTAACAGGATGGTCCAAAAGTCGGCACTTGGCCCAACGCTACGTTCCAGATGTGTGTCAATGCTGAGGGGAGTGTATTTTTTTGGACCACTCTAGTTTAGCCGCTGTGTAATTTTAAAGGAACTCGTTAAATGAAATTTTCAGCCCCCACGGCCATTTTGAAACTGCCAAAAGAAGGCAAAAGTGATGGCACATTAGTTTCAATGGCGAAGATAGGCGTGACTACGTCCTTTAATATTTACAGTCTATCATTACAAGTACTCTTGATTCTGCAGCCTATAGTGACGCTCCCCCTGGAGTGCGGGGCAGCTTTGAACATCGTAAGATCAGCTGTTGTTGTGACTAGGGCTAAAGTTAGTGTTAGTGTTAGAGTTAGAGTTTATGGACTTATCTTTTGACTCAAACCAGTAGGGATAATACACACATGTATTATCACATTGCAAAAAAATATGAAATATGAGGTAATAATTGCTAAATGGTTTTTGTCTTAAATTGAGTTTATTCAGACTGTCTTAAAACTAGTTTTGTCAATGGGACAAGCCATTTAATCTTATTCAAGAACTGTTGCTTTATTTTCTTATTCCAAGACAGACATTACTTGTACATTTCTAAAACAAGATCACTTTTTCTTGTACCTTGGAAAATATTGTTTTAAAGCAGTCAATTTGGGCTCAAAATTAAGATAAATTTTTCCAAGTATTTTTCATATTTTTTGCAGTGCCTACCAGATTGGATTTACTACAGTGCATGTTTTAACAGTTTATTAAAACATGTCAAAACATAATTAAATCCTGCTGTGACCAGTTCACACTATTTTTGTTTTCCTTTGTTTTGCTCCATCAGCTGTTGATTAAGTGTTAGATTAAGTGTTAAAACATGAAGCTTATTTTCAAGTGTGGTCTATATATGGACAATATGTACTTTTCTCATCGAATTTAAGTGGTGTGGAATGTTTTGTCAATGTGACCAGTATGAAGATAATGTGAAGCTTTCCTCTGTGTAAAACATGATACAGCAAAGATCAACATCTAATTCATTACGATGAGTAAAAGCATTGGGAGCCACCTCGACAGTAACATACATGATCAAAGGCAGAGCTCCTGTCAGGTAGCTCTAAACGCTTTGTCAAGTTACACGGCTCAGCTCAAGACAGTTTTCCCCGTTGAAAAACACCTCCCATATTCTGATCCTCTCCTCTGCACTCTCTCCATCCCCCACATCCCCGTCTATGGCTTACGCGCCTGATATTCTCCCAGCATCATTAGCACAAGACACACAGGCATATTTGGCATCACTTCTGTTTCACAAATAGTTTTAGAATGTACAGATTCTCACACAAACACTAAGTTACTTCTGAATGAGGGGTCCTCTTTAACCGAGCAGAAAACGCCAGCGCCAAAAGCAAGACATCCCCAGGGTTTTTATTAATTACCGCTCAGACCTGACCCAAACAGCCCTCTATGGTTACATTGTGTTTGAGAAAAGCTGGTGTGCAAATCTACCCATAATTATTCCGCTTTTAGTGTTGACACAACAAATGACGGTGTCTTCGACTGCAAATTAATGTTGCATAAAGGGAAGATATTCTATTAAATGATACTGAAGTAGAACATTGAGCCTGAATCGCAAACAAATGTGCACAGTAAGTGTGTGAGCTAACTATTTTGTTGAGATAACGTTACTGATCCCACAAAATTCAAGAGTTGTTGTTACTACTGCCATTACATTTCTTTAGTATTTAGAATTGGAGTTTGTTTCTTAGGCTTAGCACACCTTGTCCAAACATGTATTTTTAAGTTGGGGACAAAACACTTTATAATATTTATAGTATATGTACTTTAAAACTTTATCAAACCAAAATCTACTTTTACAGAAACCAATGGGCTGTGAGCGACCTCAGACTATTTATTATCCTCACCTTTGGTTCATGATTCATGATCAAGTAATGACCAACTTGTCTTTTTTAGTTTTAGAAAAAAATTACCAGTTTCAACATGTACTTATAAAAGTGCATGTACATCTGCCACAGTATGTTATTGTGTAGTGTTTCTCATTGTGTAAATGCATAGGAACAGTCAGGCTGGACAGGCGTCTACTCTGATGAGTTCACAATCTGGGTTGAAAACAGTTCTGTTTAGCTTTGTATACTGAAGGATTGCACATGAACTCAATCTAAATGTACAATAACTATTTATTATTCATGTATAATTGTTTCTATCTTGTTTTTTTTAAGCACTTAACAACCCAAGATCGATCCCCATTAGCTACTGAGATGCAGTGGCTAATGGGGATCGATCTTGTTTTGTGATCTTAATAAACTAAACTATAAACTTGTTGTCTTGTGCATGAATTGTGCTATACAAATACTATACAATATAAGTAAGTAAGTAAGTCAGTCTTTATTAATGTTTTGCCAATAACAGACCAGAGTCACAAAGCACTTAACTTTCTTTTTTGTCATTCCCTCCACATAGAGATGGGAGCGAGGTTGGCACACAGGAGGCGCTTACCAGACCTATTATAGGTTAATAACACGCAAACTCCTCGAAAAGGCCTTGAACTTCTTGCTAAGAAGCGTAAGTGCTATCCACTCAGACTCTATCCACCCAAACACAAAAATACTTCCTTTGCCATGCCTAACTTTTTGGTTGCTGAGAGCTGATTGGCTGAGTGAGGGCTGGCTCTCTCTTTTTCACTGAATAAGCTAAACCACAAATACATACAAACATGTGTTAACCAATAACAGCTAATTATTGTGGTTTTAAAGCTAGGACCTCCTCACTGTGGTTCTTACCTCCACTCCATTTTGGGCTTCACTCATCTTGGTAACAGTTGTTTGAAACTCTCCAATAAAGTCATGTCCGCCGTCGTTATCGTAGTCGTAGCACAGCACCTGCCGCAGTGACAGCCACACAGGGAGCGTCAGCCTCTTTTGCTTTTCATCTCTTTCACAAAACCATCAGCATTGTGACAAGATGCATTCACCTTTATATTTCTGCTCACGTCCCCGTTGCACAGAGAAATAAGAGGAACAGTGAAGGACTTCCAAGACGGGTCTAGAGTGTTCTTTATCACCTAAAATTACACACAAAATAGCCACCTCTCAGAACAGAGTGTAGAGCAGCGTCCCAAATATAAGTCACCTTGAGCACTGCAAACTGGGTGATCAGGTTTAAACAGCGGTTCGGTTGACAATGACAACTCATGGTCAACCATAATGACAGTATTCAGGAGCCATGACTCACCTCTGTCCTGTGCACCAGCATCCACTTTCCATCCTCTCCCTGCTTGTGAAACTCTAGGTACGGGTCGGACTTGCCAAAGAAATCCTGCAGAAGGACATGAGACACTGATGCTATTTGTGTTTTTAGATTGTTTTGGAACGTACAAAGACAAAAGGGATACAAGTATCTTTACATTGACTTACATTGAATTATTAACGCAAGGAATGTATTGTTTATAGATAATAATACCATATTTGACTGAAAATGCTCCATATTTCCTGTGCTGAACCCTAATTAGTTGCATGCTAATTTACAGATAATGTATTTATTAAGCTATGTAAGTTTGTTTGTGTAATTGCAAGCCAAATACAAACTCCTGTCATCAATATGTGTTGCAGAAAATACATGTAAATATATTCTAATCTATTTCTCAATAGGTTTCGAGATTTCCCATTCAGTATACAGTAAATAGGATATATTATTGGCTGACAACGGTGAAACGTGTGACAGCAGGGCAGAGACACAGTAGGTGGTGTGTGTGTGCTTGCGTGCGTGTGTGCTTGAGTGCATGTATGTGTGTGTTTGTGAGTGTGTGAAGGGTCTGAAAGCCCACCTTCTTATCCAGCTTGCGCCCACTCAGGGTCAAAGTGATGATTCTGTTGTCAGACAGCTCCTGAGCTGTTATCTAAAGAACATTATGGCAGATTAGCATTAGCATTGCAAGTGTACGGCATGAGCATAAGTGACAGACAGGCCATTATCACAGACGTTCAGTATCAATGTTTTTGGTTTTTTTTCTTATAAAATGGAGTGAAATAATATTACCGTAATAGAGCCTTTCCCAGCTGGCTTTCCATTGGCCAAGATTAGCGGTCTGTGTAGTTTCTTATTTGACACAATCTAGAGGACATCAAAAGCATTCATTATTTGAACGTGACACGGGGTGGGATGGGGGTCAGGGTATATACGGGGCAACATCATTTGCTGCCAGGTTGAAAGATGTAATTTGAGTGCTACAGAGATCATGAGTGTGATGGAGCTGTATGTACTTTAAAACGTCCAAGAGCATCTGGAAATATATTAGATTATGTAATAGAAACTCATTATTATGCAGCTACAGACAAAGAAACACTGATAAGGAATAACTCAACATGCATAACTGAGACAAAACATATTCATGAGGCTGAAACAAATCAGGATCTGTGAGCATTACTGAGCACCGAGGGGCAAAGAAAGAGGAAAAAGAAAATCACAACAGACTGACACATGTGGTGCTACAAATGCCATAAACATTCAGTGAAATGACCACATTATATTAGTGAGACATGAATGCTACATACCACTCCCAAATTGCAGATGAATTCCCCGAGGAAGTCATGTTCGTAAAGCTGCGTAGCACACTTGTCTTCATCAAACATGGCAAAGCGCAGTTTCTGGATCTCCTCGAAGTGATAATCCACCTGGAACTTCTTTCCAAACACTGGGTTCAGGTTGTTCACAGCAGTTTCAGTTCTGCCAAGCTGCAAACCAAAACATTTGCAAGTGTGAGATAAAAAACTGTGGTAGAGTTCAATTCAAAATGACTGTAAAGAATGTCTGCTTGGCTTGATTCATGATTCAAGATTATAATGAATTTATTTTTTTTCCTTTGACAGTTCTAATTGAAAATATTGTATATCAATATGGTATGAGTTGAAGCTGGCTATATTGGTTTACTTTTGTGAGTTGGATGGGGATCAGATCATATGTGATAATGAATGTAGAAATGCAGAAGTTCACATACGTTTGGGGCACATACTGATTTTTATTGCCTTTTTTTCTAATATGTTACTGCCCACCTATGTTTGGCTTCGCTTATACATTTATTCAATAACAATCATTTTGGATTGTTTGTGTGAAAAGGCCAGGCTTGGACATATTACATGTGCTAATTTTAATTTAACTGAACAGCCTGTTGACAGAGTCCTGTGTGGGTGCGTGTGAGAGCAGTGAGAGCAATAGAGTTGTGAAATTTGCTCTAACAATTCCGAACCTGGTGCACGATAAACTGAGCTTCTCCTATGATGCTATAACCTTATTCAACTACTTTCCATGACATATTTACGGACGATGAGGGATGGACTACTATGTCGTTGGACAGATGACAGTGACAATAGTTTACTTTATCTACATTTAACAAGTTTGCCCATTTCGTCTGTCACATAGCTCTATGCCATGTCATTTGCATGAAAGATCCCCTTGTTTTTGGCTGTCACTGCTGTGGTCTTCTCTTGGCCTGGTGCCATCCATCACACTCACATATGTGTTTTGCCTCTTTCTTTGTGTTTTATTCACACCTCTTCTTTTAAATAGCTCCTTTTCCCCTCATGGAGTCAGCTGCTTCTCACACTTCCAGCTCGCAGGACAAAGATAGACAGGGTGATGAAAAAGGGAGCAGGAGGCACGTGGCTGTGGCCCGTAATATATAAGATACTACTATGTTTGGAATGTATACTCTACGTGTATGTACACAAGGCATCTGGGGTACTTGAACTGCTGCTTTTGACGATGCCCTAAAGCCATTAATCAAATAACCAACAGTGTTGAGGTCACCTTGGATTGGCTAAGCAAAAAACTCATATACAGTCCTAATCTCAACAATTGATTGAATTAAATCCCCCTCAGATAAAAAAACAAAACAAAAATAGGAATGGAACTGTGCCGCTTGGCGGAAGGCTGTGCCCTTTACTCCATGGGGAAATAAATGAAATATTTTCTTATACCAATTCTACTAGACTAGCAGTACAAAGTAGATTTGTTGAATGGGTAAAATAAAAGCAAAAAATCTGGTGCTAAGATCAGGATGAAACGGAGGCGCTGGGTGGAGCTGACACAAACAGCAAACTGTGCCTGATATTATACAAAAATAAAAGGTTTTAAGTCTAGCATCTCCTCCTCCGTTCTTTCCTCACTCGCGGAGCTCAGAGCTTTTGTTTCCCTTCCCGTTACCATAGAGACCATGGTGAGTATAGCGCTGGAGGCCAGTGGCCTGCTGACCGACCGCTCGCCTACACTCATAGACGCAGCATATTGCCTGAACTCTGGACCTGCTGCAGCCTACACCTCAGCAGCCGACAACTGTAGCACAGTTTTCCTTTTCCTCTGCTGCTCTCAAAGACAAAACACAACCGTCAAGGTGCACACCAAAATACATGACCTATAATGACTGTATGACTGAATGTAAGTATGTAAAAAAATCCATCTAACTAGTGCTTGGCTCTGAACATGTTCTGTACGATTACTAGATTTCATGTGTGTGCTTTTTTATCCTTCACTTCTTTATAACCGCTTTTTCAGACAGAAAAGTGAATAAGGGCGGACCACTCTCACTCAGTTTCTCTCAGTTCAAAGGGTCAAATAGAGACACCCCCACGGCTTTTTCTTACAAGCATGCAAATAATAAATATGAAGACAGAATTTTACAAGACTCATATTGCAGAAAGAAAGTTATGTACCCCAGCTTTTATGTCTCATATCTCAAGGGTCCTTGTTTATTTTCTTGTGAAAGCATTAATACATGATACAATTCTTGTTGTTGATTCAGTAAAAGGATGATCTGATGTGTCAGACTCACAAGCTTGATAAATACAGCAGAATTTACTCAAAACAGTGGAATAACAGTGAGGCTGTTTACTTCATATCCAAACAGTGTCCTTCTTGTGGAAGTAAGACAAGACATTCCAGAGGGCAGGAGGAAACATAAAATCCCACCATTGATCCATTTACAATTGTTACAGGCAGAGCTGCACATGTATTTCTTCTTGAAATTCCATATTGAATGTACATATTTTGAAACTGACATATAGAAGCCCATAGATTGTACATTAGGAGTGGACTAACCAAATAATGTCTTAACAATAGTCCTTGCCAAATGTGGTAGAAGCTTTTTATAAACATAAGCAAGCTGGAGCCATTTTCCTCAAATTAGTATTTTTTTTCAATGGCGTTAGCGTCGTGGCGAAACGGGGGCAGACATGTTGCTAAGGTGGCTGCTAAGGCAAACTGGAGTTTATCAGGGAATGAAGACAATAATTATAAGGCTCACATTTAGATTTATAAAGACAACTCCAATGTTTAAAACACCAGAATCATTTAAACCATGATTTTTTTTAGCCCATATTATTGCAGGTGACACAAACGGTTACTGGTCTCGAGGAGTTTACTTTTCAATGCATTAGGACCCAGAGCGAGTTAGAACAAAACTTGGTCCATGAGGCTTCATTGAGGTAGGAGGTTAGCGTTGTCCATCTATCTATACAGTCTATGTGTAATCCTCAAAAATAGCTCAGGAAAATGCCTCTTCATGTTGTTGTTGAATTGAATTGAATTGAATTCATTATTTCAAAACCTGCACAGGAAACACATTTTACAAATGTTCAGACACATATGTTCAAGGTTTGAAAAGGGATTGGATGAAGCATTATGCTTATATAAGCCCAACCCTCTCACCCACACAACACAAGTCAAAACAACCCATTACAAAATACTACTGTCAGTGTCTATACAATACTGCCACCAATGGAATACAAAAATACTACTGTACATTTGACTACAATTTCAATACAATACTACCACCAATGGTATTCAAACCATTGTTGTTGTTGTTGTTGGTGCAAGTCTTGGTAATGAACTTATAAACAGCACATTATGATCTGGTGCTTGCTGCGCCCAGCTTGCTCAGGCTTATGACAGATGGTCAAGACTTTGTGTGTCACTTGAAGCATGCACAGAATTCAAAGTAAAAAATCAACATTGACAGGAGGCATTGGGAAAGTAAACCTTGAATCCCACCACCGACTGTATTTCACTCTTCCAAAACTTGAAACCCTGTGGTATTAGTCTGATAACGTCCTCCGAATCGCCACAGGAAGGAGCGTGATGATTAAAAACAGATATCAAACTGTTCCGCTTGACTTTCTTTGGCCTCCTTTATAAAGTGTGTTTTTTTCCACTATTTCAAAAGAGTATGACAGAGGACTTGCGCAGCAAGGTGCATCAAAATCGAATAGAAAGTGTTTAATCTATCTATTTCTTTGATAAGGAGAGTGCATTATAATAATCTGCATTACAATACAAATATGCTAGATTTTGCCAAAAGGGTTCATTTAAATATACTGAAGTTAATGAGTCTTACCTCGACCCAGTTGCCGTCCACCTCATGGAACAAGACACAGAAAGGGTCTGATTTGGAGGCTACATCTCGGTCCAAGAGGCCTGTGGCCGTGACAGACATCTCCACTCGTGTGACGCAGTGTTGAGGCCCCACACGGGTCTGGCCATCACTTGGGGAGCTCAGAGTGTAGGCCATTCTTTTCACGTTCAATGGTCCTGAAATATAATGTGGAACATAATTGTAGGCACAATCCAAATAAAATTATGCATATTGAAATCTACTATGTATCCATATCTATAATCTAATGATTTATAGATATATTTGTAGATAGTCTTCTTTATTCTAACCAAGGTATTTTAGACAAAATGATTAATGCCTGTTTTCTTCTAGGCCAGCAGAGAGATATTCCCCAAAACTGCCCTGGGTCTTTTCCTAAGCACCAAACCAATTTTAGACCCTGGCGTAAGATATAGTGCACCAGATATATAGGCAGGATTTCTAGGTATGAAAATGAAATTTCCCTTGGGTCTAGACTCTGGTGGTAGAAGCTGATGATGAGCCGATAATCTTAAAAAAGTCCCACTGTTGAGGTGGTGATGGAGAGGAGGAGGGTTGCAGCTTGTGCTGAAGCTGATAGATGCAGGAAGGCGCTTGTTAAATGCAGGCTGGTTGGCAAGACAGGTAAGTGCCCAATGAGATTGATTACTGATATCAGAGGCACAGGTGTGTAGTAGTGGGAGAGGAGAGGTAATGGAGGACAGTCTTATGATTTAGCTTTAACCTTAAGGGAGAGTTCAACCACAAAACTCATTTTTTATCCCAGATCTTTTACAAATCAAACTTGTCCTTATCGGCCATTCTCCAAAGCTCACACACTGCACCTATCTTTATGTCAATCTCACGTTCCATCCTTCCCCCAGAGTGAACAAGTCCCAATAAACAGTACATACACTTCACTTGAAATCAGATTCAGCCATTTGCAGTAAAACCACATTGTAATACTTGTGCAAAAGTACCCCAGTGTGCACTAGACAATTAAATAAATAAAACAAGCCAAAAAATTTAAGAAAAAAATGGTCACAGTGAAACTAATCAACAAAAACAGTAACTAAAAGTGCAGGATAAGGACTTCTTTCGCCTGCAGGTGGAGCTAGGACAGTGACAATGGTGATGAGCTACACCATCCAAGGGTATATGGAATGCTCCAAACTGTCTCAAATCCATTATAGAGGAAATGGGTCTCTCATATCCTATTTTCAATTTTGACATCCTGCATTAACAAAGCACAATGATCCGGTCCGAAACTGTAAACTGAAAATGACTAACCCAGGAGCTTTCTACTGCTGCCAACTCTTAAATATAAAACAAAATCCCAACAAAATATATTTGTGTGCACTGTTTATTTCTATTTCCTGAAATCTGCTAAAGGTCATTGTCATAATGTAAATCTTCTTAAGGCTTTAGAGCAAATACATCGGAAAAACCTGTGCACTGCCCTGATCATAGAGAGAATGTCTGTGAATCATCATATTCCTTATTGCAGTGATGCTCGTGCTCTTGTGCTTGGTGTAAATACAATCTGGAGAAAACGGTAACTATTTCATGATCCCTGGGGACTCGAGGACAAACGCGGTGTTTGGTAAAGGAGGTGTGCGGATGAAGCTGTGGTAAAGGATGCTGACTGTTGCTAAGATACTGTGTCATGGCCAACGCATTTTCCTCCTAATCTGCCCTGTGATGTCACATCCACATTTTAGTTTTCACTCATTCATATTTGTTCATAGGGACATCAGCCATTTTCCATGATCACATATACACTAACAGGGACTTTAACAATAGCCATATCCTCCGGAGTTCCTATACATTTAGTGCCAACTACACTAATTTATAAGCTGGAACACACCCAGCTGGCTCATAAATTCCAGTTTTGTCAAATCAGTGGCACCTTTGCATTATTATTATTATTATTATTATTGTAATAACTATGATGTGTTATTATTATTCTAATACCATCATAGTAGCAGGAGTATTACAATTATCTTCATTATTAGTATTGATATTTGTATTACTGCTAAAACTATGATCATGATTATAAATACTATTGTTGTTACTCTGCCTTTTGACATGTAGGTGCCCTGTTATAGCACGTGTCCACAAAACCCTGCTGGTTTACATGATGGTCCATATCTGATGACAATTACACGAAAGAAATGCCATGTCGCCCTTTTCACCTCAGCAGGGTTCAGCTCAAATAAAATCTAGTTAATGGCATGTCCCGCGTCATGAGAGAGAAACGCAAATTAAGAGCTCAATTAATCGATTTGTTGATAGCAGAATTGTTTTTGATTAGTTCCTGTCAAATGTGTATAGAACGTAAGTAATAAGTATATTTCTCACATATCTTGACTTAGCCTTATTGCACTTTCACAAAGAGCTTCACAATTTGGTGTTTTTTCCATTTAGTCAACATCAGTTTACGTTCTAACATAATCAAATAAACTACTTTCAATTCCTCAATACCAACTTTCCTAGCTTATTCCAACAGAAAACACAACGGACGCGTTAATTGCATGCTGTTAACCCAAGTATTCAATAATTAATAATGTGTACTCACCTAAATAAACGACGAACTTCTGCTTCGGGAGAGGTGTTCTGTAAATCAGCCTATTTTACGCACAATGGCCAAAGAAATGATCCGTTAAGTTATTTGGTGTACGAACTAGAAAGAATAGCACTTGTTTCTGCCATGTTATCTACATTAAGCGAACGAAGGCAACAGTGTGGCTGTAAATCATCTCCGCGGATGGAACTCTTCCCTGTGCGCACCGCGGCTGATGGAGCTGCGTAAAGAGCGCGGCATCCACAGAGGAAGTCCACGTTCAAAGTAAGAGGAGCTCAGGATGTTCTAGTTTCAATAAACACAAAAACCACTGTCCATTTCAAATCTCTCATCTGCGATTTCAGATATTTAAAGCAGAAGATAGTCGTGCAAAATGAGTGATAACTTATACGCGCTGCAATGGCACTGCAACTTCAACGTTTTCGTATATCCTTTTTACATTTTTTTTTAATACGCCAAATGTGCCCTCTTGTGGCATACAAATGTATTTGCCATGTATTTTTCTGTGTTTCTGCAACACGTGTCCAGCATTTTTATACTCGCAGACTCACAGTGCACATGCGGGTCCGTGTATTTTTCGTTCAATGTTTTTTTGTTTTCAAATTAAAATAGAAAATGGCTTGAATTTTCATTTTTTATTTTGATGAGGAAAAGGAAAAACGAAAAATTGGCTTGATATTTGATGCTGCCTTCATCCCATTATAATAGTCCATGTGCAGCACCCATGGTGACCCATCTTCAGATGTTGATGTGCGTCTTGGTCAAGGCTATACTGGAGACACAAAGAGAAACATGCGCATTCAAGAAGGAAGACTGGGGCCCTTGATTTTAAACTCACTAAACCAAGGATCATATCTGAATAAAGTTTACATGGGGTTTAAGTTGTACAGTATATTATGTTGTATCACTGCCAGCTGACAACCACGCACTGGAGGATATCAATGTGATTACTGTGCTCCAGCTCCAGTATATATATTTTAAAGCTGTTGACACAAAGGTAGAACAAACTAAGTGTGAGATACACCTTACACAGGAAGTCAAAAATACATGAATAAAGAGTAAGAGAGAATAAACAATCACACAGTTGGTTCTAGCATTAATAGATTAAGATTAAGAGATCCTTAATTTGTACCACTGCGGGGGGAAATTTCAGTGTTGCACCACCAGTTACAGAGCAGTAAGAAGGAGGAACACACAAGACAAATGCACAAATATTCGATACTAAATTTTAAAAAAAATCTCTATCTTTAGCATAATAAGTACAAAAACGTTATTATGATAAAGAGGTATAACGTGTCTAAACAGTTTATGAGACTGACGTGGGAATAGAATATATACACCATTCATTTAAAAAAACTGCTTGTAACTGGACCAGGCACATGTTGCTGAGTGCACAATCTAAACGAATGACCTTGTCTTTTCTGTGGACGACAACTATTGTTAAAAAGCTGTCAACAGCGTTAAACTTAGATTAAGGTGAGTTTAGGCATTTGAGGCCAACTGAGGCCACCTATTCTGAGATTTTCCGAGGCAGGGGAAGGTTAATAGATTGTCGGTCACTGCTGACTTAGACCACCTGAGTAGATGTTTGTGACCTTCATCCACTTTATCTACTATTTGTTCTTTCTGTATTATGTTTTGCCTGTGTGCTTACTGCAAATATTAGTCTGCAACATTGTATTGCTAATATTTATTTTGGGAACTCTATTTTCAAAGCAGTTCATTCTTGTTCCATGGAAATTCAGTTTCAATTTGGGAATTTTTAAACCTTCTTCCACATAGCCAATTGTTTTCATATGTGTTCTTCAGCTTTTAGACTGAGGTTAGGCATTTTTACGTCAATATTCCTACTAAGGGTTTTAACAGCAAATGGAAAATGAACTGAATCTTGAATCTGATGAAAACCTCCCTAAATTAGTAAACATGCACTGTGACTGTGATCAATCTGTGACTGTGAACTCCTGCTATATTCTTCTAAAATTCTCCTTTTGGACAATTTTTATTGTACATTGTCCCTAAAAATAAACATCATATCTATCATGACACGAATCACATCACCCAAAACCCATATTCTCCTTTTTGGGGAGAATATATTCTATCTTATTTGATAAGGAGCTTGTTTCCAAGTCAAACAGAGTTAAGCCTCAACTGATCGAACCAGAAGAAAGGACTGGGTTTATACGTCAGCTGTGACACAGGACACCAAATGCCACGAGTGACTTGAAATGTTCCTGAAACACCTGTTGAGGAATACATTTTTAGGACTGGAGGAGACATTGTACTTTCTCAATTGTTACAAGACGTCCTGAGACAGAACGACCTGCACCTGTCAGAAGTGGACTGCTCCTATTATTTATAGGAGTCTCTAACAAACATATGGTCAACGAGACATTCCTCACCAGTGCCCACACAAACTTTACCGCAATTAACCCAATAACGGTTAGTTACAATCAGTTAATGACCTATAAAGCTGCACAGAAAAAGTGCCTTGCCCTCTCCAGGTGGGTGCAAAGAAGTTCAAGTATCTCTGGGTCTTGTTCATGAGCGAGGGAAGAACAGAGCATGAGATTGACATACGGATCAGTGCAGCGTCTGCAGTGATGCAGTCTCTGTATCTTTCCCACCATCACCTATGTATGTGAGCTTTGGGAAAATACCGATTGTGGATCAGATTAATTAGAAATAGGGCAAGGAGCTCAGTCTGAGGGGAAGAGTTCAGAGAGCCACTGTTCCTCCACATCAAGAGGAGCCAGTTGAGGTGCCTCAGCCGTTTGTTTACCTTTCCTTTTGAACAACGGGGGGGTAGACCCAGGACACAAACAGGCGATAGTCAAATCTCAACCAAGGCTAAACCAGGTCTGAACCAGGTCATGAGTTATTGGGACAAATGTAAAATTACGATTCTGTGCCAGTTGCATATGAGTGAAAAAATGTTTTAACCCATTTTCTCTATGCCAAGTTTTAGTTTGGTTTTGAAGACTTTTGAAGATTTTGTTCATGGTGTATAATGCTTGTTCATGAGAACACTAGAGTCAAAAAAATGTGCCCATTATTGTGTTGACACTGGTCACCAAACCTCTTCCAGAACATGAGCTATCCCGTTATAAAGTGAAGGGAGAACTAATTAAAGTGTGTGAAAGGCATGACAAGAACTAATGTGTGTGCTTTGACGAATGAGCATGCATCACAATTCGTTAAAAGATTTCATTTGATGAGAAAAAATGTAATTTTATGAGCAAAAAATCTATTAAATAATGTTTTAAATACTTTAAAAATATTAATATATCATAACAAATGTGTCATCTTCACACAAGGTTTTCAATTCTTCAATTCAGTTTTATATCCTAATATAAAATTGTTAACAATAATACTTCAACACAAAGTTGACACAGACTACCACTCAAATAACAGCATACAGTGCAACAGCATATAGTATATTTATAGAAGAGGACAAATATTCCTCTTGCCACAGTACTCGGGTATCTCACAGCCCATATTTGGAATGCAGTAATCTTTGAACTTGCTTTGTGAGCACCGGAGCTCAAATATAAAGAGCCTGAGAGGCCCCTCAGTGTGAGGCTGAGGAGCGGCTCCTGCCCCTGGTAAGTTCAGCTCCTGCCGCTGCTAACATTTTGGCTTTTTGTTATTAACAAGATTATTCAGATACGGATTTTTGCAAAGTGCTACATATTTCTATAATGCATTTTTATTCAAGGATATCTGTTATCTTAGGCAATACATCATATTTTAACATTTTATACTTTATCGCTGATGTCTAAATTACTGTTTCTAAGAAGATAATTTCACAGAGAAATTTGTTTTAACATATGTACTGTACAATTACTACATGCTTCATTTTACTTTTTACAAGAATATCTAATCACTGACAACTATGCTGTTGACTTTCTAATATCAACCTGCCCCATGGGCAACTGTGGCTACAGCAGCAGTATATACAGTGTGTGCAGTGGATTCATAAGAACTGTTGGTGTCACTGTCCAGGACGGTGCCATGTTTTATAAGCTTAAATTGAAGATTGAAGACATCCATGTTTTCTCTGCCTGAAGGAGGTGGATCCAGTTTGAGATTTTTGGAAGCAGTCAGTGATCTGGAGAGACAGCGTTCTGTGCATCATGCAATAAGAATGTGTAACTAAACGTTTTACTTACAGATCTAAACTGCCACCATAAGTACGAACAGATGACCTCCAGAAACCAAAGGAACCAAGAGGATTGGATTATTAACAGTATTGTACACAAAATTACACAACAATGGTCTTTATCAAGTTAATCATTATTTGTCAGTTATTATTTCCCGTGCTCGCGCTTTGTTAACTCACGACCTCTCAGCGGTTTTTGGATGTTGGATTACATCAGTGCTTTTGGAGAAAACAACATGTTCTGCATATTGAATAGTTATCGGCGATGTTGCTGAAGAATTATGAATATATAATTGTAAAACATCCAGTTTCTTGTAAATTGTAAACTTCTGGTTTCTTTCTTTCTTTCTTACTCATGACCATTTTTTTTGGTACAGAGCACAAGTTACAAAACATGTATGATAAATATATATATGTATAAAATCTACATCGGGAAAAAGTTACATTACTCCATGTATGGGTATTTCTCTTGTCACCGTCTACAAGTTGCTGCCAGTGAATGAACGTGAAGTGTATGGAGGCTCCACCCACATTTCTCTTTCAGGAAAAATAAAAGGGTAAGTATCCCCTTAAATTCACTGATTTAATAAATTTTACTTGATGAAATGAACACAAAAGAGAAAGAACTGTGAGTGTTTACAATGTATGGAACTCTTTGTAGTTTTGGCATCGTGACAATATCAGTGAGAAACGCTAGTGTTTTGTGTTCATTTTCGTTTTTACAGCTCATGCATCAGTTAATTTTATTCCTTGTTGCCTTGTTCATGTTTTTTCCCCCCGTACTTGACTGCAGGCCTGTATTGTCCCCAGTGCTGGGGAAATAATTTTGAGAGTTTGTTTGGTTGCAGACCATTTTGTTTTAAAATGTGTTTCGTTATATCCCGCTGTATGGTATGACTGAATTTTTACACTCATTAACATTATCCATCCCTTTTCTCCCTTTTGCATCTCCCGATCCTGCCTCCTTCTCTCCTTGCTTGGAATTTAGTGTGTGCCCCCTGCATAGTATACGTATTGTGTATGTTTCTTTTAGAAAATAAACAAATTAAAGACAATAAAGTAAAAAAAGGAAAAAGGGAAGCTCTAAATGTGATCTGCCATTTTGCTGTTGAGTTTTTAAACGTTTCTTTGTATTTATTGAAAAAAGGATACATTGGAAAAAGGAGATGTGGGCATCTTATTAAGTCATCAGCCAAAAACCACAACATCTACTTACATCATTCACATCTCTAACTGAATAACTTAAATGTTATACCACAGTTATTTCAGTAATAAAGACAAATGATGATCAAAATAAATCACAGGCGATAACACGGAAAATATACTGTGCAACTATTGCTATTTCTATTTTACTTGACTAGAATACAAGATAATTTCTAATACCAGTTCTACTACACAAAAGGATTCCATGTTTAACTTTTGCTTAAGGTTAAGGCAGACATCCCTCCCTCTTCAAAGATCAAATGCGATTGGTGGAGCTAACAATCTTCGACACGTGGCTGTTGCATGTTTCAACAGTGTAAAGCAGTTTGAAGAACAGCAGGTTCAGCTCAAGTCATCAGTCAATCGTAAAGATCCACATAAAGCAGTCCAATAACAAAATTCTAATCTTTTTTAGCCAAAGGACAAGTCACACATAGCACAGGGCAATGATTGGATGGGGGAACACTCAGGTAACAAACAAATGCGAAAAGGCAGATATAGAAGGATTGAAATGGAAAAGCGCTCATACTCCAGATTGGGTGCAGGAGAAGAGACCTGTGGCCTGCAGGTGAATCATTGTATTCTTCCCAAACACTGTGATGCATTAAGAAATGCATTAAGAAAGTACAAGATGAGCAGGCACCTACACCACAGAACATTTACAATAAATTACATATATAAATATGAAAAAAAAAACAGTCAAAATACAATAAATATATCAAGAAAAACAAATGGGAAAATGTGTTAACATAGAGAAGGAAAAGTCTCCAACCAAACACTGTGCATCACCAGTAGTTTTGGTTGTGGCTCAGATTACACTTAAAGATGCAGTCAGTGATTATTTCCAGATGCATTTTTTTTTATATTGGGGAAAGACGTCCCTAAAGCGTAAAAGTAGACAAGTTATCATGTGTTTTCAAATAGTAATGGAATTGACTAGATGCCTATAGTCTCCAAATATTAATAACAAATATTTTGGAGTGGACCAATAAAAATAAACCAATAGGATGCGTTTACCCCCTTCACCCTCTTCCTGTTTCTTGCAAGTGTGCACACCTGAGTTATCAGCAATTTTAGGTTTTATTCTAAAACCTAAAATTGCTGAACAGAAAATACCAATTTTACGTTTGCCACCCACTCTCCTTGTTGTGACAAAGAAAAGAAAATGCTGGATGTTTGGTTTGGTGGAGAGGCGAGGGGAGGGAGTGGTTTTGAGTTGGTGGTACGGCTATCGCTTACTGCACCCTAATATTTTCCACATACACTGCTTCATGAGAGTTTGCATCACATCATGTGGCTGCACCTTCAAAAGATCAGTAGAATGACAAAGACCCATCACATTTATCTGGAAGGGCAAACAACTCAAATATCTTATCTAATCTAATTTTATTATTCTTACATTAACTAAATTGAATAAATATTGTGTCATTTACAATTTACAACAGAAATATTCAAAGCCTGAGGGTAAGCCTTCCTTCACAGACCACCACCACTGTCCACGCACAAACACCAGACTCATACAAAGCAATATGGGTGAACAATAGATAAGATAAGGTACACTTTATGGATCTCACCCTGGAGAAATTTACATAAAGGGTATGGTCTCCCATCACAGCACTGATCAGGCCCCATCCTGCTTAGCTTCCAAAGACTGCCTGGATCAAGCTTTTCCATACAGTTGCTACACCAGGATGTGACAAATGTAAATGACCCTTCCCAAATCTCACTCCAAGGTTTGGTTGAGAATCTGCAGTGTTTCAGATTAATGCAGCTAAAATCTGTAACAGTCTTCCTGAAAATCTGAGACAGGCTTCTGCTTTGTCTATGATCAGATCCAAGTTAACAACAGTTAAGTTTAGCCGCACATGAGGACTGCATCTTCACTCTTATTCTCTTCTGCTGTAATTATTGATTATTGTAATGCCTTATGTGATTTTTATTTTCCTATTCTTGTTTGGTAACGCACTTTGCTTTGTGTATGAACTGTGTTATACAAATAAAAACGTGCCTTTCCTTGCCTTGCCTCTTCTTAAGTGGTGACAATGAAGGAGTGTTGACCATATTTGTTAAATCACGTTAAACTTGTTTCGAAATCATTCTTTTTAGCAAACTGTATATTTAAGATTGTACTGGAAAAAAATAATTGAATTTAAGTTTTCAGCAAGGTTTATTTTTTTTGAAAAAAAGGTCAAAATTGTTAAATTGTTGATTAGTCCAAGTGGAATATATCCCTATCATGTTTTTTCTCAATGTTCTATTGCATGTTTTATCTTTTTGAACATTTGCTCATCATCAAGCCTCACCGAAAGGGAACTCGGGATCACAAAAGCGGGACGAAGAAGGAGGAGTACAATTTATAGAACCTCCTTTGTCTATCCACTGTCAGACATATAGCTGTCATGTAGCCTTGAATCTTGAACTTTGAACTTTTGCAAATGGAACTAAATAGTTGTACCATGTGGCATCTAGAACAACTGCGGCTATTTATACCTGGTTTCTCATAACACAATCCAAGAAAGGTAAGACATTACAACGTGATCATGTCTTCATTCGCCTGCTTTATGGGAGGATGAGTTATCGTCTTATCCAATCTCAGATGTGCCCCAGAGTTTCCCCTTTGTCTCCTTTCATGTCAGGATTTCAGCTGTTAGCAGTTCTGTCTAACTTCAGAATAATCCTTTTTGATTTACAGTATTATTGGATTCTTGCATGACTTTTTCCTTGACTTTGTCCTTGAAACAAAGAAACCTAATCACCACAAGTGGCCTGTTATTTTATTCAAGGAATTTCCCAAAGTGATGAAGTTGTTATAATCTATTTTTTCCTCTGAATCACTCCATATTCCATACCCGGTCTCAGACCAACATGCACAATATTGGTATGCATTTATAATAAAAAGCCAGTTAAAAGCTGCAGATACACCCATAAATCACTGATCACTAAGACAAGCTGCAAATAAAGATGTGTTGAGTAATTCAAATAATCATAATACAATTTCATTAATAATATTATTATTTTTTACAATGTATTTATTTATTTTTAACCTTCACAAAGCATTTTCATGTAAATCAATAACAGACAAAAAAGTTGTACCTGGTTAAAAAGGATACAAAGTCATAAACACAAGCAAACAACAGAAATAGTGTTGAAATACTGTTTTTCACATGAACAGTTGCTGAAACACTAATGCAAATATTTTAAACAAAATTGTATGTTAAATAAATATGAAAAAGAAAACAGGATTTTTTATGATCATTTATTTACCTACAAATACAATCCAAACCATTTGCTGCCAACGATCGAGAAAGATATTGATAACCTATTAAAGACTTATTCTGCTTTCTCATTGGATGATTTGATTAAGAAATATGAGGAAAAAGTACGAGTAGGAATATTGTGATAATTATTTTAAAAGAAAAGAATAAATCACTATAACACTCGTCCTTGTTGATGTTTATAGCCTGGGATAAATGTAGACTAAAAGATGCCACCGTTAACTGTGATACCCACCTCATTTGGTGAGTACCATTTTTATCTGGGGGTGTGTCTGCTCTGCTGAATGAATATAAGGAGTGAAGAAGAAGACACTGTTGTCACTGGAGACAGCTGGTAAGGTTTCCTCTCTACCTGTTTGTGGACAAATGATAAATGTTGAATGTTGTGATTCTATGTGTTACATTGTTCTACTTATTTACAGGTTGAGGAACTTGACTTCATCTCAGCGGAGTCAAGGGGGAGGTACGAACCAAACTTAATAGTCTATACATTTTGTATTATATCTTGAAATCAGTTAGTATTTAGTTGTATAATGTCTAGTGAAATGCAGAAATACATGACACTGTTTAATAATACTATAATCCAAATGTAATGTAATAATGTAATATAATCGGGCTACATCTCAACAGTAGTGGTCGAAGAAGAGAATAAGTAGAAGGTTATTGGACAATATAACACATTCTTTGACAGTGAATTCAAATATTGAGATCATTTTCACTAGATGTACAATTACATCAAAGTCGCAACGTAGATTGAAGGAGGGCTACCGCAAGGCCTACATCGCCAGCTCCGTCAGACTGTACAGTAATGACCTGCACCAGGACTGAAAAACTCACACCACTATCACTTCTAAATGTATTTACATTTACATAATGTATGTTGCACAAAGAGAAAACATTTTTACCTATTAACATGTTTGCTCACCATGTTAGCAAACATAGCCTTGAGTGTCTTGCTTAAAGACACTATTTTTTGGCACCCTTTGGTGATTATATCGAAGTCCAAGTTCATTCATCAGGTTTAAGTATGCCATATTTTGTTCAAGCAGAAAAAACAACGCAACCATGAGTACGGACGCTGAGATGGCCATTTATGGCAAAGCTGCCATCTACCTCCGTAAACCAGAGAAGGAAAGGATTGAGGCTCAGAGCAAACCCTTTGATGCCAAGAGTGCCTGCTACGTGGCTGATGCCAAGGAGTTGTACCTCAAGGCAACCATCATCAAGAAGGAAGGTGGCAAAGTCTTGGACACTCAGGAGGTTAGTTACAAACATATAAAAGACTGTCCAACGACATCTTTAAATCCTCACGTTACACACCTTATGTTCGGTCGTAGGAGAAAACCGTTAAAGAAGATGATGTCACTCCCATGAACCCTCCAAAGTACGACAAAATTGAGGACATGGCCATGATGACCCACCTCAATGAAGCCTCTGTGCTTTATAATCTCAAAGAGCGTTATGCAGCATGGATGATCTACGTAAGACACAATTACACAGAGAGTTTATATACATCGTAAAAAACTATGTATTTTTCTCACTGCCTAAAAAAACGTATAACTATGTCAAAATCAAGGAATAGTGAGACTGTTAGGAAATCGGTGGATTTCAACCAATATAAATAATATAGGATGAATGAAAGAACACTTCAAGATGAAGTGATGAAGTCTTTTTACATAAACTTCCGGTTTATGCTACAGTATATCTAACGTGCAAAAGTAGTATTAGGAAAACGTTAATCTGTGTGGGGGAATTTCTTTAGACCTACTCTGGGCTGTTCTGTGCCACTGTCAACCCCTACAAGTGGTTGCCAGTGTACGACGCAGAAGTGGTGACAGCCTACAGAGGCAAGAAGCGTATGGAGGCTCCACCCCACATCTTCTCTGTTTCTGACAACGCTTATCAGTTCATGCTAACTGGTGAGTCCCCCTGAGAAGTATAACACATTGATCTTAAATTATATGGTGGATGATATATTTTACTCTATGTTTTAACAGATAGAGAGAACCAGTCTGTCTTGATCACGTAATTTTGTTTCTGTCTGTGTATCTAAATACCTTTACACATGCTCTTAAAACTCTGTTTTCATCCCCAGTGGAGAATCTGGTGCCGGAAAGACTGTCAACACCAAGCGTGTCATTCAGTACTTTGCGACTATCTCTGTTGGTGGTGGTGAAAAGAAGAAGGAAGGAAAGATGCAGGTTGGTTTACATTTAAGTAACATACGTTGAATTGCAGGAATTTAACTGTTCCTTTACCAAGATAAACAGAACAGTTACAGTTTTGTAACACATCACAGAGATGAGAAGTACATCCAACTACTGACATTTGAGTTATGGAGGGAACTAACTAACAAGCAGGGTGGAGGTAAAGATATAAACAGGACCATACCTTTCTCTGCAGGGCTCTCTGGAGGATCAGATTATTGCAGCCAACCCCCTGCTGGAGGCCTATGGCAATGCCAAGACTGTGAGAAATGACAACTCATCTCGATTTGTAAGTATAGTCACAATAGAAAAATAAATCATAAGAATTTGTGTCAATATGTGTGTGTCTAATTTTGGGTCTTTGTTAAAACTTAGGGTAAATTCATCCGAATTCATTTTGGCACAACTGGTAAACTTGCTAGTGCTGATATTGAAACCTGTAAGTAGGATGTTGCAGTTACAATAACAAAAATGATTTTATTTTTTTTGTAACACTGTTCTCAACACTCAGATCTTCTGGAAAAGTCTAGGGTGACATTTCAGCTTGAACTGGAGAGAGGCTACCATATCTTTTACCAGATGATGACCAATCATAAACCTGAGATCATTGGTATGTAATGGTATGAAGGAATTTTTTTTCTAGATTTCTGTTTGGGTGCTCAAAAATAGTGTCTGCCTTTCAGAAATGTGTCTCATCACTTCCAACCCATATGACTTTCCCATGTGCAGCATGGGTCAGATCACTGTAGCTAGCATTGATGATAAAGAAGAGTTGGATGCAACGGATGTAAGTGACTCAGGAATCCTATAGTTTGTACTAACAACACATGTCTGTGATTAACAAAACTTATTCAAACTAGAATGCCATTGACATCCTGGGCTTCACTGGAGAGGAGAAGATGAACATCTACAAAATGACTGGTGCTGTTCTTCATCACGGAAACATGAAGTTCAAGCAGAAGCAGCGTGAGGAGCAGGCTGAGCCAGATGGCAATGAGGGTAAGAAAATAGGTAGATCTACTATGGATATATAGCACGGTAAAAAACAACAGTTCACAGATGGGACGGTTCTGACGTAAGGGAATGTGGCCTGAAAGAGTGAAAGTACGAAACTGAACCGTCATAAATGAACAAAGCACTTGTGACGACAACAACAATAAAGTATTACTCAACTTAATACAGTATGTGTTCTTTGTAGATGCTGACAAGATTGCTTACCTGCTGGGTCTGAACTCGGCTGACTTGCTGAAGGCTTTGTGTTATCCCAAAGTCAAGGTCGGAAATGAGTATGTCACCAAGGGACAGACGGTGCCTCAGGTAAAGCAAAGCTTTGAGGGGCGACCAATGTTATAATACTGCAACATTTATGCAAATACTTTCTTGTAGGTGCTGAATGCTGTCACCGCCCTTGCCAAGTCCATCTATGAAAGGATGTTCTTGTGGATGGTCATTCGTATCAACCAGATGTTGGACACCAAGCAACAGAGACACTCCTTTATTGGTGTCTTGGACATTGCTGGCTTTGAAATCTTTGATGTAAATCTTATTCTAATAATGTATGCCTAAAAACAAGTGTGGGGGTTCATATGAAATATTTTTTTTGACAGTTCAACAGCATGGAGCAGCTGTGCATTAACTTCACCAATGAAAAACTGCAACAGTTCTTCAACCACCACATGTTTGTTCTGGAGCAAGAAGAGTATAAGAAAGAGGGTATCATCTGGGAGTTCATTGATTTTGGTATGGACTTGGCCACCTGCATTGAGCTGATCAAAAAGGTGGGATTTTGATTTTAAACAACAACCAAAAAGTTGTTATATTTAATTAGAAAAAAATACTTTTTCTTTCATCCAGCCCATGGGTATCTTTGCCATCCTTGAGGAGGAGTGCATGTTCCCCAAAGCCTCTGATACAACCTTTAAGAACAAGCTGTATGATCAACATCTGGGCAAGAGCAAAGCTTTTGAGAAGCCCAAGCCAGCCAAAGGCAAGCCAGAGGCCCACTTCTCTCTGGTCCACTATGCTGGAACTGTGGACTACAACATTGCTGGCTGGCTTGACAAAAACAAGGATCCACTGAATGAGTCTGTTGTGCAGCTGTACCAAAAATCTTCGGTCAAACTTCTGTCTATTCTGTATCCTCCGGTTGTTGAAGGTGCAATAATTGTTGTGAAAACACATTTATAGATGTGTTTTCTAACATACAATTCAATAAATCATCATGTGTTGTATATCTTCTTTATATAACAGAGGCCGGTGGTAAGGGAGGCAAGGGAGGCAAGAAGAAGGGTGGTTCTATGCAGACTGTGTCCTCGCAATTCCGAGTAAGAATTTACATAATATATGCAACGTGCAAGTGTATATGTTGTGTATTATAAATGTTTAACTAAAGTCTTCATTTTCCTATGCTTAAGGAGAATCTTGGAAAGCTGATGACCAATCTGAGGAGCACTCATCCTCACTTTGTGCGCTGTTTGATTCCCAATGAGTCCAAGACTCCAGGTATGAATCATCATGTTGTCACACACGGCCTTTAGTGACTAATACTCCTTCTTACATTAGGTCTGATGGAGAACTTCCTGGTCATTCACCAGCTTAGGTGCAATGGTGTTCTGGAGGGTATCAGAATCTGCAGGAAGGGTTTCCCAAGCAGAATCCTGTATGCTGACTTCAAACAGAGGTATCATTGAATTCAGTGAATGTAATGTAATGTAAATTTCAAAGACAAATTATTCATATTATTTTTTTACCCCAAGATACAAGGTACTGAATGCCAGTGTTATCCCTGAGGGTCAATTCATTGACAACAAGAAGGCATCAGAAAAGCTGCTGGGATCTATTGACATTAATCATGATGAGTATAGATTTGGACACACTAAGGTTGGCATTTGTTCATGTTATTCAAGTTAAGGTTTCCTATTTTGTCATTTAATAGAGCGTTTTCACACTTTTAAAAGGTGTTCTTCAAAGCTGGTCTGTTGGGCGTTCTTGAGGAGATGAGAGATGACAAACTGGCAACACTTGTCACTATGACACAGGCTTTGTGCCGTGGATTCCTCTCGAGAACGGAGTTTGTGAAGATGATGGAAAGAAGGCATGTCCAACATATTAGCAAGAAATTTTTTCCTTTTAAATTATAGCAGGGCAGACTCTATTGTCTTAAGTGACACAGTAGTATGAATATATGCCTTATTTCACAGAGACGCCATCTTCACCATCCAGTACAATGTCCGCTCATTCATGAATGTCAAACACTGGCCATGGATGAAGGTGTATTACAAGATCAAGCCCCTCTTGAAGAGTGCTGAGACTGAGAAGGAGCTTGCCCAGATGAAGGAGAATTATGGGAAAATGTCCAATGACTTGGCTGCTGCTCTGGCTAAGAAGAAGGACCTTGAGGAGAAGATGGTGTCTCTTCTTCAGGAAAAGAATGACCTGCAGCTCCAAGTGGCTTCTGTAAGTAGATAGATTTGTTCTCAAATAAAAATCATGCGGCAAAAGCTAATATTTGCTCCTTCAGGAAACAGAGAATCTGTCAGATGCTGAGGAGAGGTGTGAGGGTCTCATTAAAAGCAAAATTCAGCTTGAGGCCAAACTGAAGGAGACAACTGAGAGACTTGAGGATGAAGAAGAGATCAATGCTGAGCTCACAGCCAAGAAAAGGAAGTTAGAGGATGAATGCTCAGAGCTCAAGAAGGATATTGATGATCTGGAGCTAACCTTGGCCAAAGTGGAAAAGGAGAAGCATGCCACTGAGAACTAGGTCATTCCACAGAGCCTTCCACAATATGTGTAATTACTTGACATAATAATCATGCTTCGAAAAAAACAAAAAAACAGGTAAAGAACCTCACAGAAGAGATGGCCTCTCAGGATGAGAGCATTGCAAAGCTGACTAAGGAAAAGAAAGCTCTCCAAGAGGTGCACCAACAGACACTGGATGACCTTCAGGCTGAGGAGGACAAAGTCAACAGTCTTGCCAAAGCCAAAACTAAGCTTGAGCAGCAAGTTGATGACGTATGTCTGAGCACAAACAAACCCAATGTTTTGTAGAAAAAGAACAAGCCAGTTTATAAATGCATATTTTCTTCTTCCAAAGCTTGAAGGTTCACTGGAGCAAGAGAAGAAGCTGCGTATGGACCTGGAGAGAGCTAAGAGAAAACTGGAGGGTGACCTAAAACTTGCTCAGGAATCTATCATGGATCTTGAGAATGATAAGCAGCAGTCTGAGGAGAAACTGAAGAAGTAAGAATCTAATGAGCATACTGTATTTCATTACGCTGGCTGAATGAAGGTAAAACATCTTCAAAGACTTTGAGACCAGCCAACTCCTCAGCAAGATTGAAGATGAACAGTCTCTTGGAGCTCAACTTCAGAAGAAGATAAAGGAGCTTCAGGTAACATGTCTTTGATGATATATGCTCTTACACTGAGAAACACAATGTCTTATTGTGAATTCTTTATTTTTCAAACTACAGGCTCGTATTGAGGAGCTGGAAGAAGAAATAGAGGCTGAGCGTGCTGCACGTGCCAAGGTTGAGATGCAGAGAGCAGATCTTTCCAGGGAACTTGAGGAAATCAGCGAGAGACTGGAGGAAGCTGGCGGTGCCAGATTGAGGCTGTCAACTCCAAGTGTGCCTCTCTGGAAAAAACAAAACAGAGGTTGCAGAGTGAGGTTGAGGATCTCATGATTGATGTGGAGAGAGCTAATGGTCTTGCTGCTAACCTTGACAAGAAGCAGAGGAACTTTGACAAGGTACAGACTCTACTTTTGTACAACCTAATGTGTCCTTAATAATAAAATAATCTTTAGGAATCTGACTCACCACATCTTTTGATAAATTGTCAAATTAGGTCCTTGCTGAATGGAAGCAGAAGTTTGAAGAGGGTCAGGCCGAGCTTGAAGGAGCTCAGAAGGAGGCTCGCTCACTGGGAACTGAGCTTTTTAAGATGAAGAACTCCTATGAAGAAGCTATTGACCAGCTGGAGACCATGAAGCGTGAAAACAAGAACTTGCAGCGTTAGTTTTTTCACTAGTGATGAGTTATTTAAATTATAAAGCATTGAATTGAAGACCAAATATGTGTTTTATTCCCACAGAGGAGATATCTGACTTGACCGAGCAGATTGGTGAGACTGGTAAGAATATCCATGAATTGGAGAAATCTAAGAAACAGATTGAGACTGAGAAGGTTGAAATCAAGACTGCCCTTGAGGAAGCTGAGGTAAGAAATAGAGGAAATACAAAATGAATAATACATTTGTGAAGCATGTATAGGACGCCACAATCTTTTTACTTTTTAGGGAACTCTTGAACATGAAGAGTCTAAGATCCTTCGTGTCCAGTTGGAGCTTAACCAAGTGAAAGGTGAGATTGACAGGAAGCTAGCAGAAAAAGATGAGGAAATGGAACAGGTAAAGAGGAACAGCCAGAGGATCATTGAGTCCATGCAAGGGAATCTGGACTCTGAGGTCAGAAGCAGAAATGATGCCCTCAGAATCAAAAAGAAGATGGAGGGAGACTTGAATGAGATGGAGATTCAGCTGAGCCATGCCAATCGTCAGGCATCTGAGTCTCAGAAACAGCTGAGAAATGTTCAGTCGCAGCTCAAGGTATTAATAGACACTTGTTTTGGTGTGGCTTTTCTTGAATGTACAACTTTCACTAACATACAAACATATCCATTTAGGATGCCCAACTGCACCTTGATGATGCGGTCAGAGCTCAGGAAGACCTCAAAGAACAGGCTGCCATGGTGGAGCGCAGAAATGGCCTGATGGTGGCTGAAATTGAAGAACTCAGGGCAGCTCTGGAACAGACAGAAAGAGGTCGTAAAATTCCTGAACAGGAGCTGGTTGATGCCAGCGAACGTGTTGGACTTCTGCACTCTCAGGTAAAATTATACTCAATTACACAATACTAAATATTGTGACAGTATTGCAACATTTCTCATAATTCCTCTATTTTGTATTTTTGGTCACTTTACAGAACACCAGTCTGCTGAACACCAAGAAAAAGCTTGAAGGTGATCTTGTTCAGATCCAAAGTGAGGTCGATGACACTGTTCAGGAAGCAAGAAATGCTGAGGAGAAGGCCAAGAAGGCCATCACCGATGTAGGTGTTTCTTTAATCCAGGTTATTTTTTATCTTGATCAAATACATACTCCAATAATTAAAAACTGACTATGTTTACCAGGCTGCCATGATGGCTGAGGAGCTGAAGAAGGAGCAGGATACCAGTGCTCATCTCGAGAGAATGAAGAACAATCTTGAAGTTGCTGTCAAGGACCTCCAGCATCGTCTGGATGAGGCCGAGAATCTGGCCATGAAGGGCGGCAAGAAGCAGCTCCAGAAACTGGAGTCTCGGGTAATAGTCTAACCTTGTGAAAACCAAAGCTGAAACTCATTACAAATGTCTAAACTTGATTTATACTTTTAAAAAGGTGCGTGAGCTTGAGACTGAAGTTGAAAATGAACAGAGACGCGGAGCAGATGCTGTTAAAGGTGTCCGCAAATATGAGAGGAGAGTCAAGGAGCTCACCTATCAGGTACAGTATGTGGGCAAAATCAAGTATTGATTTACTTGACGTGTCAAATCATAACTATTGCCTACTTATAAGACTGAGGAGGACAAGAAAAACTGTACCAGGCTTCAGGATCTGGTTGATAAGCTGCAGCTCAAGGTGAAGGCCTACAAGAGGCAGGCTGAGGAAGCGGTAAGTGTATATTTACATTTATCACATCTTCAATTATGCAACATGTTTTATTTATTATACAAAAAACTGTTACAGGAGGAGCAGGCCAATATGCATCTGTCCAAGTACAGAAAGGTTCAGCATGAGCTGGAGGAGGCTGAAGAGCGCGCTGATATCGCAGAGTCCCAGGTTAACAAGCTGAGAGCCAAGAGCCGTGACTCTGGCAAGGTAGAGCATCCCACTGATTTGTCAAAAATATATTCGTAATATAGTCTTGTACTGTCATTTGGATGTAACATTTTTATTTATTATTTTCACAGGGCAAAGACGCAGCAGAGTAATTGTGTGTAATAAATGATGTATTTTTGATTCATAAAATTTGAAGCAATAAATGTTTGTTCATGAGTTTTTTTTCATTAAAGCATTGTCCCTTCTAAAAAAAACACTATTACTGTATTAAACTATTATTCAACTATCTGCAGCCTAGTTAAAACACACAGACAGAGCATAAAATAACTAGACAGAACAGAGTATAGGCTAAAAGGGTTTAGTCTATCCTCGACTCTCCATCTCAGTATGTAGTAGACAAGGCTACAGTAGTACTCCATGCCATAAAGCCACAGGGTGAGGCGAACACATCATAAGAGTCCAGTGTTTGTCCTCACATTTTTTCTCCTTTCCCAAAACAACTTGCCCAATAAGCCGCTTTGGTGAATTTCTTTTCCTTACTTCCCTCTCAAAGACCATTACTGAAATTTTACATTTTACCAAAGGAACATTTGGCATCGTGAAGGAAAAGGTTTCATTGAAGACTGTCACCGTACTGTAAGACACCACGGACGATTTTTGTGTCTCTTGTCGGTATTGGTTGCACTTGACAATGATTTTGGCACAAACAGCTTTGGGAGAGATGGGAACACAACACATCAAATTACAAAATAAAAAAATTCATATACAGAACGTACATTAACAAATACTTACCCGCATTCATGAAAGTATTAACAGTAACCACCTTAACCTTTAAAAGTCCAATTTCAAGCCTTTTTGAAGATGGCAAGTATTGTAAAGACAAAAGTAGTTCTCCGACAAGATCCTGCTGCCACAAAAAATTAGAAAAAGGTGAGCAATAAGCCAATATCTGAAGTATTGTTTAGCTATCTGACCTTTTTTGGAGTTTGTAGTTCTTTGAGCAGTTCAATAGGTTTTGTTATGTTGAGGCTCTTCAGAGATACTCGTACCTCCCCTAGAGCTGTGTTTCTAGACAATTTGCCTCTGACCTGCGCAGAGGAGAAAATATGATAATGAAATCAAAGAACACAGATATGTATGTCTATTCTGTTTGCTTAGGGAAGAACCTCCATCTTGAGTATGATATCATGAAGGTTTATATGTTCTGGTAGTACACTGCTGAACCGGTTTCCAAAAAGAGGACAAGAACCATCTGTGACTATGTGGGACCGCCATTCCTGGACTACAGTCCACAAGACACATGCTTTATGTTGATCCTACAAACACAAATGATTGGTCATAAAACCCTGATTAATTTGGAGATGAAAACAAAACAGGAGGTACCTTGATGTCTTGGTAAACTTCATTTCCATCACTATGCGATTTGTCCCATAGTAGTAGAATCTTGATAAAAAATTGGAAGCTACTGTTTGCCCAGTGTTGCTGAATGTTCTGAAGTTGCAAAACGGTTACCACTAGACGTGACTGCAGCTGGTCATAATGCAGAGAGAAGTGGAGACGACCTCCAACCTTAGATAAATAATAATAAATACAATCTTTATCTTTATTTGTACATTCCTCTTCTTCAAAGGTATATGCTTTGAAAACCACCTTGACAGGCTCCTCCATGTCTCCATTAAGTTGACCATACTCTGAGGATGTAAGTGAAGATGAAGACAGGCCGCAGATAGGGTCAGTGTTGGGGTCCTCAACCTGTAAAACAAATACACCTTTAACAGAAATTGTGATGTATTTTTCTTCGATATTTGAAAGGTCTGCTGGCCACAAATATAAGCAATAAAAATCTCTTTCAATCTTTCTCTTAGATTAAAGTCATTGTGCGTTTGAAGATAAGATTAAGTGGATCTAAATTAGGGGGTGTCAGAAAAGTCCCAGATTCATGAATACATTACACAGATTACACACATCTCAAGTGTCCCATTGAAGCTCCATAAAGGTAATTTGCCATTATTGCATTGTATTGAGTTTTGTGCAAAAATCCTCATTGGCATATACTCTGAAAATAGTCATACATCATTTATGTAAAATATAGTAGTCATATACAATCTGCACAATTCTTTATGAGCTATAAGTAAAGAAAACAAATTCCATCTACTAATAAACATGATGTTACTGACCCACATCTTGGCTTATGTTTGTATATCTGAACAGCAAATGTACAATAACATTTACCTAACCCAGTTAAGGTCAACTTGACGTTACTTATGTTGCCTGCTTTCTTTTAGCAGTTTTTATTTTAAAATGTATTGTAATTTAACTCATGTTTTTTTTTTCTTTTTTTTTTCATCCTATAGTCTTTGATTTACCAATGGGTGCTATCTTGTTTTCAAATGAATACTTAATTTGCAAAAAACAGAGTTAGAATTTCTGGTATAGCTTAGTGAAAAGTCAGACCTATTTTAGTGCCATATAAATACAGTGTCACCACTTCTTTAGGAAATCTTTTCATATTTACTGCCAATAACAGATTGTAGCTCAAGGAATACACCTTTTTGACAAATGTTCTAAATGGAATAAAACACTTTGTTTATCAGTGATATTTAAAATCGAGTCTTTACCCCACGGTATCTTGGGTGCTTTATTTCAGACGGCAAATCCTCACATATTTTCTGGCCTGAAATTTGTATTGACAGAATTAGTATATTTTCATTTTGTTTAAGTTATTCAGCGGTGATAATACTCACAATTCTCCTGTGTATGAATGAAGTATTTGTAGACCTGCCACATCAAGAAGCCAAGGGCAAAGAGGACAAAGGCAATCGCGATGGCCAAAAGGACAAACTTTGCTGGGTCTGAAAAGGCCATCTCAACAACTTATATCATCATCCACACGGAGGAGAGGTCGTCTTCAAGCAGCTCCATACCCATAAGCATCCCTGATATACAAACGTGTCACAAATTAGTTTCAAATCTATTTCAACATATCACAATATATACAACATTTATACATCCAATTACCTGTAAGGAAATAAGTCTCGCACTCCTCAGACATCCAAGTTGTGTTTGTGTGCTGGTGTGGTGCTGTGGTTTTGTGACTACGCCTTTGTATGCATAAGATCACTGACACTAACCACATGACACTCAGCTTTCACAAGTGACCTAGGAATATATTTGAAAAAGATCTCAGAAAGTTTATGTTTCTGACTCTGTACACCAACATAATTGATTTCAAATGGAACAAGCAAGATGAACTTTAACTTCAGAAATGTGAGGGTATTTATTGTTATTATCTATGAAAATAATAATACTAGATGGGGTAGTTTATGTATTTATTTATTTTATTTTACAGTTCTTGCAGAAGAAAACAAAACAAGAAAGGAAACATCAAAAAATAAAACATTGTGAAGTTTTACACAAAGCAAAAACAGAATTGTTTTGAACCTGCATTTGAATGTCAGTGTATAGAGGCCTGTCTCACTGCAGTGTAATTCAAACACCCAAAAAGTTGTGCAAGGCCTTTCACATTTTTGTTAAATAAAACATTTCTTGTAAATTACAGTGAAACACTGCTTTCTTGGACCAGTTCCTAATCCTCTCCTTCTTTACATCTTCAAACCACACAGCGGGTTGATACACACTAAATAAAAGTGTGATCATCTTTAGGCCAGCAGTATCATGATACAAAGAAGAGACATTATTATAAGTATAAGTATAATCTGATCATTGGATCGAGAGCCCACATAGTAAAAGTGAGTGTTAATTGAGCACGTGGCGCCCTCTAGCGACGTCAATGACGCACAGTGCATCTGAAGAGCGAGCTGGAGGAAATAGCAAATGTTTTCGCTTCAGTGGTAAGCGCACATAGCCCGGATTTACTGTACCTCAATTATTTTGGAATTTCCTAATTACAAAGACATTTGAAAATATGTGAATATGTTTATTTCAACCCATGCATGGGAAGATCATACAATTTTTGTGTAATGTTTGATTACATTTAAGCAGTATTTTATAAATAAATTAACATTTTCAAGCAGAAAGAATCTAGACAAATAGTTGCAGTAGGGAAGATAATCTGTAGATTTCTAGTCTAGTGATTTGATTTAATCTACTGTTTGATATAATATACTGTATACCCTCCCCTTGGCATTTATTCCATTATGGATTGTAATATTACTGTATTTTTGCACTAGTGTCATACAAAATGTTGATGCTGATTGTAATGTATGTGCAATTGTAAGATTGAGTGTAAAATCAATAAATATTATTTTACGCTTCCATGAGGGAATATTTACAGTCTATGGAAGGAACGAGAGGGGAATGAAAAGCAGGAGCAATGAGAAGTGTGTTATCTGCGGTTCAACGTAATCATCAGTTATCAGCTCCAAATCCTACCTCCCTACTGCTTTTGATTTTCTGTCAGGAGTCAGGAGAAAGCTTTGATGTATTATATTGGGAGAAATAAGTTATTTCTACAGAAACAGCGGCTACTCAGAAAAAAATAAAAAACTTCTGTGCAGCGCCATCCACTGGGCAGATGTACGTATACAGTATATATCAGCACCTTCCTCTTTAGGCTGTGGCGTACGTTTAAGTATATGGGAAATACATTCAGACTTCACCGACACTGTTTTAAAGCATGACAAATGCTCCCTCTAACCTCAGTGCGAGGATGCTGCTGATTAAAGAGTAAAGTATGTAAAGTTTAAACATGAACCACCTCCAACACATGCATCAGCACAAACAGAGATGAATACAGTAAATGTACTGATACACTGCAGACTCACATCAGCTGTCACAGCCTCAGCCGCACAACATTCCTAGATTCTGTTATGACATTGTGTGCTTTATAAGAAAATGTATGCAAATGTAAATCTGTTAAATGAATAATATTATTTTATACTACACTGCAACTACATTATAATTAACATAAAACACACAGTTATTTTCTTGAAATTGTCGGACATACACACTTAATGCTGGGATCTAACCAATCTATTCAACAGACTGGAACATGGAGCTTGTGGGTTTACATTGTACATTGTACATTGTACATTGTACATAAGGGCGACAGTGGCTCAGTTGGTAGAGCATCAGCCTTTGAGCCCGGAGGTCATGGGTTCGAGCCCATCTTAAGACCTACTCCCACTGATGACTGCTGTTGTTGTGTCCTTGATCAAGACACTTAAGCCCCCGCTGAAAGATCTCAGCTCCTGTGGGCTCACTGTGTTCACTCAACCCAGTGAGGGGCTGGTGCTAAGTGTACTGGGTGCAGCTCTGACTGCCACCCCCCTGACCCACAAATTTATTAAGGGGAAGATAATGGATGGATGATTGTAAACATGTGTCAACCTGTGATTGAACATGTTTATATACTATGATAATGTCTTATGTTCTGTCTGTGTATGTGGGACATTTCTCTGTCAGGAGATGAACAAATAAGGCTCTTGGTTTGTATGTATTTGTGCCTTCTCTCCTAGGACAGGTTATGAGTTGGGTAGCAAAAATATTTGACAATCATTGTATGGTAACTTTGATTACTTATGGTAAGTTCTAACTAACGTAACACACTGCAGGGCAAGTCATCTAAGAACATCGGCCACACTCTGACACACAACCTGCTCACCGTCTGCTCACACTCCCGCTCGCCGGCAGATCAGGGTCCACCACATTCAAACCAGTTGATGGCAACTTATTATCGGATCTTATTAATCACAAATCTCCGTTGTGTATTTTTGTGTATCCCTTCCAATGCAACCGACACAGATGATGATGTGAGTATTTCTGCAAAACAAAGTCCAGCGACTTATTAGGTTACACTAAATAATTATGTATAGGACATTTGAATTTCATTCAGATTACAGGAAAGTTTGCTTTCTCTGCAGTGCATTTCCAAATAGGAGGTTTAGACAAAGGTGCAGAAAGAGGAGGCTGAGCACAGCTGATGGAGCTTATGCGGCCCCAGCACACAGATGGTTCCTCTGGCAAACAACACAGCCCAGATTTACTTAAAGCTTTGGCGCTGAAGAGAAGCAGATATCCCCATCCAGCTCCAGGTCAGTGCATTTCTGGTTTCTGAGGCTTTCTAGGAGACACGGCCTTTGTTGGCACACAGTACGCTGAGTGAATTATTGTCTGGAAATAGTACAGTACAGACGGGTAAACCTCAGCATAGGTACTATCCATTGTCCTAAAAAATAAATACATGAATGTGCAGCTTGCATACATTTACAAGAAGAGGGAGAAGTCATATTCATATTCATACTGTCTGTACATCAAAGATGTTATATTGGGGGGTTGAAGGCAAGGATGTGGCATGTCGTTTGGGAACCCGTCCCCCAGTTCAAAACACTCTTTTGTGTTTCCGCTGTCAGGAAAATTCAAACACAATAAAATAGCAGCTGTGGCTACAATATAGCCATAGCTGCTTAATCTGTAACTTGAAATGGAAATATTGATCATCGAATGAACTTCTTCCTTTCTCATGGGCCCTGAAGGATCCCCTTACACATGTCCTTCCTGTGCTTTTTTTATATTTACTTTGGGATATGGAATAAACATTAGTGGGCCTTTGGGAACGAGAAATTACACATATCACTTGGACGCACAATATCATGTGATGAGGATATGATGCTAATTACAGAAATGGAATACAATAGTGAATTTCAGCATAAATGCTTAATGAGATGCAAGCTCTCTTTGAGGGCTTTGATTATTTGATATATTGTCAACACCTCCCATATACTGTATTTAATTGTGTTTAATAAAGCATCAGACTTAGACACACATTCTAGGGTTGGTTAACTTTTAAGTCACATACAGGTTCAATGTTGTACACTATACATTGTGGATTGATTGAGTGATTTTTCCATATATTTGCTAATGTTTCTTGAATGTTTTTGACCAAATCCTACCATCACTTTTTGTGGTTTGTTGCCTCAAAAAGTTATAGTGATGGACCCCTAATGTATAAGCTTGTCCTTCTGGGAGTTCCATATTCACAATGTAGCACATGAACTTTTAGGGACCGTGTGAAATTGTGAATAAACAAACAAACTAATAGTCAAGCATTATTCCCACAAGCTTTTGTACAGAAAAACTACTAAGAAGAGAGTTATTTATCCACAATTCAAACTACATTTCATTTCAAACAAAGCTGTGCCGTAAGAAAGCATTCTCTACACCAATGCATTTGCGCCTTTCAGTAATTCATTCAAAGATTTTGAAGGCCTCAGTATGACTGCTGAGTCTGCTGAGTCATCTCTCTAGTCCACTAAACAGTAATTAAAGATCCAACATTGCCAAGGGTCACTGTGTCTGCCGTCTTGTACTTGCCAGAGGGTATAAGGACCCTGGTTCGGATAAAGATACAGTGGATAGAATATGCATGTGGCAGCTTATTTTTAACCCACCAAGGGAAATTCTGATGGTCTCTGATGTGTGTGGATTGGATGTGATGGTAGGAAGACCCCATTAAGATTTATGTAGAAAGCTAATGCAAAGCTCTTAAAACATAACGCACAGCACTATAGAAGTTGTCCTTTTCTAGAAATAATTTAAGCTCTTTAGGCAGCAATGTGAGTGTACAAAAATGTCACAAAACTTCTTCATTGCTCCGTTCAGGGATCACCTTGTTTTCCTTTATCCCAAAGCACCTACATGTCATTTCGAAAACCGTGTTGCATTTTATTAATTGATGCAAGTTTTCACCAGCTCCACAGTGAGAGTGCGTGCGTTTGTGTGTGTGTGTGTGTGTATGTGTGTGTGTGCGTGTGCATGTGCGTGTGTGTGCTTTCTGTATTATTCAGATCCCTTTAAAAGCATGTCAACTCAATTACAAGGTTTCTACCAGATGTATCATGTCCTGTCCAACTGTCTCAGCAGAAACAGCCTGGTATGTCCCGCAACCAAATTCATTACAATGTTTTGAGAGTTCCTTTGTATCCCTAAACTGGAGCGTGCCTTATTTTAGTACTTAAATCCATCTAATTTGTCTGCCTTCATTCGTAGTCACATGCATAGAATCTGTTTTTTCAGACGCCAGAATGAATCAGGGTAGATTAACCCTGCATTAGCTCTTTGCACACAAAAAATAGTTAAAATATATGTACAAATTTAGTAACTCTTATGATTCTTTCTAAAAAGCCTGCAATCGTCCAAATGTGCTGAGTATAAATAATATAATGTTAAGGGGAAAATAAAATTAATATAAATATACAAAATATGTTTTAACTTTAAAGAAAAAAAGTGATGATGTTTTACAATAATAAATTAATAATTGGCCAAAGTTTCTTGGTCAACAATTATTATTTCTTCAGGAATGCTCTGATCTAGCGTTTTTGTTAATTTCAAACATACTGTGTTGTGTGATGTTAAGATGAGACCTGAAATGCAAAACTGTGAAGACGAAGACTATGTGACTATGTTTGCAGTCGGTCATTTTCAAATTTGGCAACAACAAAACAAACTTTACTCCTCCTTCTGTTGGTAGCATAAGGAGTTACAAGTGGATGTTTTACCCTTCATACTTGTTTCACCATTTATTATCCTCTTAAGAGGATTAAATAGTAAAAACAGTCCCCTTAGTCATTCATAATTTGCAACAATTTCATGTTATTTCTTTTAAATATGTTTTAGCACAAAAAGATTGAACTATATATTTAAGAGTAGCAAAGCTTCAGTCTGACATTGGTGCATTTAATTTGTGTTTTATTTCTCTGAACTATGTGTTACATATAGCAGTAGTAGTTAAACCACGTAGATTTTTAGTATTGAACATCTCCCTACTGTAAGTGGCCTGAGTATGTCATCATCTTATGGGAAACATGATTACATTCAAATGCATTTCATTTAGAAGTAGCCTGTGTGGTCTGCAGCCGTGTCCAGATTCTGAATAAGAGAGCAGCGGCTCATTTCACACACGGCTCACAGTGCTGCCTCAGCAATATCACTCCACTTGTTTCTTCTGTCATTTCCATTATGCAACTGAGAAAAAGACATGAAGCTGCAAATGAAGCTGTCAAAGCCCGACTAAGGCAAAGCAGCCACTATCACTCTAATCTGCCACAGAGCAGTGCACTGTGTGCTTTTGTTGTCTGAGCTTTTTTAACTTTAAGCTTTTACAACCCCCCTTTTATTCATCTTCCATATTTTAGTACACTCAGAAAGTATTCAACCCCCTTCACTTTTTATAAATGTTGTAATTTTACTGTTATCACAAGACAATTTCAAATCTATATACAATACAACATTAAGTACAATATGCAATATAAAATAATGAGTCCTCAGGATTTTTTTTTTATCATAACAGTTTATTTTTATTTCAACTGACAATATCAGCCAAAAAACAAACATGTAAATGTTACAGGTGTAAAACTCAGCTTAATAAATAAAGACAAAATGAAACACAGTTTTAGCCGTTTCTCTTCACTATGATATATGGTATGTAATGCAAGAGCAAGAGGGACTGAATGAAGCAAAGGTGGGGGTTAGGGCTCAAATGGTCTGTGGAATGAGGGGCTTCAGGCTGACGGCCCAGGGATTATCTGGAGGTCTGGGGACTCATTTGGGAGATTTTAACTGCTCATGGCTCGATAATTGAGAGTGAAGAGGGGATGAGCTGTAGTGTGCTCATGGTGCACTTTTCATTCCTTCATATAATGTTAGGGACACTGGGTCAAAAGAGCAGAGTGTGCTTGGCACATGCACCTGGCTTTTGTTACCAGGCTGCTGGAGGTGGTTGTGGTTTTAGGATTGCAGGGCAGGGCAGGCAGAGAAACAAATGAGGATTTGCAGGAAGAGACAGAAGAATCAAGCCATGGGCTCACTGCACAGGACAATCTCCAGCTCAGTGCGGTACAGCTTCCCTCCATCGGACAGGGCCATGATGCTCTGCTTGTAGCCTGTCAGGTTCTTGGCATCCACCTCCTGTTCACACAAGAGCGAGGTAGTTATTATAGATCAGGGGTGTCCAAACTTTTTAGTAAGAGGGTCACTTTAGTTCATCGGACTTGACCTGGGGCCGACAAGCTGGTTTATGGAATTTAAAATGGGTTTTGATACGTCCTTATGGATTCACACCACAGAAGCATTTTATTTGGAATCTTGTGACACAATCATAAAATAAATGACAGTCCATAACAATAAAGTCAATGGGTGGATTCCAGAGGGTCTGAGATTTACAACAAGGTATAGCATGGAGCTGAAGTTGGTTGGATGACACTGTTAAAGTGCCGCAATGGCAAATTTGTGTTAGCAGCAGAGGGCCACATAAAATGGCATAGAGGGCCGTGATTGGCCTGAGTTTGGACATGCCTGCTATAGATAGTGAACATGCGTACACCATTCAACCATGAGTTAGAATGAAAGAACGGCCACACATAATGTCATAATGTGTGAGTGTTTGTACGTTCATAAGTGTGTGTGGGTTTGTTTGTTAATATCAATACTGCCACTGTGCAAACTGCATTTGCACAGCACTTCACCTCCACTCACCTTGTTGTTGGTCTGGTATAGGTCTCGTAGCAGAGCCTCTAACTCCTGCTCATCAATGTAACCATTGCCGTCCTGTAACAGAGAACCAGAGGGATGCATTATGTTCTCTTTCAGTAGAGATTGCATGTATTTTGTGGCTATTCACCAGATGAGATCATCACAAATTTAAGATTCCAAGTGGAGCTACTTTACTAATGAATAGATTTAAGGTCTTTGCTAGTGGAATTTATGGAGCTATTAAAGAGCTCCTCTGCATCTGGCACTAAGCTTGCTCATCAGTTTCTTGATTTTGAGATGCCAGTTTTTTTATTTTTTATTATCAAGGCCACACAGAATAATGACATATCAAGAATTGTATGAGGATCTGATTCAAATATTAAGTTTTAATTTCAAGACAAAAACTCACCCCTCTCCCACTGTTAACAACAACAATACTAATACTAATAATAATATTAATAATAAAAATGATTATAATGATGCTGATAATATTAATAATAATAAATGGAAATAATAAATTCCATGGGCGGCACGGTGGCTGAGTGGATAGCACTCTCGCCTCTCAGCAAGAAGGTCCTGGGTTCGAATCCCGGCCGGACCAGGGCCTTTCTGAGTGGAGTTTGCATGTTCTCCCCGTGTCTGCGTAGGTTTCCTCCGGGTACTCCGGTTTCCCCTACCACTAAAAATATGTCCAATAGTTCTGGCATGCGCTTCCTGTACTGGCGACCCTGCTCCCATCTCTGTGTGGAGTGAGAGACAAATGCCCAAAATTAACAATTGTAAACCGCTTTGAGACTCAGATCTGCAGTGAAAAGGCGGCATATAAATAATAACTTACTAACTTACTAACTTACTAATAACAAAATGTACAGGAGGCTGGAACAACCACTCCCAACTTGGACATATAGTTTCAGCTCGTAGTTTAAACACTTTATAAAGTTTATGAGTTAGGAAGAGCGCCCCAGTGTGCGCAAGATCTGGACTGATGTCTTTGTAAGAAAAAGGAAAATTGTGCCCGATATGTATATAACCTCTTAACAACCGCCTCATTTTGGCTCGTGCACAATGGTTGGGCATACCCAAATGTCTTTGCTTATTTAAAAACACATCTTACATCTCACATGCTTGTGTGATGCATCATTTTAAAGCTAGAGCCTTTTAGTTTATGTAAAAAAACACTAAAATAATGTTTGTCATTCCTATTTTCCTCTGCATCCTTTGAAGTTAGGGAAAAAAACCCAATTTTTTTAGCCTCGCCTAACATTTTCAATTTCTAAAGGCCCTAAAAAAGGCATACTTCATTGTAAGTTCACAATATTCAAACCCTCTGTTCATTGTGTTGTTGACAACAACTGTCTAAAGTTTCAGACTTGTAAGTTTTATAGTTTTTATGCAGTTTCTCCTTTTCATCAAGTAGTGCACATTTGGCACAATTTGGCACAAGTGTGCCAAATTGTGCCAAATATCTTTACTTACATTTAATCATCATAAAAACAATATTTTTCATTATTGGTACTTATAAGTTACTAATCTATGTGTGCTTTTCTTTTTTAAATGTCAAAGTTATTTTTTTATGAGTGTAAATTCATTGCAGCTTCGAGAGCGTCTTTTGGCTTCCATTACGCACAATTGTCCAGGCACAACATAAGACAGGACACCATTGTCCCACCCCTTGTTCGAAAGCTTTCCTCATTGGCTACAAGGACATGTCAATCGTAAATCCCGGAAGTAAAAGCAAACAAGTTGGGAGCACAACAAAGATCAGTCCTCCATGCGCAAACAGCAGCACGAGCGGTATTTGCGGGAGCTATTGCAGACCCAAAAATTGGTCTAGCTTTTCGGGAGTAATCTCATTTGAAAGATAAGGAGCTAAGGAACACGTAGATACCAGATGTTTGGGTGAAAAACAAAGCTAAAAGTCCGTTAAAAGTGAAAGAGTAACATCTGTGCTCTTTTTTTTTCGTTTTTTTCGCTAAAGATAAATGCACATTTTTGGATTATTTCTGCAGAATGGATTTTACTTTGGGAAATACAAGTGGATATAATTTTCCTTTGGACTGTTCCAGAGAGAATGATGTATTGCAAGCTGGGAGGAGAGCTGATTTATTTGTACAGCACAAGCCCAAAGGTAAAAAACTATTTCGGAATTGATTTATTTTGTGCCCACATTATGTGTTATATCTTTTGAATGCAAAGTCTGATGTAGTTTACACTTGTATATAAATGTAGATAAGAAAATAAGCTTTAAAATGATATACAGCTTTTGGGGTTTGGTGTTCAAAATACATCTGCTATTGCCAGCAGAACATTTAAAAACATAAAAACGGCCGCCGGCGCGCCGGTTGTTGCAAAGTGGATAAACTGGTTTTCACAGTATACATTTTGAACCTTTATAGTACTAGACATTTATGCATTAAAGTGAATGACAGCAATTCATTCTTGATGTAATTACACTCAGAGAATATTATTGTTTGGATTATGTAGCGATAGATTTGAGGGTAATCCTCTAAATCCTGAACATTGTACTGTTATTTTTATATGTAGAACATGGAAGACTTACCTTGTCATAATAGGTGAAAATGGCATTGAATTGCTCAGTAGTCAACTTTACACCCTGAAAAATTGAATTAGAATTTAATATTTTGTTTAATTAAAACTTGCATTTTCATTCTGCAGACATAGTTTTACCTGGAATTTCAGCAGGAAATTCTCCTGAACCGGGAGCAGTCTGAGTGAGAGAAACAGAGGCAGTTCGTTCAGTATGGTTTGGTTTTGTTTAGAAAGAGATAAGAGTGTGTTACCTCGCCATCTCTGACAGTCCCAGCTTCCCATCTCCGTTCAGATCAAACATCCTCAGCTATAGAAAGACAGCCATACAATGTAAAACAACTCGGACTAAGTTTTATTTTAAAAAGTGCTTTGTTATGAAATTGGAATATTATTTCACTATTAATATATGTAACATGGTAGCTCAAAAAACTTTGTGTTAGGATATAGAAAGATTATAGAAGAAAGATTAACAATTATTGTCATCTATAACAAATTAATAGTAAAACGTTTCAATGTAGTTCCAATAGACATAATATCTGTGACACCACAGTGTTGTTCAAATGAATACCACTAATCACAAAGTACTAATCACTTCCTCTCTCTCAGTTCTCTTTGTCTGAAGCTCCTAAGTCAAACTATATGGGTTTTTTTTTCTAAAAAGTAGGTTGCGCATCTGTATTACTAGAACAAAAAACGCTTGCAGTGGAAAGCAAGTGAATCTTGAGGAGCTTTGGCTGAGGCTGCAGGAGTTAGCCGCAGCTGTGACCACATCTGGGCAGTGAACAGTGAAGAACATGGGGTCACTGCGCTGGCTGGGACATCAACACTGTGAAAAGCCTGTATACTACACTCCTGCGTGTACATGTTTGACTGCAGACAGATGCTTACAATAGTCTGTGTGTACTCCTGAAGCTTCTGGTCATCGTAGTGTCTGTTGGCCTTCTGTAGCAGGTCTGACAGGAAGCCCTAAGGAGACATCGCACTGTGAGGGACAAACCAGGACACGGCCTCTGTAGGCTTTGTTCTTACTTATCGCCAAAGGCCCATTTTGTCATTTTCACAATCCATTCTGCTGGACTAAATCTCCTAATTTTCTGACGGATTCCAGTTGAAGCATAACATTACGTAACATTTATAGAAAAGGGTATTTAGCTTTGCCGACTGAAAACAAATGAACATACCAAATTGACAAACTGTTTCTAAATCAGTCCATGAACTCAGTTTATTCTATAGCCCATAACAGTCATCTTGGAGAAATTAGCTAAGTTGTCAATTTTCCAACAACAGATTTGATAAGCAAACTATTAGAGCACAGGAAACACAGTATTAAGAAACACAAAGGTCCAGAGGGAAGCAACATTTTACTTAAATAACTAACACATTTGAGACATTCCCAACAAGATAAAATCACTAAGAAGTTTGGCTGTTGCCAGACTGTTTCATAAATACAGTTAAATATGTCCTACAGTTATACAGTGTACACAAATAAGAGCAGAGGAGGATCTAGTTCCTACGGTTACGTTATGTGTCCAATATCATATCAGCGTTAGAAATGTGAGTAGTGTTTATTTCATGTTTGCCTGAAGTCCCATAGTGTATTTATGTGTCCTCAGGCGTCGGTCTATAGAGCTCTGCCAAAGCCACACCTGAGTTTTGCTTCTCTGTAGCACTTGAAGCGGAACCGATGTGGTCCCATAACAACCGGAACAACCTAATCAGGACATGAGGCGGAATGACGGCTCCTTTTGACCACATCATCTCAAAATGAAGCTCGGGACACTTTTGGGATCGGTTCAAAGACCACACCCATTCCAAATTGATCTCTGTGATCAATCAGAGCATGGTATTTAACGTCATTTTTATTGAGAATGATTTTTGTTTTTAGAGACACTACATCTTGTTTTCAATGCTGTTGAAATAATAAAACTGAACAGTAAATACCAATTTATTATTAGTTTAAAATAGTTTCAAATTGTGGCAGAACGAAGCTGAGAAGTTTCCATAGTAACATTCGTAACCAAAAGCCAAGCATCTAGTCTAAGTATATAGTTAATTTATCTGTAATTCCTGGGCCAATCCACATGAAATAAAAAAGTACATAATTTTTTTTCTCAGCATATGTCGACTATGATCTAATAATCTTCTCATAACGGTGTCTGTAAGTGGTACACAATATTCAAAAAATATGCAGATATTGACCAGTAGAAAGGACATTCAGGCATAAGAATAATATGACGGCTTTTTTAATCTATAAACTATCAAACAATGATCTGGGAAAATGTTCTTTTTCAACATTTCTCTTTTATATATTATATTGGCCCCCGCCCTCCAACTGAAACAGAATTCTCAAACATGAACACAACCTATTATGTTAAACATTTAGCACTCGAACATGACACGTTCTTTCTTCTTTTTATTGATACAGGACTTAAGTGAAAGATGCAATATAGAGAGATCAGGATCATGGTGATGAGCAAAACATAACAATGCGGAATATTTCACAACACAATATTACAGAATCAAACAGAGGTGATTCAAAATGAGATTCAAATGAGTTCATTCACGGGTTGTCATGCTGTTATTATTTAATGTGATGGGGAAAAAGAACACATGAAATGGTTTTAAGTTAGAGGCAAACATGCAGAACATACAATTTTATGATTTCATATATTATGTTAATGAATGTGCCTTGAAATAAAATGGAAATACAGTTGCTAAAAAATAATCTTACCTTCAACTCATTTGCCTCAATATAGCCACTGCGGTCCGTATCATACCGTCTCCATGCCTATAATAGCAAGAAAAAGGAAAGACAATTTGAAACCAGTGAATTCTCCCCACTTCTTTTGAAACAGTATATAAATGGATTTTATTTTTCTGAGACAATTGTCCACGATGACCTATACAGAGGTCCAGAACTGCAATCATCCTGGTCTGCACACACCGGAGAAAGTCATTTTAATGAATGTTTTAATCTCGTGGCTGTCTCTGTCCAAAGCCGGGCTCCTTATCAAAGATGGATGCCCCCACTACCCAACCCCCACCAATCCTTCTGTAGAAAGTAGCTAGGTTGTTATTCATTATATATGACTCTGGAAATAGAAGCTCCCTCATTCTAACCCTTTCAAAAACCTTTCCTCCTCAACAAGCTGCCAGCCAATCCTTGAGAGAGCCACTGATTAATCTGTGTTATCAAATGCCCTGTGTCTTTTAACAGCCCATCACTATTTAATCTAACCACTAGCGTGTTTCTGCTTACTCGGAATTGCCCTTTCTTTTACCCAGCTCTCCCTTTTCCCACTATCTCCCAATCTCCTTCATCCTTACACTACAATGACAGCGACAGCCACAGCACAGGGCTTAATTGGTTTCTAATTGTCACTGCTAGACTGTTGGAGCACATCTAACATGAAATCTGCCATATTTCTTATCTCCACAAAGTATTTAGTAGAATAAATGACTGCCTCCCAGCTTGTAGCTTGTAACAGCCTCTGCTCAGGGCTTTTTCTTACTCCAATTCTGCCATTCATTATTAAAGGGTCTTGAGCTAAAGTTAGTCACAACCTCATTCAACGTTTTCATCTGGATAATGCTGTTTCGAGAGAACAGCTGGTATGATTTTACTGTTTTCACATCACTGTTGTGTTTGTGGGAGTTATTTGCATTCCACATTCATTTATTTTTGTCTTTGTACATTGGAATATTCAATGTACATACAAGATTCAATATTCAATTGTATGTTTTATTTCTATGGTGCTAATAACCGTGAATAAATCTCACTATGGATTATTCGTTTCAGGTGATTTATCACATGTTGCCTTTTGCAGGAACTGTTAAGGTTGACTCAGCTATTACTTGATGCCTGCCATGGTATTTGTTGGCTAAAGCGATTACGGTGGCGATATACAATTACGATGCTGTCAAAATGTTTTATACATACAGCATTTGATCCACTATTGTGCTGCGGTTTTTGCCCGTAGGAAATTGGAGGCGACATTACAGTTTTCATGTTATGTTTTATGGAGTTTAGTGTAGAAAGAGTCAGACAACAATTCACACAAGCTGAATGTTTTACAAGGCTGGCATCCACCTGACAACGATTAAAGCCAGGGTACCTGACTTTTCCCCACATAAGTGATAGAGATATTGAGTATTGTCACATAATATCATATCTCTAGACACCTATCAATAATCTGCAGCGTTAAATGTCTATTGTGTGTCTATTTATAACCCAATATACCAAAGCAAATTTCTAGTTTGTGACTTGCTGTTTCTTACTTATAAGAAAATATTCTTATTCAGATTCTGGTAAACTTTAAATATTGCGAACAAATTAGACCACAGCATGCTGTCTTAATCTTGTTACAAAATATGTTATCTTTTGCAAACTTGTAAGAAAGAACCCAATTAGTCATTATTTTACATTTTGGGCTGAAAGCTGATTCACTGGCTGAGAAAGCGTGGTCCTCTCTTTCTCTCTGAAAAATATGATCTAAGGCTTTGAATTTGAGCCATCCTGATGCCACTATCAGGAGCAGTGGTCACCATAGTAACACCTGGGGAGTAGAACCCAGGACCTTCTTGCTGAGAAGCGAGAGTGCTCAACTCTGCGAGGGAAAGATAAAGGTGGAACCAATACGGTTTGAGAGTGAGGAACTAGTTAAATGGATTGTATTACATAGTTTTTTATGGTTTACGTGCTATTTTTGGTCAAAGCCACTGCCATATTACGTTCACATGCCTCAGTCAAATACTTTTGTCAAGAGGTTTATGGGCTGTCTGTGTCTTACCGCCATGAACTCAGCACTGGAGCTGACAAACTGTCTGAAGCAGAGCAGGAAGTTCTCCTCAGTGGGCAGAATCTGGGCCAGCTGTGGAGACAAGTGACAGCCAAATGGGAGTGGTGAGAACACACAAGATGGCGGCAAAAGAGACATAAGACTGAGAGCTTTGTGTCTTCAGAGGCTTGAGTAACCAGCTTATGCATGAATAATACAAACCTCAGAAATGTTATGGGTCTGCTTGCTTTTTTTGCAGATAAAACACAAAATAAAACAAAAAAAATACGGGATGTTGCACCCAATGTTAACGTACCCTAAAGGTTTCCATTATGTAATAGACAGTTTTGATGGTTCTGACCAAAATGTGGAAATGTGGAATAGTATTTGTAATTTCATATATAAAGGATTTGTTGCTGATTGTACAACATTAAAGATGCACATGGAATTTTTTTTAAAAATATTTTTGCATAATTGAGCCCACGGGCTTTATGAGTGGTCAGCGTGGTGCCTTTACTTTCAATCACAGTGCTCACAGAGGCTTCAGGATCAATGTTTAGAAGGTTTCCACGACTGATGGACCCCTGCACCAGAAAATCTACAAAACAATTGATCCTGGAGCTCTGTGAACACAGCTGTGATAAAGAAGTAAGGCACCATGACACGCACTCTTACAGCCACTGGGCTCAAATACAATACAAAGTGGCGTAAGGCCCCTTTAAGTATGTTGATTATCTCAGCACACATGTTTGTAAGTCACATGTACACTGACCTCTGACATCTCAATGCGTCCATCTTTGTTCTTGTCAAACTTTTGCATGAACTCCTTCATCTTTTCTCTGAAGGTGGGGTTTGTTGGATCCTGAAAAATAAATAAAAAAATAATAAGTTTGAGAGCTCATTTATCATGTTTCCCCACATATAATCACTACTGTGTCACCTGTTGGCTCGACAAACAAAACTTATTTTGTCAAATGATTGCTCATGCGCAAAACAGAGAATCGTGTAAAAAGAAACATCAGACTTCAGCTGCTCTGGTTCTCCCAAAAGGATGGGCCAAATGCAGAGGACAAATCGTCCTACAGAGATAAATAATATGTACCTTAGCGGACACACAAGGGTAGCTACCTGCCAATGTGTCCTTCAGCAAGGCACTTCAACCATATTGTCTCTATAAGTCCAAGTCGGATCCCCCGAGGTAACTGTGTCGTTTTTTACCACCACTGTAGGGTGAATGAATATTGCCATGTGAAGTGTCTTTGAGTGTCCCAAAAAGCCCTTTTTGTTCATCATTATTTCAGACTCAAATTCAATTGGTCCATATTTTAAAAGACACAAAATGAAAAGATAAAAACTGGGCATAATGAAACGCAAGTAGTCCACAGACTTTTAGTAATGGAGTATTTCTGTCCAGTGCTTTTTCAGCACAGAGGTGTTCACTCCACCAGCTCATTTTATAGGTCGGCGAAGTGATAGGAAAGGTGTTTTCAGACACCTCCAGGCGCTGCATGAATCTATGTTAAATGTCTTATTAGTGCTTCACAGAAAGGAAGCTGTGCGTTCACACTGTACACCCAGAGTAGAAGCCTGAATGTGCCTTTGTTGGTCACTTTGAGTCTGTCCATGGTCCCACGTCCACAGCTGATCCACACAGGGGCTGTGTAAACTGGGGTGCAATAGACCGGACTCCACCCATGTCCTCGAGTCTTCCTGTTAAAACTGGTCTCACCTGAGGAAATGAGTGGTGTCTGGTTTGCTCCTGCTCAGGTTGGAATTTAAAACCATTTGAGGACCGGTTTGACATCCCTGCCTTATAGGGACAGGTTTTAATTTATCAGTCATCACGCCAGTTGTTTCTTACTTTGTTATTTGGCAACTTTGGTGAGAATAAAGTAAGTTGCTGTACATATGCCCTGCCCTGTGCTACCACCAGAGGGAACTGTCATGTTGTTTATATATATTTTTTCACATTTGAAAAATACCGGCTGCAAACACAGAAAAGCATCTCCTTTACAGATTGCAGTTTCACAAGTTTGCAAGCCGTTGTTCTGAAGCTGTTGTTCAGTGTGTATTCTCACAACGTGTAACTATAAGAGCAATAGTTTGCTCTTGGCATCATTTAAAATTTGCTGAATTGTCTCATTTGAATATTAGTTTTTCAGCAGAATTCTAAAGTGGTAAATTGCATGCAGCACTCAAATGACTTCTGGGGGTAGGGCGAGCATCCCGCACCTGGATTGATGTACAATAGTCACGTCACTAGCCAACCAGGTTTAAGTTAGTAATCATGATTTTTTTGTGGTAGTTTCACAGTGTTTTATTCAATCAATCTTTTTGAACATGTGCAGGTCTATTAAATGATGAGTTAACATAGATGCATTTTGTGATCCAGGACTCACCACTCCTGCTCCTCTTCGTGCAATCTCCAGCTCCCTGAAGAAGTTCTCCAGTTCCTTTCCTTCAATGTAGCCGTTACCTGGATTACAAAGAGCCATCCTGTCATCCTTTATTGTTGCTAAAATTAGTGTATAAAAGTCACTATCATCTTAATCATTATAAATTAAAAATATTTGTTTGATTGATTTCCTTCCCCCTTAGTTTTGGGGGTATTTAGTTATTGTGTATCTTTTTGAATGGCTGACTTTTAATGTCTGAGACGCACTGAATAAACTCATTGGACACATGCATTCAAAAGTGATCCCTTCTGTGTATGCGGTAAATTATTTGTGCCATACTAAATAAATTCAGATTCTCTGGACAGCATTGGGACATATCCACAGCTTGTTTGCCCTTGCTATAAAGTTCCTGTGGTGCCTTGATGTTCCTTGTGGTGATCCACTGCCCTGACACTGCTTATTCAGGGGACAAATAAAAGAGTGAGCTTTACACAGGTACTTTGTGAAGCTGTGCCAATATCTCATCAGCCAGCACAACTCATCGGCCTGGACAGATGGCTCCAAAGGATGTGACTACTGCTTCAATAAAACCCTGGAAGCCAGAACTGGCTCATTAAACACTAACAAAGATTATCATGCCATCCTACTTCCTCAACCAACACGCGGTCTTCCCTTGTCATCTTTGTCCCACTGCTGTTTCCTCCCTCTGTCTCACTACTGATTTGTTCTATCTATGGAGTATTTGTGCGTGAGTAGAAGTAGTACTGTGTGGGTCTGTGTGGGACAGTGCATCAAGACCCACTCTCTCCTGTGGGGCTTATTGACATTTAGCACTAGGCAGAGAAATGGCCCGCCTGATAATTAAACAGAGTGAGATGTGATTAACTACAAGGCAAATGGCATAAAATGACAATAAAAATAGATTTATGAATATATTATGCTCGGGTGCTGTGATACGTTCAATGGATGCGCCAGTGGATGCAGCGGATTTCATTATGTGCAGTGAGAAGCATCTGTTGGGCTTTGTTCTGAGGCAGATGTGAAAACAAATATATTTACACTTGGTATAAAGACAGAAACCCTTAAGGCATGATACTCTTATTATATTCATTTGTATTGCTGTATTAAACACTGTTACATTAAACAGTTGCATGCTCCAAAGAGCAGCCTCAAGCCGGAAAACAGATATTTTCAGAAGAGAAAAGTTATTATATGCTCTTTTCTCACTCATTGAGGCAACTTCAGATTTGCAGTTAAGACTAGTCTGTAAGCCAAATGCTTTTCTAGAAGCAATCCACTAGGCCTAGTCCAGATTTTTGCTTCTAGTCACATATGAAACTTTGAAAACGCAGACTTCCGTTAGGCAAAGTTCCTTTACTCTAAAAAATTCTGAATATAAATGTTGATCCTGATCACCCTTGAAATGTAATCTGTTGTTCCATTTCTGAGGTTTCATGAAAGTTTTGTCAAAAAATTGCCTTTTTTTGTTGTTGCTAACAAAAGTACCAACAGACTGACAGACAGACAAACAACCCCTCATGAAAACCTAACTCCTTGGCAGATGTGTATAGAAGTATACTGGGGCTATACAAAACAAAATGGAGGCATAGTCTGATGATATCTGGTAGATTTAGGATAGATTCTTCACTCTTGATTCTAATATAGCCGAAGTGAAAGATCTGTACTAGCTTGTATGTACGTAAGTGGCAACAGTAATGTCCCCTTTATGAAAAAAAAAAAATATTTAGTGAACCAAACTAAGTCATGTTGAAAGAATTATGTTTGTTTTAGTTTAAAAAAGTCAAATGGTCAAATAAGAATGAATGTGTATTTTCTCCAACAAAGACCACTTGCTTTTAGTCCCTCAGCAACACAGCACTTAAGCCAGTGAGCAGCTTTGGTCATTTTAGGACTCTCACAAGCCTCCCTGAAGACCTGCCCAACATTAAAAGTCAGTATTGAATCATGAGTTTTGCAAAGTGTTTAACTTGAAAGCTTATTTACATTTGCCTTTCAAAGCAGCGCATTCAAATATTCTGCAGTGAAGGCATACAGGCTTAGACAACTGATTTCCATCCATAGCCAGGTCATCCTGACAACAAATGTGCAATAATTAGCTATACAATAATTGTATATGCTTTTTGTTCGTTGAAAGGTACGAGCTGCTCTAAAATCCACAGAAAGCCAGAGAGATGAGAGGGACACAATGTGCAGAGAGCTGTGAACGATGCAATCCAGATGAGATTTGACTCCAAGCCAACTAGGGAATACAGGATTTCATCAAAGGCAATACCTCAAGAGTCTGTTTTACCACAACTCAACCTGTTTATTAATGGCCAACATATCTGTCGCATGCACAGGACACTGCACAGGACACAACCAAGAAAGAAACTATGAAAACAAGTCACCAGGCAAATCTGATGAGAAGGTTTGGTTTGCAAAGTGACTAAGCACAGTATGTAAAAATGCACATATGTAAAACACGCAACCAAAAAATGTAAAAGATTTGGTGGTGCACATTACTGGTAGTTTTTCCCTTCTCATCATTCTTGCTTGATTTCTCTGTGGAATAGATTGAGCTTCAGAGAAAAACACGCAACAAGAATTCCCAGAGGGCATCGCCTGTAAATAGGTGGAACATGTTCTTTGCATTGGTAACAGGTGTGGTAAATTAGATACAACAGACACTAAAGTGACATAAAAGGTATTGTAATGCAGAAATAAATGAATATAAGTGATATGGTAACATTTGATAAAGGACAAGACTTTTCCTCCGTCTAAATGATCTGGTCTAGTACTTTTTTTTGTAAGATCAAAGCAACTCATAATAAATTGTGCAGTGGTTCAAAAACTAGGGATAACCTTTCTCAGTTTGAAGCTCCCTATGTCTCGGGTAATACAGCGCAAGACAAAATGGTGATTAACATTTTGCGTATGAGAGATTGATGGAGTAAGCACTTTTTCACTGAAACATTGATTGGTGCTTGCGTCTTATGTCCGAGGGCCAACTGGTGCATGAGACAAGAGCAGTGGGCACCAAGCCTTTCTCTGCAGCCAAAGCGCTTATTCTGCCCCATACACACCCAGGTAACATCCACTGCGTTAAAACCATTCATTACCAACTTAGAATAGACAGAATAGACGTATCTGGTTTCCCTTATTTATTTATTTCCTTGAATTTATTTTTGATCAGATTTATGTATGTATTTATTTTTTAGTTTTTTTTCCACTTTTTTTTTGTTTAGTGGATTTGGCTATTATTGCATTCATGTAGGGTGTTTAGCAGTTTTGAAGTTGTTCTACTTCAATAGGGGGAACCTGGGAAATGGTTCTCCTTGATGGGCTGCAGATGTTGAAGCTCCTGTGATTACAAACGAATATCAATAGATGCTGCAGTCACTTCCAGCCTCTCTCTGCGTATACATCCACTGATTAAAGGGTGTTATTGGGATTACTCACCCGAGAACACAACACAATTCCTGATTCATTGCTAAATAAGACCTTTCTGATCAATACAATCACCCTCTTATTATTTGCCCATATCCCACAGTGCGATGTTCATTCACACGATATAACAAAGTGGGCTTTAACAGTCCCAAAACTGCAGCATGCATCAAAACTACAGCTTGAGGGGAAAAAGTTCAAAACGCGCTAATGCACGGGCTGTGGAGTGGTCTGCATTAAATATTCAGTCTAGGATCGTCCGATTTATGGGCGTTTTAGGATTATGCAAAGAATAAAAAAATAAAAAGAATACAAAAATGTCCCTCACCCCCTCTCATCCCATCAACGTTTTGCATTTATTTATTTATTCATCTTTTCTTTTTAAACAGACCAATTTTCTAATATCTTAAAGCAGAATAAAAGTGAGTTATTGTATTTTAACTGATTTTATCTGTGACATTCTAATTTTCCAACTTTTCTCCCTGGATGTTGCTCTTACCGTCGGCGTCGAAGTGCTTCCAGATGTCGAGGAACTGGGATGCAGTGACCTCGGCCAGGTGCAGATGAGGAGGCTGCTGTGCTTTGTTTGCCATGATGCTGCCGGGAGAATGCTATGTGTCTCACAATGCGATATCCCAACTTTTAATCTGAGTCGAGCGCTCCAAACACACCCCTCAACACACTGTGGCACAGATGCGCTCCACGGTCCCTTTTAAAGCCGCGCGCACGAACCGTGATACCGCTGCGCGACCACAGGGGGCGCTGTACCACCAAGGGGCTCCGTCTGAGTCAGCGTCCCGCCTCAGTATGTGTGTGTGATGTGCTTGTGTGATAGGACGTCTTGGGCACTGCAGTGGACCCCGCGAGTGCATGCAGTAGTATTGTTACATCATCCCTGCTGCTGCTGCTGCTGCTGCTGCATTTCGGCCAACACGCAGTGACTGAGTGGCCTTTTAATTAGCAACTTATTTGCAGAACGCTTTCATTTAGGCATAGGTCTTAGGGTTTAGGGATGGTGTAGGCCAAGATCAAACATTTGCTGTGGCATAGACCCTGACCTTTTAGATCCAAATAGGCTGCACAGTAATTAGATGCACCATGCAGCTTGTAGAGCTTGGACAGGTTTTATTATCAGAAGCATGAAATTGTACTCATATGTATTCATCAGCATTACCATAGGCTGCTATATATTGTTTGTACTGTATTGATGCAAAGATCATCTCTGTCCAAATCCAAAGAAAATATATCAAAAATATAATGGTTTGGCTCTCACTACATCTTCAAAAAATGAAAGACATTGATAAAATACGTAATAAAGGCTTAGTACTTGAAATGCATAAGTCTTGACATTTGCTTTATGTATATGCTTTATTCATTGTGTGTGCTTGCTGTTAAGTCATCCATCCTCAAAGCGACTTAATTCACACCCTTCTAGAATAATTGTGATGCCAGAAATGTATAGGTTTCCATTTCCACGGTGTGAGGAGATTGCTGTCTCAGCATTGGGTATACCAAACAGAGCTTGTGCAATAATAAGCAGTTGTAAAGCATGGGCACTTTGGGGTGTGTTCTCCCTGGTGAAGTGGAGTGTGTCAGGCTGAAGGCACAGTGAGCCATTGCTCCTCTGAGACCAGGGCACAAAGGACAAATACAAGTCAGCCAAATCATCTGAGTCATGCTTTGGGAATGTCTTTGCAGGTAACACTGGTATGATTGGAGGGGGTACTGTAAGCAGCCATACTGTCTGTATGTCTTCATCTTTGAATATATTGAGTATGTTAACTAAAGAAATCATTCTGACATTATAGCCACCTGCAACAACTCTGATTTTCCGTATAGATCAGTCATTTAGAGATTCAACCCTAGAGATAGGTTGTCAGAATTCATCCTCAACATCCAGCAATTCAGCAGTGTATTAAGAAATAAATACATAAGAATAATACAATTGTGGTACTTTATTCCAAGACCGGAAAAAGACATTGTGGGATCTGACAATGCCATTCACACCCAAATCCACAATCAAATGTAAAATGCAAATCACCAGGATGAAGGAGGCAACAACAAAATGAAAAAAATATATATATTCTTTAAAGGAATGCTGATGTTGAAAACCAAGTAGCACCTTGTCCATCTAAATGGGCTGTTGAAGTTTTTCTCAATTTGTCCACATGTGGGTCTATATGTTCTCAGACTTACCCTAAATGCTGAGACAACTGACAACTCTCTTCATTTGGAAACAAGTCAGCAGAGATAGTCCTTGTGCTTGTTTAGTCTTTAAAAATTGGTACATGCTACAAGTACATGTTAGTCTGACAGTATTGTGCACATCAATCATGTCCGACTATGTGATGTTTAGAAAAGTGTACTCAGCAGGCCTGTTCCCCCTTATTTCCTCAGCTTCCCTTTTCACCCTGTAATAATCAATATTGGGATCTGGGCTCTGCTGGCACACTGACAATAGTCCAACATTACATTAGAGATAAGGTTCGTTGCCAACTTGCAGGGCTGCCAGTCACTCTGCAGCACAGGTGTCCACAAGTCCCGCATCACTGCCTTTTGGTCACTCTTTTTTATACATCACATTTGAACAGTGAAACAAGAGATAGTTAAAAATATCCAAATAGCACAGAGTTACAGGTTCTCAAAGTGCCAAATATATGATAGAACATATATACAGGTGAAACTATGGATTAGAATATTGCTGAAAAGTTCATTTCTTTAATTAATTTACCTTAAAATGTGAAACAAATACATGCTATAGATATACTACATGCAAAGTCACATATAGTGCCAAGCTAGTCATATATTAGTATCATTTTGTGAGTTGATTATCAGAACTAAAGGCTCTTTTGAACGATATTCTTTTTTTTTTTCAATTGTATATTGTTATCACCCAGCACAGTACCTGAGTACCTTCCTCAGTGTCTAAATGCTTTTTGTAGTCTTTTATTCTTTTTCTTTCTCGTTGAAAGGATATTCAGCACATTCTTCCTTTCAAAATGTCTCCAGTTTTGAGAGATTTCCAGACTGTCTTACATGATACAATACACTTCACAAATATTTTTTGATATAGTGAAAGCATTCAATGACTGTCTAAGGTGTGGACTGAGTGTACTTGACCTGAATATTCCCAGAAAGGCGAATTTAGACTCAATGCACTGATTGTGAAGATGCAATTATCCTAAATCAGGTTAAATAAGGTCTCAGCTCATCTAAAATATGAGAAAAACAAAAATCATGGTACATGCCAGGGGAAGACGAAATGATTACTAAAAGGCATGGCTTGAAGATTAAGATTACATTTCTGTTTACACATGTTAAGCTGGGGTTTCCAAACTCACATTCCACTGTAGACTGTGCTGCTATGCTATGTTGTCGCTTGAGCCGCTTCATTTGTATGAATATTTTAGCTCCACGTGGGTTACATAGATGAATTATGTAGGGTAGAGAAGCCAGGAACAGGAGAAACATTTCCACTTCATCACAATCTTGCAGAGAAATCCTTCTCTGTCTTTCATTAGGTTAAAACATATTATAGACACATCTCTATTGATTGATGTTTGGGATGGAATTTCTAAGGATTGAAATACACAATAATTAAATATAAAATAAACAACCAAGAGCTGTAAAAAATCAAGTATGGTTTATTATCTCAGTAAATGTATTTACTGAGACAAAGCTAGGTCTGACAAAATAGGAGAATCTCACACAATTCACAGCACCAACATTTCGATTGCATGAATTTTATTTTGCATGAGCTCGATCAATCATTCAGGTCACAACAATATTCCTAATAATCACAGTGGTTATTGAGACAATGTTAAGACATGAGTTGTTCAGTAGTAGTTTTGTTCGAAGGCAAATTAAAACGACAAAAAAAATACTGTATTATTCACCTTCTTGGCAAAACAATATAATATTATTTTATCCAAGACATGATAATACTGCTCCTGTGGACTCACCACCTGCAGGAAGATCAGTGAGGGGCTGGTGCTCTGTGCACTGGGTGCAGCTCTGACTGCCACCCCACGACCCAGAAGGGGAAGAAAATGGATGGATGGATGATAATACTATATGATTACGGCTAAAGTTCCCCACAAGTCTGTTTCTACAAGTATCCTAACCTGAGTAGATCAACAGCTAATACAACCATTCATGTATTTATGTATTTTTCTTGTGGAAGCATGAAAACTAAACTGAACAATTGCTACAAACACTCGCCCTATCCACTGCTGTGCAAATGAATAAAAGAGAAACAGAGGAATACGGGGAAGCCCACACAAAATGATCATCTTTCCCGTCACGTCATCTCCCAGTGTGCATGTGCAGATTTATTTAAACAGTCAATCCCCAGTACAGCTTCAAGATGTAATATGATAAAGGGCTTCGACTTAAGGCAGCTCTGCAGTGTTTGGCATTCTAATGAGACTACGGAATGGCTGTAGAATTTATCCATGCACATATGCATACACATTCATTTTCAATAATTATTTAGATTATATCTTTAAGCTAATTTATATTTATGTATATATATATATATATATATATATATATACAATTTACGTTTTTAAAATGGGTTTGTATTAATGTTGTTATTAAAGCCGTTATAAACAGGTTTAACTGACAGCACTAGTTTAAAGCTAAAATGGATATACTTTTTTTTTGAAATTTTGAAAATACAATAAATATTTACATAATTTATGATATTTTTTTTCTTCTACATTGTATCTATATTAACATTATTAACATAATTTGTTCTAAATTGTTGTCTTACTGTCTTTAAAGGCATTTAGAATTAAAATAATATCAAACCGTATATTTTGCAGCTGAGTTTCCCATGAGACTCATCACTGACTGCATTTCAGATCTATGCAGGAGTACCTAACATTGGAACCATTAAAAAAAAAAATAACATCTAAAACTAAGAATACTTAAGATCCATATGCTCTAGTTTGTTCACAAAATTGTAATCTAACAAGATATCTTATTGGAACAAAAAAGTATGAATGAAACAAAATGGTACCCCAGATTTGATGACATTACATTGTGAGGAATCCGCAGACAAGATCTTGAAGAAGATTGGATCGTTCCTGAGTGGTTCTCAGGACTTCTTCGTGGTTGGCTTTCTCTTCACTGTTGTAGTCAGTTATCACCTTGTTTGTTATAAGGGACAATCCCAGGACACGAAGGCCACAGTGACGAGCCACTAACACCTCCGGGACTGTGCTCATGCCTAGGACAAAACACACACGCACACATGTTGTGTCCTCTTTTTTAATGTGTTGCATATGTTTGTTATGCTACATTACACTTTGACTGTATATTCTCCATCAAAAATGTATTCTTATTGATGCTGTTGATTGTGATGGTGTGATGTGTGACAGTATACAGCCAATGATTAAACATGGCATTAAAACAATACTCACCAACAGAATCAGCCCCCATCGTCTGCAGAAATTTGCACTCTGCAATGGTCTCGTAAGAAGGCCCAGCCAACATGCAGTAAACGCCTTCTTGAAGGAACTGTGTTACACCCATGGCTTCAGCTGTAGACCTGAATTTAGATCTCAACTCACGGTCATATGCATCTGACATGCAGGGAAAACGCACTCCAAACCTACAGAACAAAGAAACATGTCAATTCCACCACTGATATTTACATACAGCCATAAGTGCTTCTGTGTTTTCTAAATGATATAAATGATGTCTTATTAAACAGTCATGAGAAAACTTTTTTTTGGATCACAAATTATACAAAGTTACAAAGTTACAACATTGCTTTATGTGGCAATTGGATATATTAATGTACAGAAGAAGTAGAATTACTATTGTTACAATAAATGACATAAAAGAAAATAAACCTTTCATCATTTGGTCCACACAATGGGTTTTGTCCCGCAAAGCCTGGCATATTAATATGATCTTTAATGATCATAATATCTCCAACACTATAACTGTCGTTGAGTCCTCCTGCTGCATTTGTCACAATCAGGGTTTTCACTCCCAGCAGAGAGAAGACTCGCACAGGATATGACACCTTAAAAAAAAGGAGAAAATGGTCAGAATCACTGGTGTACAAAGTTAGAAGACTTGGTTAATAATACAGTTACATGACATTCATTTTTTTATAGTAGCAAGTTTGTAGCTTAGTATTTTTATATTTCCTGACGGTAGTTTTGTTTATTGTCATCAACCACCTGACTTCTGCAGGATGTAGGTAGTGTAATAATACCCTAAACCAATAACTCAGCTTTATGATTAAATTTGGTTTACTGTTCATGTGAGTGCTGATTGTAAATGCAGTTTAAAAAGAGACAAAAGTCCAAGCTCAAGCTAACCTCGAGTTAATAAACTGCACACAGTCAATCTTTGTAAAACATTCTTATGAAGTGCCTTTGGGAAAAAGTGGCACACGTACTTTATTCCTTCAGTGATTAGATTCCTTAACATTTTTATTAATTGCCTTATACATCATGTTTATTCTTATGATTAATTAACTAATGTCGTATGACATAGTTTACTCGTGTCTATCATATATGACTGTGTGTGTCTTGAAGGACTCCTTCAAATTTGTTGGTACTTAAAATGAGTTTTGTAATAAATAACATGCTAAATATGCTTGGGTGTGTTTTTCTTTGTGTATTGTTATGATTCATACATTTTACAGGAACCACTTATTCATCAAAATGTGTTTTTTTTCATTATGAATAAGAATCATACAAACAGATTTTTTGTATCCGGAGTACCTGAGTAAAGATTTAACCTATAGTATGTAGAATATAATACTTCCCCCCCCATTTCAGATTCAGATTCAGATTCATTTATTTGCCATTTGCAGTAAAACCACATAGGAAAAACTGTGCAAGACTACCCCGGTGTGCACCAGACGACACACACCAGAGCTCTTGCCGCGGCGCCATGCGCTATTTGGCTAATAGTGAACCTACTGTGTGTATGCTATATCCTTCATAGAAGTGAAATCGCCCCTGCATGCACACACAATCATGTCCCTCGAGTTTTCCAAAGACAAGCTTCCCGGCATGGCCTGGAACTGTGAAGAGAAGAAAAAAAGAGTAATATAATTCAGTAAGATAAGTATACTCTTTTGCCTTGAGGAAAAACTGCATATTACTATTCATGAAAGAAGGTAATACTATACCAGTGCTGGTAGGAAATCGTGGGATTTCTTCATATTTGAATGAAACATAGTCCTGAAGCCTATCTGCGAGGCCACCCAAACCTGAGCCACAAATGATGGCGACTATTGGACGTATCTTGGTTCGAGTCAACAACCACTCTGCTGTTTCGTTGTACTCTTCAAAACTATGAATGAAAATATAATAATAGTGACTTTATACATTGTTTTTTAATCATGAAATAGATAAATTGATTATTACAGTGGTATATAGTAATATTTACATTTATGATCTTAGGAGATACAAATGCAAGGATACTCCCTAGTTTACGTAACAGAGCAGGTGCAAATATTTATCATCTTTCAACTAAAACCAACAAAACTGGTTCTGCTGTCACTCAAAAGATAAGCCACTTTGTCTGACAGCTGTCTCTTCCAATGGCTACCCTTTTTATCTACAGGTGCAGGTGGCAGGATGACCAAGTAGTTGGCGACAATGTTTAGGTGGAAAAGTAACAAATACAGAGGCCAATGAATGATTGCTGTCTCAGTTTTAATATATGATCCATTAGACAGAACCAAAAATAAATCCAGTTTTTTATAAAATGAGAAAGACAAATGTCATAGAAAATAACGACAGCCTTCAGCTACACAATATATCATAATTTGCCCCAGCAGCTGAAAAAAAACCTTGGTTATTTACTTTCTTAACATTAACCGAGCTGCCCTCTGCAGAGAAGTGGCTGAAGAGAGCGGCTTCATCTTGTCACTGGAGCTGTCCGTGGTACTAAGACCCCCATGACCTCAATATACTGTAAAGACACACCTGGCGAGCTTTGTCAAGATTGTACAAACACGAACAATGTAACGTGGGCGATTTGACAACACGCTGCACAGGTAAAAGCAAGGCAAGTTTATTTGTATAGCACAATTCATACACAAGGCAACTCAAAGTGCTGAACAAAACAAGAAAGCATTAAAATCATAAATAATCACAGAACATTAAGGAAGATAAAAGGAAGATAAAAATATAAAATCCCTCGGTTGTATGCACAGCTAAACAGAACCGTTTTTAACCTGGTTTTAAACATTGTCAGAGAGGAACCTTGTCTCACATCTTCAGGAAGACTTTTCCAGATTTTAGCAGCATGAATCTGAAAAGCAGCCTCCCCATGTTTAGTTCTGACTCTGGACACTAACAGGAGTCCAGTCCCTGTGCTCCTCAGAGTCCAGGCTGGTTCGTATGTCACTAATATATTTTGGTGCGAGGCCGTGGAGAGATTTGTACACAAGCAGAGCTGTTTTAAAGTCTATTCTCTGAGCCACAGGAAGCCAAAAAAAAGCTGCTGATGTTACTGATTTGATGTGGCTATTAAAATGTAAGTAAATAGCTGGTAGACTTCAACACGAGTATAGCTAACAGAAGAGAGATTAGTTCGTGGTCGGTTAAGCTAAGCCACACACATAAGGGCTATACAAACATACGCCTTGTAGTTATCCAAATAAAACATTCTGATTCTAATTTTGTTTGACAGTGCGTAGCCTTTATTTGAATGGTCTACACCGTCAATTACCGTGCAATAGCTGCCTATTAGTGTTGACATGTTTGGCTACTACAGAAGGCTCATCTCCATAAGCGCTACACATTCCGCTTTATCATCCGGCGCACGGACCTACCTGCTGCAACGGGAGGGTGTCTCCATCTCTGGAGAAAAGCGGCTACGGTTGATAGCTAGTGATAGTGTTGTTAAATTCAGTTTATCGTTCCAACTTAACAGGAGTCCACTGCTGATGGAGGATAGTCGGTGCTTCAGGACTGGCTTCTTGCAGCGTGGTGACGTCAGTGCTCGTGAGTACGTGGGCGTGGTTTAGGGGTGCCGGTCTCTTTGAAGTGGACTTTAATAATGTTTTCTAGCGGAAGAGGCATGGATCTGGGACTAGGCAGCTCACACAACCGTGCATTAGCTCAGACAGAAAAATAAATTATATATTTATATATATATATATATACATCGAGTTCCACAACATGGAAGCTCATGTCAGGCATCATTGCGGCTAAGATAAGTGGGCATATGGAACAATTCATGAGCACAGCACAGAAGGGCATTTATAGATACACCAGAGGAGCCAAACACCAGCTCCTGGTTGACAAAACAGTCGCCCAAGACTGCCGGTCACGACACACCAACCTGTGCACAGCCTGGATTGATTACCAGAAAGCCTACGACTCAATGCCACACACATGGATCATGGAATGCTTGAAGTTGTACAATATCAACAGGACTCTAAGGGACTTCGTTGCAAACTCGATGGGAAGATGAGCGGACGTAAGGCGGCGGCCTTACGTCCGCTCATCATACTCCCAGCCAATCACACAGCATGTTGCATGTGCACGTTTCCACGGCAACAAAAGACAACTGAGAGTCCGGTGTGCTGTCTATGGATTTTAGAAATGTATCTTCCCAAATTCACTGACAGCGGGGGAATAAAGGTAACAGCATTATGTTTGATCTTTTTTAGAAATACTATCTTAACCACTAGCTTACCGGAGAAGCTATTTCTAAGTTCCCGAACGAGTAACAATAAGGTTTTAACGTAGCGTTAGCAAAACTAACGTTAAACTAACTTGGCATTAACACCTACAAAAATACACCTGCTGAACTATTTAGCCTGTTCAACTTCACCATGTGTATTTTGACAAACCAATCCTTCAGAATGATTATTAAACTAATTAGCGTTGGCTGTGTAAGGTCTGAAAGCTAGTTCACATCCGTTATAGGTTTGATACATTTTCGGTAACCATAATATGGGCATTATGTGAAATTAGGCAACAACAACAACATCGGAACACATTTACATTGTTTTATTTATTTATATTTTGTATTTTTTTTAGATGACCCCAACAACTTACTCTCAGGAGATACTACAGTCATCTGAGAAGTGCCTGAAGAAGTTCTTACCAGCACTAAATGAGCTTGAAATGACTTACACAACTTTCCATGAAGTAACTCTGCTCTTTCACTCTCTCTATTTACTGTATATATGCATTTTGTTTTTCACTCCACGTGACAATGCTTTTTAGTCCGTCTGCATGGAGATTAGTCATTGAGATCATGAAGATCATCAAAGCTGCGGACTGACATAGCATTTTTGTGATGAACTAAGGACTGAAGTGCTTTGTACTGATTTATTTGTGTTTTTTAATCTGAGAAAATTAACATAAAATCTACAACAAGATATGATTTCTTACATGTTTTTTTCTTTTAGTTTATGGAGCAGAACATTTTTCAACCATATCCACCGAAGCTTGTGTTCCAAAACTTCACTGCAGGAGAGACATACAAGTTACCTCTGCAGCTCTTTAATAGGGACAACGTGAGTTTGCTGGAATTTATATTTTGTAATTTATCTGTTTGGATTTTATTTAAATATGATAGAATTGATGTTGGTATTGTACAAGTACTGCTACTTTTAGTAGTGCCACACCTCTCTTCATTGAAATAAAGAGAGGTGTGGCAGTTACGAATTCACGAAGAGATAATAGTTCACACATTAATAACTAACTCACAAAGAGTGGTCCATCTCAATGGGGCTATCCTTAAATAAAGAAATAGAGATTTCTGTTGGGTGTTGAACAAGAAGACAGGATGAGGAATATTCATAACAGTCTTTCTGGATTGAAGACATTTTTCTATATTATACCAACTATGATAACTAATCTGTGGTGTATGTGTTTTGCTTCTCCCATTTGTGCAATATCTCATTGTGCAGGTTTCAAAATATGTGAAGCTGGAGCTGCCAGAAACCAAGTACTTCCAAGTCACCAGTCCAGAGAATGCAACTGGAAAAGTTGCTCCTGGGTTGTCTGCAAATTTTACAATTGTTTTCACCCCACAAGAAAACAAGGTACTGCTTTACAATTTACTGTTCAAATATTTTTTGAAAAAGGCTTCATTAAAATATAGCAGCTCTCATTTCGGAACTGTGGGGTGTTGAACTGAGTTCTACAACCAAAATGATTGCTTTAATCTACAGAGATGAATTATCTCTTCTCTATTTCTAGGACTATCAACATCATCTGGTTTGTGTCACTGAAAAAAAAAGCTTTGAGATCCCAATTGTTGCCATTGGACCCCGTGCCATTCTGGATTTTCGAGATGAGCTCTTCCTACCAGTCTGCCCTGTGAAAGCAACTTCAGAGAAAACTGTGCTTGTACGGAATGTTGGAAACTGCAAAGCAAACTTCAAACTTCAAACTAAAGGGTCAGCTCTTTTTCATTTAAAAAACATTTTAATTTTATGCTTGCACTAAGGATGGTATGAACAGCAGAAATCGCTAAATCACGCAGTACTGTACCAACCAGCTTTAATAGCACAGTACTGTCAATGAGCAAAACTAGCATTGCAAGTATTTTTTGACAACTTTTTTTTTAACCTGAAATCGTTTTCTGATCGATATCAGGAAAAGTATAGATGACACAACAAAGGAGCAGTAAGTATATGTTATTATTGAAAGATGAGAGGTAGTTAAAAACACAGCTCCATTCCATAATACCATGGTATTTTTGGTCACAATTATTGAGTGGAAATTTCACTTTGTCTTTATCCTAGCAAGCACATAATCTGTGTATTATTATGTTTTATTTTCATGTTGGTATTTTTTCAGGCCTTTCTCTGTGACCCCTAGCTCCGGAAGTATGAAAGTGGGGGAAAGTATGCAGGTGACGGTAACATTTAGCCCCATGGTTATCGGTGACCACAGACAGGAGCTCCTGCTCTTCTACCACACTGGTGAGACATTCATTAATTTGCTGAAGAGCAGCTAAGCAACGCTCTTTATGTTGGTTCATACATTAGTAACATGGGAGCATATCATGGACACACTCCTCTATTTGTCTGATTTTCTAATCAGTGGTGTTGAGAAGCTAATTTGTGCCTTGGGAAAGTGTGACAAATTGACACCCGTCACCAGCTGTTTGTGCTTCCTAGGAAAATAACATGAATATCAAGTCTAGGCCAGAACTAAAATATCACTGATCTCTATTTGTGTAATCTAAAGTAAATATATTATGCAAGATTGACTTTTTTGAGCTTTTAAGTTTGAACCATGCTACAACATTGTTCCCCCATCAAAAAGACATGGAGTTGTTTTTACCATTTTTCAGTTTTCACATTTTAAAACTGAAAATGACTCATTATTATTATTGACCAAAAATAATGCTAACTATATCTTCCTTAAACTTGTTCCACCCAGCTGTTTGTACAGTTTCTGCTACCTCCATTACTATAGGGTTGTTGCGTTTGAAATCTTTACATACAAGAGCAGACATTGCATTGCATTTGCAAACTATACCAAACCATTACTCGCTGACAATCTCGATCTAATTTTGCATGAGCTTAAAGATTTTTCTGTAAACATTACACAGAAAGTCACAGATGGTCAATAAAAGTAATAGCTACGTACATTTCAACTTGACATTTTATCAATAGCAATAAGAAAATGGTTTTAATACAAAGTTTTATGGTGTAACGTTTTGTACATGAAGTACAAAATAAACACACATTCTACAGTATACAACATGTTTGTTTGTGTTGGTGTAGTAAACTTCTCCATTATTAGTTTGATTATATTTCAGAGCATTAGGATTACTGAATATTTTATTCTAAAAAAAACACTTCTTTTCATTACATTTTCGAAAAGGATATCCCGTCAGCTAAAGAAGTCGACATCGACTGCAACCCTGCTCGTCCTTACAATTACCCACATCAAAGCATAATGCAGAAACTATACACTTGGGGATCAATTAGGGTCAAAAATAAAGTTTCGAAAGGGATAGCCATTAGCCAAGGTTGCAGAAGCCAAAAATAAAAGATAGTTTTCCCATGTCTGCTGTAGGTTAGAGATAGCAGACCCAACTTTTCTGTTGAATAGATACTACATCTTTTTTCCCAATTCTTGTATCAGTAAAATTTTGTTAACAAATCAGACCACATTGTGCTGTCTTCATATTATTAGAAAACATTGTATATTTTGCATACCTACAAGAAAGAGCTCTGTGAGTCACTTTGGGTTGAGGGCGGAGCAAGGTTTGTATTCTCTGAAAAAGCTAATATAAAGATTTACGTCTGTAATTAATCAATTAGATAAATGTATGTGGGGGTTTTATAATAATTAATGTTACAGAATGGGTCACTTGCCCAACCCCAAAATGCAATGCTTCAAAGAATCCATCTTAACGTGAACTAAAATACATTTAGTTTGTCCCAATAGAAAGAGTCTTGTAAGCGTAAAACACAACATGCTGTCTAATACTTTTGACTGAGTGAGGGTGGTCTTCTCTTTTTCACTTTTCTGTTTAACAAGTGAAAAAGATGGCACAGAGGCCTACAAACATGCAAGTGATAACTAGTGATAGAATCAAACTTATAGATCCTTCTAGAATGGATTTCATTGTTTTGGTTTGAAAGTTAAGTAACCCAGCTTTAAGGATGGCGGAAATATGAATAAAGATAAGACAAGAGATCCTAAATATGTGCCACAGTGGAGAAATGTCAATGTTGCAGTGCACATACAGGACAGTAGTAATAGTACACAGGGAACACACACAATATACAATAGCTGCTATGCTTATGCTGTAAATGCTTCAATATCCAATATGTTGAAAATATTGAAGCATTTACAGCTAGCTAAAAAACATAGCAGAATTGCTTTGCAAATCACAATGCTCCTCCTTTTGGGGAAATTGATTTATTGAGGATTCAAATCTATATTCTTGTTATAGTTGTGTGATATTATCGTACACTTCCCTTGTACCTCGTTCATAACCAGATAGCTGAAAACGTATTATCTGGCTTTTCTCTGCATGTGCGTGATCCACCGCTGCTTTTACTGCACTCATGTATACAGGAGAGCCTGCAAAAGAATTGGGACCAGTGGCTAACAGCCGCATTAAGCATTTATAATGGGTGGGCCAGCTTGAGTCCAGAACACCACTTACAGCTCATCATTTTTAATTTAGCACCTTTCTCCCCCTCTCACACTGGCATGTACGTTTCAGGATAGTTTGCGGCCAGTATATGGTTTGATTGAGTATGTCTGGTGAGAATGATGTTTACATTCTATTCACTATTCTGGTAACAAGTCTGAGACAATAACTATTATCATTTGTATCACTTCACTCTTCTGTCACTTTATAGAAAATGTAAACAGCCCCACTGGAACGGCTTTGACAGTTTAACAGCACTGGGTTTTTTGTCTTTAGGAAAACACAATACACACAAATCACTCCAGCCGGCTACACAAACAGTATAAACTACATTTTAGGGGATAAAACTAAACTTCTGAAGTGTTGCAATACTTGCAAAAAAAAGACTTGCACCAAAAACTGAGGAAAGTATTAACAATAAGCTGCAGCTCTCTCTGTGTGTCAGCCGCTGTCATTGCATCCGGATGTGAGAAGATAATTGCTTTTCTTTAGTCTCTGTTCCACTCGCTCATTTCTCTTCCGTCACTCATTGACGGACTCTCTCTGCATCGCTTTGATATAGAAGAGATTTGTATTCTTTATTGCAACATGAAAGTTCAAACCACTCCACCAACCCATTTGCCCTCCATACAAATACGGTGTCACCAGTGTCATAGTTAAAGTGCTCTCATACCTCTCTGACACTAACTTAGTTATGGCTTCACTTACATCTTTGGCATAACCTCTGGCCTTTTACATAATTGCTTTTAAGGATATGAGCTTCATATTTGTGTATAGGGTGGAGTATTGTCAAGAATAGTCCTTTATTAGTCCAATTTAGTACTCACATTGTTCTTTAGCTGTCCAATAGAGACATTGTTGAGACTATTGTGTTGTACCCCTTACTGCTTGAGTCCTCAATTGTCCCTGAAGAATCTGTAAATCCCAGAACTGTGTGAACTGGTTTGCACGTTAGATCTATTGTAGCCTCAATGCTTTCAAGATGTGTCATAGGGCAGTGCACATCCTAAAGTTCAGCTCCTGCAGAAGAGGCAAGTGTTTCAGCTTAATTACACTATATATCTTTTTAAATGCTGCCTCTCACATCAGGAAAAAAGGATAGTGCAGCATTTTCTCAGTTGAGTGTTTCATCTTGGCCATAGCAAACCTTTTTATCAAGCTACAGTAATACGCCTGGGAAAAACAATGAAAAGCCGATACAAGATTTTCTATTGTCAACCAATTATAGTCATATGGGTTGTATTTACAAGTTTGGGAATTATCTTAATGTGACATAAATCACTTCATGTGGCTTAAGTTGTCCTATCATCCTATACAAATACTGTACTAATAGTCTTTGGCGAAGTTATACTCTAGTCTAGCCCATCTGATTTGAATTTAAACAAACATTCATCTTATTTGCATTGTCTGGCCCCAAAGGAAGCAGGGCTTTTGCATTGCATATGTGATGTTAGTATGTGCCATGTACAATCCCCCCCCAAAAAAGAAAAAAAAAAGACTTTGCTACTTGCAACTACCTGTGAGAAAGGCTTTATACGAATCAGAATCACATTTTTGTATTGCCATGAAAGGGACATGAAGACACAAACTAGGAATTTGCTTTGGCTCAAGCTCCAAACAAGTTATATAAGTAAAAATAGAGAGAAATACGTTTTGGAAATACATTCTATTTCAGTCAAGGCCTATTGTGGTGGCCTAGTATTCATCTGTTTGAGATTTATATGTAGGTAATATTAAAATATGTAAAGTATGTAGAGCATATTAATTCTACATGTGGAACAAGAATTACTGACTGATCTGAACTTAAGTAATGGCTCAATGCGGTGCCTTGTTTTGTAGTTTGTTGATTCTTGTTTTGTTTTTTTATTAACAGGTGAAGTTGTATATATCAGCTTGTTTGGAAGTTGTGAAGAACTGGCCCTCCAGCTTGAATCGAAATTGGTTCTGCTTGAGAAGACTTACATATCATTGTCCAGTGAGCAGACTGTATCCCTCACAAACACCAGTGGTGTCCCACTGCAGTACCACTGGACGACACATCCCAGCCGTAGCAAGCAGGACATGCCCAGGTGTGTGTAGAGGGAACTAAATACATACCACATCTGTAAAGTTCTCAGTGCACTTCGCTTTTACATATTTTGTCATATTAGAGTTTGGATTCACAGTATTTTCTTATCAATATATACCCATATGGACAAAGTGAGTTCAAGTGTTTTTGTTTTAAAAATGTATACAAAACACAAACTATCACCTTGTACACAAGCATTCAACAGAGCACACTGCATCTTCTCACCATTCTAATGTTTCCAAAACATGACTGGAGTCAAGATCTGGTAAATTGATTTCTGGAAATTGGATAAACAGATGGTTGAAGAATGGTGAATAAAATGATTGCACTGATAAGAGTTGTCTTTATCATAATACCAAGATTTGTTTTTATGGTGTTTGTCCATACTTTTGTTGTATTTTTTATGGGTTTGAGTTAAAGTTGAAGTGAATTAGGTGTTAATATGTTACATGAGTAAATGTGCCCTTTTTACATTGTCTTCATTTGGCATCTTTTTGCATCTCCTTAACATCTCTTACCCTGTTTGCTGTGTCAGGGGCACCCTGCTCCACCCCAGGGAGCAGCAGGAGGCTTTTCTGAATGAGCCTAACCCTGCAATCATCCATGGTTCTGAACTTCTGTCTACCGCTGCCCAAGACCCACTTCCTGACTTTTCAAATGATTGTGCCATTACTCTGGAGCCAACGGTGTGTAAATGGGTTTTATTTTAAACTGTTTCATGGTTTGCCACAATTACAGCATTGCAGCAACATTACATCAAATGTTCTTGATTTATGAATTGTTGCTGCTTTGCCATGACTTAGTCAGATTTGAGCTGTCTTATTTTACATTCAAACAAATCATCAGTTCTTTGTGTGAATTATTATATTAAAGTACAATTGTTTTGTTCATTATTTGCTCAGCTGATAAACATTTAACATTACAACCATGTAAGAAAGTTTTCTTCTCCAAATGTTGCAAGCCAAAATATATATGGGCTTCTTTCATGTGTAAATCCATATTTATTGGACAAAACAAGACCACTGACACTACTAGTGTCTGTGTTCATCTCAAGCAGCCTCCCAGAGCAGCGCAAAGAGGGGTGAAAGTCATCAATATTGACACAAACTTTTTGAGGGCGTTTCTGCTTATTTCCTATTGAGCTACTTAGAGAAAAGATCTGGTTCTATGTCAATTGCAGAAAAATAGAGAGACAAATAAAACAAAACCATATTGATCTTGGCGACTTCTTACATCCACATGATTTTACTGTTTTTGTTTTTTTCAGGCAGGTGAAATATGGCCAAATGTTACTATAGAGTTCCTCATCATCTTCAAACCAGACACAGCTGGTCTTTACCGGCAGACCTTATATTGTGATGTTACAGGTCAGTCTCAAGAAGAGGATGATATTCCCACCCACTTTCCATTTAAATCAACACACACATTTATATAATAACCTTAAATTATATATGTTTGACAAGAAATAGTTTTGCTACACAAAGAACCCCCCAAAATAAACAACATAGAGTAAAATGTTGTTGGGAAATTTGCCTGTGGCTTTTTTTTGTTCTCTTAGCTGGATGGACACATTTACATTGATTTACATTTCTTTGACAGAACTCACCAATGGGAGAACCAAACAAAATGTAATCCAACGTCTTTTCTTGTTTATGATTTTTGTATTATATCTCTCAAGGTCGTGAGTCTCCTTTATGCCTAACAATTAAGGGTGAAGGCCTGGGACCAAAGCTGAAACCCAATTACAATGTGTGGGACATGAAAGATGTATGTATTGGTGACAAAGATTGGTATGAGGTATGTTACAATGAATTGTTACATTTTGTTTATATGAGTAACATATAATATCTATAATAATAGTTTTATATAAAATGTGTGTTCTCTAGGTGATTTTAACAAACAAAGGTCTGATAGATGCCCCTTTCAAGATGTGCAGTCCCGACACCACTTTTGGTGCCTTTTTTAGCTTCACTCCAGTTGAAGATGTTGTTGCTCCTGGAGACAGTCAGACGGTCAAAGTCACCTTTTCCAGCTCAGTGTTGGGACCTTTCTCAGAGGATTTGTTACTTACAGTGAAAGGACAGCCTCGTCCTCAAACATTGAACTTTAGGTAACATGTCTGCTGAATCTGTGTTCAATATTAGGAAAAAAGATAGATAATAAGATATACAACAAGGATATACTTGTCCCTCAATTAATTATGAAATGTTTCATGCAGTCCTTCAGGATTCTGATTTTGATTATTTGGTTTCTATTCAGGGGTTGTGTCAATGGTCCAACCTTTATTTTTGATGTGACAGAACTCAATTTTGGAGACGTGGCATATGGTTAGTCTTTCTCTGATCTGTCAAAATATGTATGAAAAACATAGGTTTGATATTTTGCAATATGTTTTTTCTTCATTACAGGGTTTCCAGCGGCTTCCATTTGCACACTTTTCAACCAATCATTTGTGCCAATGACATTTTCCCTGCGTGTGCTTGGGGATGGGTCAGGACCCCCCAGTGTGTCTTGTGTTCAGCAGTTGAATGAAAAGTCTAGAAGCCAGTGGCAGAGTTGTACAGCTAAAGACCGTCGTGTGAGGCCGAAAGAATTCATTGTCAGCCCCCAGACAGACTGTGTTCGCGCCATGTCACAAGTCAACATCAAGGTACAGTATTCCTGAATAAATGATTCTCAATTTCTAGGTAGAATTAACTATTCTCTTGCACTTACTTTGATTACTTTTTTGTAAAGGTGATACTGTGCTCGAATACCGTCAAAACATATAAGCTGGAACTGGCTGTAGACGTGAAGGGTGTTGGAAAAAAGATCAAAACGTTGTCACTTAATGCACGGTTTGTTTTCATAATATCACGCATTAAAACATCAGGCTCAAAACTATTGAGTTGATATTTTACATCACTATGAGCTGTGCTTGTCACTCCTCATTCAACATGGTTTTACAATATACCTTTTAATTCATGGATCTATTAATTACTTACTTACATATGTGTCCAACACAGCAGTCATCGCATCAATCATATGTTATTTATCGAGAGTTCATGAGCATCAATAGCCTATTGTTAAGGCATTAGTTATTGAGTGTTTTCCTTTATTTTTAGGTGTGTTGCGCCATACCTTGAAGTCAATACCCCAGTGGTGGACTTCAAAAGTTGTTTTCTCAATCTCCCCTATGAACAGAAAGTGCAATTAGTCAACACAAGTTCTTTTCCTGCCTGTTTTGACTTCTTCGACCAGGTGAATGGCTCTTTTTTTATACCCTTTTAGAGGCATGCGATTACATTGTCTTCACTTATGTATTTTTCGTATGCCCCAGGTGTTGGAAGAGAGTCCATCTATGCATGTTCAGAGCTTCATATCCGGAGGTGTCATTTTACCCCACAGGTCACAAGAACTTCCTGTACGTGTCATTGCAAAGGCTGTAGGGAGATTGCATTTCAACTTGCCTATTGCAGTGATTGGCAGTCCCCATCCACATCTGGTCAGTCACGTCATTATTTTCTTCAATATAATCTTCAATACAATACAATTAATGGTTTAAAATACACAATAAATGTACAGTATTTGAAAGCCATTGAAATGTAGACATTTTCACACCATGACAACTAAACAAAGCTATTATTTCTAATTCTTTAATTGTATCCATTCTTTATAGAATGTGTTGTTGTCCTGTAATGGGCAAGGACCAATAGTTTCTGTGCAGAGACACCACCTGGACTTTGGCCAAATCCCTGTATTGAAAGACCTCTCAAAATCTCTCTGCCTCATAAACCAGTCACCGATTCCGGCAGCTTTTTCTGCAAGCATGGTAAGTACCAACAATATATGCATCAAAGTCTGTTTGTTTTTAAATGATAATAATAAATACATACCTTATCCCAATTCCAAATCTCAAAAAGGCATGTATGTGACCTTATAGTAGGGTTGAGGAGTTTCTTTGAGCAATCTCAAGCCGCAATCAATGCAGATTCCTCTAGAATTATATTACATCTCAATCAATAGGTTGGCAGTGCAGCACACAAATAGACTGGAGGAGACGCATTCATGAGAGTCACACTGTACTGTCCCTCAAATTCATAAAATTGTAGTGGATAGGGAAAACTGCTGGGAAATAAATCATGTTTGTTGGATTTGCCTTTTGACAATGTATACAAGCAAATCAATGTAAACAAAGCTGTTGGATTTGATAGGTTTTATCTGAGGGTTGCGTTGCTGTTTTTCATTTCATTTTTGCTTTTACGTTTTCTTTGCAATATTTTTTCTCACACCACATTACAACTTGTTTTAAAACATGTTTTGAATGCAACAAAGAGGCTACTGTTTATCACAACATGGTATACCGAGCATTGATTTCAAGCACAGCTACTGCTTAGCCTTGCACGGATGAATTTTCTACATTTTAGATCATATTTTATTTTCATGCGTTTCATTTTGAAATCCAAACAAGGAGCAGGTGTTTGGATTTATTTCATTCCATGGGATTGTGTAAAGGTTTAAGAGTTTTATATTTCTCAGAGTAGACGAGCAATCAGACTCATAGCACTCTAAACTGTTGATATGATTATGCTGGCATTTGATATACACATTCATTATACTGAGTCTGTCAATATATTCTGGCCAGAGAGTGCAGTGTGAGCAAAGTACCTCTACAATTGAGATGGTGTTCAGCATCAAGTTTCTGTTCTTTTAAAATCTGCCCAGACTATGCCTTTGTTACCACTCCATGGGCTTTAGTAAGCCACAGATTCTATTTGCTTCACCACAGAGACAGAGAAAGTCCTTCTGGCATGTGGAGCCCAAAGAGGGGGAGGTGCCAGCCAATAGCCAGCTGGAGCTCCGCGTCGTGGCGCATCTGAAGGATACGCTTCTCTTTGAAGACAAACTGGACGTGTCAGTTCAGGACAGTGGCACTCTAACGGTCTCTGTGAAGGGAATTGGCACTGGCTACACCTTAGTCAGCAATAAACCATTTGCCCCGAGTCTTGATCTAGGGGCACACTTTAGGTACGCTCATCCCAAATGTGATGTTGAGTTGTGTTGAGTTGAGTGTTTCTTAATATTTACTTGTGACTTTTTATCCAAGTAAACCAGCAAATAAAACACGATCACTGAGATGCACCAGTACTAACAATATTAATTTAAAATGCATATTTCACAAGGCCCTACTTAAGCCCAGGTGCTTTCTGGCCACCTGTACATTTGAACAATATCACGGTGCTCATGAACATATCCGGATAAAACATGTTTATATATTGTTGCTTATTATATACATTTTCTTCTAAATAAAATCACACATTATAATTATGTTCTGTTTTGTAGTCATGGGTTGTGCCAGTACCACTTCAAGCTTACCAACCTAGGTTTAAGGACCCATCGCATGTATTGGCGTACTGATGGTTCTCTGGATAACAAACAAAGGGTAAATAAATCAGGAATAAAAAGCTCTATGCCCCCCATCCTTCTGGCCAAGAAAAAGAGCCTCCTCCCGCGACGGTCCATGGGGTCCTCTGGACTGGAGGGCCCGGTGTTTAGCTTAACCCCCTCTCGTGTGGAACTCTTTCCTGGTAAATCAGTGGACATGGTATTAAAAGGATTGTGCTCTACTACAAGGGTGAGAATGCTAGAATTGTCTACCATACTGTTGCTTTTTCATTGGCTGTGTAAATGAACAAAGGTGACTTATTGTTTTGTAGGTGGTGAATGAACGCCTGGTGTGCCACAGCATTGTGGGTAACAGTGGCTCATGGGATAGCATCATGAGTGTCGATGTCACTTGTTGTTTTGTGGCTCCTATGCTCAGTATTTCTTCAAAACAGCTACATTTCTATTTGAAGAAGGTTTGACAAAATATAAAACTTCATCAACACATACACACGATTTTACTTTCAAACACGTGTGTGTTTTAGGTTGCAGGAAAAAGTGTCTTGCCACAATATAAGAAGGTGCTAGTAAAAAATGTGTCAACTCTCACGTTGTTCATGAATCTTCAAACTGCAGAGCCATTCGGCTTGTGTCATGAACAGGGATCACAGAACGCTGCTACTTCAAAGGTATGGCTAAATATTTACTTATGAGCTACAGTATGTACAAGGATTCTTCTTTCCCTTCTCTTTCAACAAAAACAACCTAACACCAACCCAAACTCACGCACAGGTCCTGGACAGTGATAACATAAACCCAAAACAGAACATATCTTACTCAAATGAAATATATCTAACTAAAATTCAGAGAGATCAATGTGTTGGACCTGACTAATTCTTCTAAAATGACAAATGAGTAAAGGCGCTGTATTATAGCAACTTGTTAGGTGAAGGCTCAAGATTATTATGAAGGAAGACATAATAAACTTTCTAGTTAGTGAGTGAGAAGTCATTGAGGAAAACTAGTTGCACAAGTCAACTGTGAATTTCACAAAAGATAGTAGAATAGACAGCCTGTTGCCTTCAAAAAGTGTAAACCTCTTCAGTATTCGGATAACATATGAATAATAACATTAATTTGGTGTGGTCAAATTTACATTGTAGTCAATACTCAAACCACTATGTGCTAAAGCTACTGTACATGGTCACTTTAAGTTTAATCCATCAAAAAAATAATTTAGTAGATGAAGTTATCAGACTGACAACTTGTTTTTAAACAATCTTTATAGATGATGACTTTAGAGGAAGGAAAGCAGGCTGAGCTGTGGGTATGCCTTAATCCTGGCTTTTGTGAGGATCGAGTGTCACGAGTTCTTGATGAGGTAACCTTTCTCACTGTATTACTTGATGCTCTTTGATCAGGACTCCATTGGTATAACACAATTTTTCATGATGTGCGTTTTCTCACATTTTAGATTATTGTCTTTGATGGAATACAATGTCTCTTCTTTCTCTCTGGCTGTCTTTCTTTCTCTCAAGGTCCTTAAAATACATTATCAAGGACACCCACAGCAAGACATTGTAGAGCTGCATGGTGAGATCCACTTCCCCAATCTGCTCCTTTCCAGCACATCAGTGGATTTTGGATGTGTGCTTAACTCCACTGAAGCTCAGAGAGAAATAACAATAACCAACTGTTCACCTCTGCCTGTGGCGTACCATTGGACTTTTCTAGACCAAAAGCCCAGCGGCCCTAGGTATGTTTAAACACACACAAAAATGGCCTTGCATTTGAATCTCATAATACTCCTTTGAGAAAGAAATCCTTTAGCAGTCCTAAAAGGCCCCCATTTCTGTTTCACTTACGTTTTATCATCACAGTTGCAGTAACCCAGCCATGCGAGAGCAGGGTTGATGTCGGTGGTACTGACTAAACAAGATTCTGAGACAATAACAAAATGGGACCAAGCTATATATTTTAGTCGTCCACTGAGATAAGTTAGTACAGTAGCCATAGATTTAACTCCCAGAATTAAAAGCCAAATCCATTATGAATGCTGCAGGGAGGACAGATCTACTGATTGTGTACTTTAGAGTGTTCGAGTGTGCTTCTTTCAGGTTTGGCACTTCTTTGGAAATGGACAGCGAATTCTATAGTAGTTTCTCAGTTCGTGGCCTTGAACCAAGTTAATGCTATTGCTCTACGAGATTTATCACTCCAGTCCACATCCTCTGCTTTCAGCCATTACTATTCCTCCTTTGCTCTTTTCTCATCTCAATATTTATCTTTTATTTTACTCCTTTCTTTATTCTGCTCTCTTGCTAAGCCTTATCAACCCTCCTCTCTCCCTCACAGTGTTCTCATGTTGTGACCTTCCTTAACAGTGTATCTCAAAGGCTGTACCACTAATTAAATGGAGACCTCACTTGCTTTCTAAAATCTGCCTTTCTTACTGACTAAACCTGCACTATCGAGCCATGTCCAGCTAATTACATCGCTATCAGTAATTACACCAGAGCCTGTGGAGAAGCACATTTCAGTAGAGCTTACTCCATAGTCCATACTCTATCCATCTGTTAGCTTGAGTGATAGTGGAGGAACAATACACTTAAATACAATTTCTTATCTTTTTTTGTGCATCTACAAAAGCAATTCCTAATCGGTTCTATTGGTGTTTCAGAGTAAGAGACAACTCACTCTGCATTTAGAATTTGAAAGAGACTTCAGATAACCATGCAGTGCTTTGTAGTATGGCCATAGGCTAACCTTCAGATATAAGACATACTATTTGTAGTCATATACAACATATAGCGGCTTGCATATAATATCACGATTACTGGAAAGTGACTTTCAGATATGGTATTTAAATATTCTTAGATAACATGATTGTTTTTATTCATAAGCATTTGATATAGTTCACCATTAGGGTTTTACTGTTGCATTTTAGTTGTAGTGATGGAATATGCATACAGTAGGTGCTTAGTCTAGAACAGACTACACAAACTAGACTTGTTGCACTTCAAGAACCTAAAGGGATTAACATTTTTATTGATAAGTCATGTTTAACCTTGTGTAAAGTTTAAAGTGGACTCATTCTTAATTAAAACTACAATTGAAACATACAATTACAATTGAAGTCCATAATCAGTGCTAAAGAGCTTTGTGTTACAGGCAGTTTAGATTCTGCCAACAAAAGTTGGGTTAGGTTGGGTAATTGTCATGACTTTGTCACCACTAATAGTACTCATTAAAAGTATGCCTACTAAATAATTGAGAGCTCTTATAAAGAAAATTTAAGGTATTGGGTGACCTTGGTCTGTAAAAATGCGCTATATAAAGAAGAAAGTAAACCATCACGTTTCCTTCAAATGCACCAGAAACTTTCCAATTCCTTTCATTTTTGCACTACACATACATATGTAGTGAAGAGTGCTTCAGTAGTTTTCTCATGATTTACATGGTGACTATGGATATGAAATAACACAATAGTTCTGTATGTACTAGTACATTAGGAAATTCTATTTCAGTATACCATTATGTGACATTATGTCACTTTTACTAAGTACTACTATTACTTTGACTTACTAGTCACATTTTAACTTGAAGTCTCTTTGATTCTTACCATCCATTTTCATCTGCGCATCTGCGTCATGGCGTCATTATCTGTTTTGTTATTGTCTTCTGTGATGAATTGAGCAAATGTAAACTATATAAATATATATACAGTATATATGACAGCCTACCCTTCTACACAAATAACTGAACGAAATCAAATCAAATCCTAAAAAAGAGACAAAGAATTAATAAACAACAACAGCACTTAGCACATGCAACAGTGACCTCCACTGGTTACATTCAAGCAGTTTTGTCATTCAGACTAGAACAGAAATGGTATTTGTAACGTGCGTAAATGCATATAATGAACCCTGCTACTGTGTCTGAAGTAGACATGCTCTCAAACTTGTTCAGGCTAGATCTGAGATCACTCAATCTCTTTCATATGCTTCCATGTTTATTCAGCACTTCAATGCAATCTATCCTGACCTGTTTCCTGCCTCTTGCCTATTAAAATTCCTCTTAATTATAGAACACTCTGTTTAATTAACTTGATGGATGCACCCTGTCTGATCCCACAGGGAACGAAAGAGCCAGCAGACTGAGAGTTCTTGGGGGCTGTTGATCCTAAAGATTTTGTACCTGTTGTGTGGTTAAAGAAATGTTAATATTATAATACGATCCAAATACAAAATATGTTCATTTCAAATGTTTGCTTAGAGTAAACATTTGCAGATTTACAACTAATATCTTTTTCTTTTCAAAATGTCTATTATAATAATACTGGCACAGACTCAAAGTCATTCAGCCTTTCAGCTCAGTTGTGTTTGTTGTGTGGGAAAGATCATTATTTGGATTGACTTGTTACAGAGAGCTTGATGAGCAGAGTCTATCACTGGAGGATGTGAAAAGACATTCTAATGAAGACAATGAGAATACTCTTTCTTCTGCCTCCTCACTCCCATTTAGTCCTGTATCCACTGAGAATGAACAAAGAAGAACTTACAGCCCAGTCAAGGTGGAGGAGGTAGTTCACAAATTGATGTTTTCTTTTGTCTAACCACCTAAAATGCTTTGGATGTTTGTTAGTCTAGAACTGGTGCATATACTATACCCAAGCCTTTACAATTTTAGACAATAAAAAAATATGTAAAATCCTAAATTACATTTTATTTTGTTCCTTTTTGTATTCCTGGATAGACATTTGATGTGCTGCCAATTCATTGTCATCTGCAACCTGGAGAGCAGCAAGTGACTGCCTTCTCGTTTTTTGGCCATGAATATATGAGGAGAGAAGTGGTCGCTCGGTGCCATGTCGAAGATGGCCCTGTGTATGATGTCACACTCAAAGGGGAAGCCTCACAGGTGTCATTTAGTCTGGACCGCACATGTCTTGACTTTGGCCAAAAGGTACTACAGGAAAGCATTAATTTAACTGCCTGTTTTGATCTGTTTTTTCTCTCTTACCTGATAAACTTAAATATCTACACAGCTTTTTTTTTCATATTCTGAAATGTCTGTATTTATGGAAAGGATTGACACATGAAAGGGGTTGTCTGTTTCCTGACTAAACCATTGCATCTCCTCAACCTAATATGCAAATAGTTTGAGAGTATACAGCACAGATTTACATAAATCGCTTCTACCATTTCATGTATTTGTACAAAGGGCCAGGCTACAGTTTGTGAAATCCACCATACCATTCATAGTTAAGTTAAAACAAAATCCATCATAAACCTTATCGTGATTGTGTATTTTATTGACACATGGCTTCTCACTAAAATGTGAGAAAAACAAAAAGCTTCTAATCTCATTCTGAAGAAATTGAATTAACTAGTCCACATTGTTCCGTTATCTCTGTTTCTGTCCTCACTCCTTCTGCCATCTGCTTGCTCATCTGTGTGACATGCAATATCAGGTCAAACTAATTAGATCTAAATAAACTTGGGGAACTGATGCGTTTTGTATCGGACATTGGCCAGCCTGAGGGTAGTGGGGCTTATGTGTCTGATTCTGAGTGAGCTCAAGCGTTTGTACAGTCAATGCAATCTTATTTGTCATATTTACTGAACACTTTTTGTATAAGAAGCCAGCGTTCATCATTTGAGATAGCACTTTCACTCTAAATGTCAGTTTGCAGATTGTTGCTCTGTGCCAATTACCTTTGTATGCACACAAACAATTTGAAATCTGTAACAATCGGAGTAGCATTCAGTATATGACATATTGATTTTTTATTTGGGCAAATCATGTATTCAACAGAATATGTTTCTGACCCTCCTGTGGGTTCAAAGATATTCTCTGGTCCCTTGCTGTGACATCCTTTTTGGGACTTGTATCAAGTGAAATGTACTCAACAATTTGTTGTTTTTGCTCTCACATTGATCTTCTTTCTTGCAGTTGTTTGATTATGTTGGAGAAGCTGAAATAATTTTGAAAAATACCGGTAAAGTGGGCTTTAATTTCAAGATTTGGAGAGGTGAACAGAATGAAAATACCAAACATGAGCCCTCAGAAAACATACTGGATATGAATTCAAAACATGAAAAGATCCAGCAAAATGATGAAGACAATGAGATAATAACTGGCGAGCCCTGGGTGTTTCCATCAAAGGTAATACTTATTCTACAAACATCACAGTCATGTATGTGGCCAATATTAACAGCATTGTTAAGTGACACATGACTAGGTTTGTTGTTTTTTTTCAGGGTTTTGTTGAAGCTAACACAGCAATATTCATACGCATTCTCTACCTCCCTGGTGTCCCTGAGAAGTTTGAAAAAATATTACAACTTCAGGTGGCCTGTTTGCCACCGCAAGAGATATCTGTGGTCGGAGAAGGAGTTTTCCCTCAAATCAATCTTAATTTGCCACGGAACAATTGTACGATAATGTGACATGTTTATTTGGGTGTGTTCACAGTAAAGTGTCAATTAAAGTATCTGGACTTTAAAAGGCTATAACTCAAAAACTATAATTACTATTGTAGATTAGAAAAAAAAGATTTAGAACATAGACATATCAAAGAGATAATGTGGATAAAATCAAAAGAAAAGATTGACAAATACATTTAACTTCGACGCCAGAAAATAAAAGGTCCTCAGTTTGAAAATGCGGCAGATGAACTCCCACAAGATTAACCCTTTATTGGTTTCCTCAACCATTTGGTAGATCACGTTTTGAGTCATTATATAAACTTGAAGCTTGGAAAAGGACTTCTTCCTCGTTGGGGCATCTCACTTGCTTTAAATAGGAATAGAGAAAAAAAAATCAAAACAGTTTTTATGACTCTTGAAAAATGTGTAACGGACATGAAGGTTTCCCGTCAATTTTTTCTAAAAATTAAACTTGAGAAGAAAAAAAGATGCTCTGGTTTCACTTTAATTGGTAAGTAATCACTTTATTTCTACTGTCAAAAAAAAAATATCTTAATCAAATGTGGACATCTGAAAACAAACTTCTGCAAAGCTCATTCCGTCAAATCATCACATCCGTTAAATAAAATAAATAGGGCCACTGTAGGAAACCTGACTAATGCATAACACAGTTATCTTTTAGCAACTACTAATGGACAGATATGTTTTTCATGTATTTGGATACATGAAAAACATAATATATCTTCTTATTATTAAAATCCCATTTTTGGCCTTTTGTCACACGTTTGTACCCTTTAGTGAGAACAAGCCCATTTCAGTTTTCAATTTATTTATGATTATCATAATATAAACTGTTGTTATCACTGTTTATTTGTCCACAGCACAGAACGGTTACAGTAAACTCTTGAAGCAAGCTGAAGAGTCCTTGAAGACGAATGAACACTTTGAGGGGTTCACCAATGAAAGCAAAACAGAAGGTTCAACAAAGACCAGCTACACCCCAACAGTCAGTTATAACAAGAACGCATAACAAAAATGCATGTAATCACTTCCTGTTTATTCCCACTAACTATAATGACATCCCTTTCTTTCTTTACTGGCTTAGAACAAAGAGCTGCTTGAAAGGGAAATGGAAAGAATTATAGTAAAAGAAAATTCTCTATCTGTGACTGCTAAATGTTTAAAGTTGAAAGATCTACAAGGACCCTCGAGATGTTGGAGCAAAATCACCAAGTTGGTACCAATTTCTACACTAATATATGTTTTTGTTTGATCACAATTAGCCATGTTAACTATCATTTGGGTACACCGCCTAATTCTGAAGAGGTTTTCATTATAATTTATTCTTTTGAGATGGTTCCGCCGGGTTCAGCCAATAGGAACTAGACTCTGTGAGGCTATGCATCAGGAAAGTAAGATAATTGACAAAGTAAAATCTGGCAACCACAGCCGCAATATGGCCGCAGTCATGAGCACTCTGATGTGTTCACTGCGCTGCATTCTGACATAACCTAGGACTTTGCAGTGGTACGTAACATTATTAGAGCCGAAGTGACAACCCAGGAAGTGAGCTAGAGGGGGCCGAGCTGGGGAAGTCCCAGGAGGTTGCCCATGTGACGGATCAGGAGCGAGCAGTTATGTGAGGCAGGGTGCACCATCCAGTCCTTCCACTTCTGCGCACTACAGCCTAAAGCACACAGCCGCTCCCACACAGGCGGCCTGCCTCAAAACTTTGCTCACTCACAGACGGATAGTGAATAACAGTATTATAAATAATAAAGGTATTCAAGAAAATATCCTTGTGCTTGTTTTGTGTTTGTTTCAAAGAGAGTGTGCCATGATTTCTTTTTTTTTCCGGCTAGACCTTGGTAGTATCAGGTTTAATATAGCATGCAGACAAAACTTGTTCTTCTCTTTCAGGTGCCTACTTCCAGAATATATTTTAGATTTTGGTTCAGTGATTCTTGGCAGAACACCCAGCCAAACGGTCCATATAAACAACAGTGGACCAGTGACTGTCTCATTAACAGCGAATCCCAAGGTTCTGGTTGGCACAGGTGTGTATGTTCAGGTTGTAGAATTCACTACATCACCCAAGAAACAATAATATATCTGTGTTAAAGGTTTTAGCATGGAGTTTGAAAAAGTCAAGGACCTGCCCTGTGGAGAAACGCATGACTTTACTGTAAAGTTTGATCCCAAAGAAGCTAAACTTCCTCTGGGCAGTGTGTGTGTTGTCCTGCCCATACAGGTACAGAAAAAGTATATGTGTATTCATCTATGCTGTCTGCAGTACTACTATTGTTCTTCTGATGTTTGAGTGTGGATTACTAGGTCAGGGGTGGCCCCACTGTTCAGGTGCAACTCTGTGCTGTGGTAACCAAACCGTGCATAACGGTTTCAACAGAAATACTTGAATTTGACACTATCATCTGTAGTATGTGCCAGGTAAGGTTTTACATGTGACAATGCAAGGGGAAAAAACACATTACTGTATGTTTTATCTTCTGGTTATGTCAACTGCATCCATCAAAAGTTCAATATAGGATGTTGTTATGACATTAACGTGATACATTATAACCTTTCCTTTTAGATCAAGGCAGTCCAGCTCTTCAATCATGAGTGTGTGCCCTGCCAATGGAGCATGGCTGAAGAAGTGAAGTTGAAGAAGGTATGACCTTATTAGGCACATTCATACTTATTCCTGAATGTCACCCTCATTCTCCTTTGCTCTAGGTAAATAAGTTTCTTCCTTTCTCCAAGCAAAAGCAACAGCGTCCACCAGTGGTATTTGAGATGGTACCCAGCTCTGGGGTGCTGTCTCCTGGCGAGAGGGTCAATGTTCTGGTCAAATTTACGCCATTAGAAGAGGTACAAAGACGCATTTAAAAACATCAATGTGTTATTCAAATGTGTCATCTGTACAATCATTTTGCAGGAATTTTACAGCAAAAATCTTGTAGTCAGTGTGGCTGAAAGCAGTCAGACAATAATGATCAAAGCACAGGGCCAGGGTGAAAAGCCACGACTGGACTTCCCAGCACAGGCATTTACCAAACCCTGTTTGCCTTATAGCACCAAAGTGGAAGCTAAGGTTATTGTACAAAACCCATGCTCATTTCCCATTGAGTTTTACTGTCTGGAGCACGACAAACAGTATCTTGAAGAGGAAAGGGTATGTACTAATTATTTTTATTTGGCGTATACATGGGTTCTAGAGTTCAAGCATGTTTTTGACCTGTACAAAAAAATGTTTGGCTCTTTTTGAAACATAACAAAAATATATCCTCACTAGACCTATTAGTTATTGCTCACACATCTGTCATCTGTGGAATAATCTACAGTAGATACTTATTTGACATTATGATTTTTGCACAAGCGTGCCTTTGGCTAACCACAATTAAAGATCATTCTGAGAAGTTCAGTTTGTACTTTTTGGAGAGTGTGGGGATCAATATTTGGTGTCACCACTTGCTAAGGTTGTTGATGTGGCCTGTCGAATGTTAGTCCACTCCTCTTCAATTGCTGTTGTATACAATGATCAGGGCATCCAAAACTTGCTCAATGTGCGGCACGATGGCGTGGATAGCACTCTCGCTTCTCAGCAAGAAGGTCCACGTAGATTTCCTTTGGGTGCTCTGGTTTTCCCTACCACTAAAAACATGCACAATAGGTATGAATGTAGATGAGAGAGTGAATGGATGGTGTTGATTGGGGGCTTTGATGCGCCAGTGTGTTTGGCGACTTGCTTCCGTCATCACCAGGTGTGGTGTATTGGAACAATATCTGAACTTTGTAAAGCGCTTTGGGTGACCGTGGTCTGTAAAATGCGCTATATAAATAAGCATTACTTACTTACTTACAATGGGTGACATGTTTGGTGAGTATGCTGGCTATGGCTTGTTTTCAGATGACGTGTTTTCTTCAGGGATGAATCTTGTTTTTGATTGTTTATGACAGATGCAAGACATTGTGTGTGGCGTTGTGTGAGTGGAATGCAGGTGCATTTTATTGAAGGCATTTTGAATGCAGAGATTCCATTTGGAGATCCTGAGTCCCATTGTTGTACTATTCATCAACAACCATCACCCAATGTAAGGTTGCAGGCTGCAAGAATATTGATATTAATAACGCGGATCTGTTCACAATACAGCTTAACTGAACTGGCATGTTGACATTTGGACATTGCCAGAACTCTATTCCACATTTTAGCTGCATGCATACTGACTCTGGGCATCAACAGTTTGGGTGACTGAATGTTTGAGCTGCAGGTTAGCAAATCAAATCCTGCTTCTGACATAATCATTGTTGGTTAAGCATGAGCAGTCAGATTGACTGACAAGGAAGTTGGCTCCTATTGGTGAATATGTGCTTGGTCAAGACATTCAACCCAAACGCCCCTAGCGTCTGTGTAATTATGAATGTGTGTGTGTGTGAATGAGTGAAGGGCTCCTTCATGTGAAGTGCTTTGACTTTTGGTAGAAAAGGATGAAATAAATGTCACCAATATACTTTATATTAATTTCTTATGGCTAACATTTGATGCTTGTACACGGGAAGAGCAACAGGATTAATGTTCTCGTACTTCCTGGAAATAGTTAGGAATGGAGTTGCATCATTTCACATCATTTCAGAATATAAAGCAGCTGAGCTCAATAAACAGAACTATTGCAGGTTACAATACAGTCTTGCTCTTGCATATTGGCAAAAACAGCGATTTGATGTTAATCCGAAATTGGTTGTGATAAAGATAAAGATAAGATTATACATGTACTGTTTAAAAAAATTATTTTGGCCAATTTCAACACTCAACATAAACTACACATAACCTGATTAGTTGCTAGTTAGACACAAACGTTAACGTTTGTTTGCTATGAGCACAATATAAGTAATGATGCTGTATGTCAAACAATTTTCTTTTGCACTATACTTGCTCCTTTTTATTATCACTATTTTAAAATTAAGGTCAAGCTATTCTTAATTGTCTACTTTTTGTGTAGATACTCCGGCTGATGCAAGGTTATGATGAAAACAACAAATTACTACTTCCCCCAAGAATCCCTGGCGAAGGACTCCCTCAAGAACTGCTAGACTTCTATCAGCATCATGCCTCAGACTTCACAAACAATGGCATTTTGGGGAAATGTAATAATACCAGTTACATTTGTATCACAATTGTAAATTACTGAAACGGCAATATGTGTCTCCTTGCAGACAATTACACAGAGTGTGATAAGCAGATGTTGCAAACTGGCAATATAGGATATAAGAAAGCCTCTACAGCTCTGGAGAAAGCTGAAATTTGTAAGTAATATATGTATATATATATATATATATGTATATATATATATATATATATTAGGGCTGTCAAACGATTACAATTTTTAATCCAGTTAATTACAGCTTAAAAATTCGCAATTAATCGCATTTCGAACTATCGACAAAATGATGCCATATTTTTCTGTAAATGGTTGTTTGAATGGAAAGATACATGCCAACATAGTGTACTTATGTACTGTATTTACAGTACATATGTAAAAATACAGTACAAATACAGTACATACAGTTGCGAAAGTATTCGGCCCCCTTGAACATTCCAACATTTCTCCACATTTCAGGCTTCAAACAAAAAGATATAAAAAATTTATTTTTTGTCATGAATCAACAACAAGTGGGACACAATCCTGAAGTGGAACGAAATTTATTGGATAATTTAAACTTTTTTAACAAATAAAAAACTGAAAAGTGGGGCGTGCAATATTATTTGGCCCCTGTACTTTCAGTGCAGCAAACTCAGTCCAGAAGTTCAGTGAGGATCTTTGAATGATCCAATGTTGTCCTAAATGACTGATGATGATAAAGAGAATGCACCTGTTGTAATCAAGTCTCCGTATAAATGCACCTGCTCTTTGATAGTCTCAGGGTTCTGTTTAAAGCGCAGAGAGAACCATGAAGACAAAGGAACACACCAGGCAGGTCCGAGATACTGTTGTGGAGAAGTTTAAAGGCGGATTTGGATACAAAAAGATTTCCCAAGCTTTAAACATCTCAAGGAGCACTGTGCAAGCAATTATATTGAAATGGAAGGAGTATCAGAGTATCAGTATCATGGTTTGGGCCTGCTTTTCTTCAGCAGGGACAGGGAAGATGGCTAAAATTGATGGGAAGATGGATGGAGCCAAGTACAGGACCATTCTGGAAGAAAACCTGTTGGAGTCTGCAAAAGACCTGAGACTGGGACGGAGATTTATCTTCCAACAGGACAATGATCCAAAACATAAAGCTAAATCTACAATGGAATGGTTCACAAATAGATGTATCCAAGTGTTAGAATGGCCAAGTCAAAGTCCAGACCTGAATCCAATCGAGAATCTGTGGAAAGAGCTGAAGACTGCTGTTCACAAACGCTCTCCATCCAACCTCACTGAGCTCGAGCTGTTTTGCAAGGAAGATTGGGCAAGAATTCCAGTCTCTCGATGTGCAAAACTGATAGAGACATACCCCAAGCGACTTGCAGCTGTAATTGCAGCAAAAGGTGGCGCTAAAAAGTATTAGCGCAAGGGGGCCGAATAATATTGCACGCCCCACTTTTCAGTTTTTTATTTGTTAAAAAAGTTTAAATTATCCAATAAATTTCGTTCCACTTCACGATTGTGTCCCACTTGTTGTAGATTCTTGACAAAAAAAATAATTGTTATATCTTTATGTTTGAAGCCTGAAATGTGGCAAAATGTTGAAAGGTTCAAGGGGGCCGAATACTTTCGCAAGGCATTGTATGTACTGTATTTGTACTGACTCAGACCAAAACTATTGTTTGTTACAGATGAGGGACATTTCAAAACAGTCTGAAATTCAGAATGTCATTAAATCTGTTTGATTTGCTCACACCATTACTTTTGGGCGCAACCAACATGAACTGGTAGTGGAAGGAAAAATTAGGTACCCCAGCTTTAATTTAGCGAGTGCGCTTCGGGAGACTGAGGCTCCGTTGTCCAACTTCTGCGCTGTATTTTTTGTGTGCATGCATCCCATAATAACACTCAGAATGGAAAAATTTATTAACGCGCGTTAACACGATAATTTTGACAGCCCTAATATATATATATATATATATATATATATATATATACACATGAACTGTACATTCTTCACCAGGCTTCTGAGAGTACAGTATGTGTGCTTGTTGCAGTGCTTTCAGAAATTAACAAGGGGTTACATAAAGAACTAGGTCAACTTCAGTTGGACCCAGTCTCCAGAGCCATCACCCGCCACATGGGTCTTGACCTATCTCCAGAGAGTCTGGCTGCACTCAACCGGAGGGGTATCGCTATTATTGTGTATGGAGCTCCAAAGACAGGTGAAACAATGCACAAAGTGAAATGTACTATTTTTAATTTGAATTAATACAACTCATTTAAAATGCATGTATTTAATTCAAAAACTGTATCCCAATGTATGTCTTCCAAAGATATAGGGAGCACAGCAGTGTCTCTGGCCCAGTACTACGGTGCAATGTTACTAAGTATTGATGCTGTAGTGACTGAAGAGTTGCTAGAAGGGACTTCACAAGCAGCACTGGCTGCCAGACAGCTGCTTGAACAGGCTGCTGCTGAAATTTCCAAAAGTTTAAGAGACACATGTAAGTTTACTTGGATTATGTCAGAAATGTTTAGTTCTTCCGCTTATTAATGATAATGTTGACCTAAGCTAAGCCTTTGGAAAAGACAAAAAAAAATGAATCTGCAGGGGCAGAAGTCGTTGATAAATCATCAAGCTCTTCTTGCAATGGAGAACTGAGAGACACCAAGACTGATAAAATTGCTTTACTCTTGGTAAGTCAATCAATTCACTAATTGATTATTATTAATAGACAGAGTAATTCTATTATTTAGGGAGGAGACATGACATCACTCAAAACGCTTCTGCCTGAATCTGTGCTGATTGACATCTTAACGGAAAGATTTCAAGTAGGTTTGACATTTCTGGTACTTTTAATTCAAAAATACAAACCATTTTCAAAATGTTCTTCATCCGAGATTTTTTGTTGGAAGTTTTAACAAGCTTTGAGCCAATTATCAACATATCCTCTCAGATCATGGCTTGAGTATTTTACTTTGTGTGTAATGAGTCTTTCAAGAAGAAATTTGCATTTAATTACAGTAAGTAATCAGAATTAATTCAAGTACTTTACACCTGTATTCTGTAGCTGCCGATGGAACTGACAGAAACAGCAGCATGAATTCTTACTGAATGAAGGAAGCACTGGAAATGCTTCCAAATTTTAGTTAAGGGCTAATATGTAGAATGTTGGGGCAAGTCTATCCATCTGATTGAATCCGTTTCAGCAGCATTTTACTTTCTGAAGACAAAACTGAGGAGCAAAACCCATAAACAAGCAGAATATAAACATCATTGCATAGAGGTCTAGTACCAGGGATGAAACTCAGCACCTGGTGATGTCCATGCCCTTGAGAATTCAGACTGTACTGTAATTACTGCATTTTTTTCTTTGTCCCTATATGTTTGGACACTCAAAAAGTAGCAGGCATACAGTATATAAGCAAGGTTATAATGATACTGCCTTTATAATGTTACATAACTTCAAATATTTTGTTTCCATAACTTATATTCCTTCTTCTTAGTCAAGTGATTATCGTCGTGGCATAGTGATCGATGGACTGAAGTCTGTTTTCACTGCAACAGTTGCACACACTCTGCAAGTTCTCCTCAAAGTTCTCAACAACAGGAAGCACATATATGTCATTAACATATATGATTCCTACTCTGCCCTGCAGAACAGAGAAAAAGAACAAAAAGATGCTGAAGGTAGGTTAAATTAATTTTTCTATAAGACTATCACAGCACACTTTGTAACTTTCGCCACCACATGGTTCTCTCAGAGGCTCAGCAGCAGGACATGGCTAAACATGAAAAACTGTGGCTTCAGGAGTTGGATGAGGATGAGTATGATGCTTTGCCAGAGGAGAAGAAACACATAATTGAGCAGCACAGACTGAGGCTTGCAAAAGACCAAATAAGAATAAGAATATCCAAGGAGCAAGAGCAGCAGAGGCAGCTGGAGGACTCAAAACGGCACGTCGAGGAGCAGAAGAAAAATTATAAAAAAGGCTTAAAGAAGGACCCTTCAAAAAAAGAAGTAAAAATAGTTTGTGTAAGCATTTTCATCTTTTCATACTCTTTGAATACAATTTGTGAAGACGTTCTTTTATCTGCAGCCTAATGAAATAGCTAATCAACTAATGTCACGACAGAACTCCAAAGAGACACTTGGCGAAAACAAACTTGTGAAAACGTTCAAAGATGGCCCAAACAACTGTGAGCTTAATGATGGTTAAGGAATTTCTGGATGTTGAGTATTATGTGTTGATTGGAATCACAAGCATAACCACTTTCATTCAAAAATGTATTGTTTCTGTTTTTTTATGTTGGTTAACAAAGACGCTAATCACGATCAAACAGAAGAGACAAAAGAATCTCCTATAAATGCTGAAAAGCTGGACATATACAAGGTATATATCTATTTATATAATACACCATTATTTCAGGTTGTTGAAGACAATTTGCTTACTTTTTGTTGTTTAGTTGTCAGTAGATGAGTTACAGACTGAGTTCATTGCATTCGAGCAAAGTCAAGTGCAGGTGGAGCACATTCTACAGCACTGGGACCGTGTCCAGGGCGTCCTGCTGGTGCCCTTCCCAGTAGACGACCTGCCAGGAGATGAAGAAGGCATGCCTGAAAAAATAGTAAACTACAAATTCATTTAAATTGCATATCATAATCAGTATTGTATCATGTCTGCAAAACAACACAACCATATCTATGTTACTTCAGACCCCTGTAGGAAAAGGCAAGGGCAAGAAAGCTAATTACAAAGTTTCGAAATACAGTCAGATTGAAAATACGGAAGAGAAATTGTGTCCAACTGATGTCATACCACATATTGTGGTAAACGCCATGGAGAAAGACTGCACTGTTTTCCCAAAGCCTTTGCCTTCACTAGAAGAGGTATTATTGTGATTTCAAATATCCCGTCCCTTGGTTATACTGTTATTCTGTAATTTATTTAGTAATTTATTTATTTTTTTAGGTTTTGGATGAACTGGGATTAGGTCCAAGTGGTCCACCTATTCCTCCTTCTGCTATTTTTTCTTTAGCTTCATTTCCCCCAAATAGAATTCTGAGTCAGCTAAACAACAAATACTTCACATTTCTAGATCCTTCTGAGCAAGATGAGCAAGAAAGTGATTCTTTACGTTGGGATATACCACTTCCAACAGTAAGTAAAGTTTGTCATGAAATAATTTAATAAAATATGTATTCTAAATTAAATGTGCTGTAAAGCAAAAGGCCCCAAAAAAAGGATGTGGCTTAAAAGATCCTCAGCCACTAAAAGACAAAAAGGTCAAAGAGGCCACAAAAGTAAGTGGGAAAACTTCTCGCAACACATCATCTGTGACTTCACTGTGCAACGAAGACCAACATCAGCTGAACGTCGAGCTGAAACGCAACCAGAGGCAAAGAATGCACAGTCTATAAAATTGGATGTCATCTGTATTTTTGTTTTTATGTTTTACATTTTTATTGTCCAGTTTGACTAATTTCCGCTGGATTGTACCTGCTAATGGAGAAGTCACCTTGAGGATCTGGTTCTACTCAGAAACCCCAGGGATTTTTGAGCAGAAATTTAGCTTTGAAATGGCTGGCACCCAAACACAATGGCAGCTTCTATGTAAAGGAATGTGTTCATATCCCTGTATCAGCAAAGATTACATGTCAGTATAGATCATCTTTAATATTACATATATATTTTTAATTGTCTTTTTAATGCAATTGTATCACACATTTTCTCCCAGGACTCTTTTTCCATACAGTAAAAAGGTACAACTTGTAAAAGACGACCTCCACAAAACATACGTTATTCATCCTGGGTATTTTGAGTTTGGACCCTTGCTCTGCAGCAAAACAAGAGACAGGTAAACAAAAAAAATTCAAAGTTGGAATGTTTCTTAAAATATTTCTATGCTTTGTGTTTCTTTTGTTTTTTAGCTACAAAGAAAGCAAGTATCCCAATAATATGGAAACACTTGTCATCAATAACCCATCAGGAATGGATGCTGAAATTCAATTCAGCTTCAAAAACGACACCCAGGCCACAACTTATCTTCTGGAACCTCCAAGTATGACTCTGAAACCAGATGAAAGTCAGGTGAATTGTCTTCCTATAGTTTCCAAGGAAAAGTGTGAAGTATCTTCACATTTGTGTTTGTTTTTTTTTTGCTTAGGAGTTAAAGTTATGGGCCTATCCAACTAAAGTGGGACAAATAAAGGACAGCATCGTGTGTCATATTAAAGATAACAATGAGCCGGTGGTTATTGATGTTTCATGCTGGGGAGTTCGGCCAGAGTTGGAGCTCGATACCAAAAGTCTGCCCTTCGACAAAACTATTATACACAGGTACAAATATTAATACTACACTGTATTGTGTCAATTACGGGGAATGACAATAGAGTGTTTGCGTTTTTAGACGTGTCAGTCGGACACTGAACATGCACAATAAAACCGCCGTCCACGTGTCCTGGAGGTTGCAGGGGATAGACGACCTCGGGGACTCGTTCATTGTGCCACAAGACCAGGGCATTGTCCCACCGTATTCAACGTTTCCTTTAACTTTGCACTTTCGAGCAAAAAAGCCGTTACACACTAAAAAGACAGTCCGCCTTGAGGTGAGAATTCAAAGCTACACATTGCAAATTGCCAGTATGGTCCAACTCAAGTTCTTGCCGATTCTCATTTTGAATATAGGTTTCAGATGTGGAGAAAATTTTGGGCATTGTTCATACTGAGAATATTACCGTGTCAGCTGAGGCCTATGATGTATCAATCAATATTGAACCAGGTAGTAACGCTTATCATCTTTCTAAAATTGAGCATACTTGGTATGAAAATGTATGGTATGTCCAACATGATTTGACCCTAAGCAAGTGTTTTTTCTCTCTTCATCTTTGACAGATTCCCTGGATTTTGGAACCATGAAAGTCTTTAGTGATGCCAAGACAACACTCAAGATACAAAACCATGGAAAATATGAAATAGCGTACCGGTAAGGCCTGTTTTATGTTCTCACTTACTCTAGAAAGAACATTGAGCCTAATGTGTGTCTGTGGTGTTTTTTTCAAGTTTTACGCTTGATACGACGAATCCAAAACTACCAAATGTAGATTCACTTTTCTGCATTTCACCCCAAAGTGGAAAAGTTATGCCTCATGACAAGTCAGTAGCTGTCCAGATAATCTGCAAACCAAAGACAGATATCCGCATCAAAGAGAAACCAATACTTCACTGTCATGTCAGCTTTTACACTACATACTGTATCAAGTGTACATTATTTTTAGTAGTTTTACTACTGTTGAAAACTAAATATATTTTGTTTTACAGGTTATTGAACCTAATATTGGAGAAAGAGGTGAAACTATTGTCACTTTCGTAACCAAGGTTTCAATTCAAGCAGTCTTCTCAAGGTCATCACTAATGTTATTTATAAAGTGGTTAAATTTGAATGTACATCTGAGTTTGACCTAACCATTTGAATGTGTGCCTCCAGGTACAGAATCACTCCAACCTGTGACATTAACTTTGGTCCCCTCATTTTTGGAGGCAAGAAAACTAAGCCGTTCATTATTGAGAACACTGGAGTGTTTGAGACTCGCTTTTCGATCTCCTGCATGATTGCACAGTCCCCTGAGAGGTCAGGATGAGTTCACAGACACACATTCTTGCACAGTTAGAATGGCTATATATATATATATATATATATATATATATAACGTATATGTTCATCGAAAATGTTATTAAATGTGTGACTACATTTTAATTTAAGGGGTAAGAAGCCGCCCTTGGACTTAACAAACAGACACAATGCTGTTGGTGGCAAAGTGAAACCTGAGTATATGCAAAAAGATATGTGCATAGCACAGGTAGGCCTGCACGTGTAAGTCTACTGTTTATGTTGTCATGGTGCTCACATACTGTAGAACAAAATATTTGGTGTTTTTAGACACGGCTGACGGCGGGGGTGTTCTCTGTGTACCCCTGCACTGCAGTGGTGCTGCCTGGCTCCCAGCAGGTGGTCACTGTTGAATGTAGCGGGGATGAGTTGGGAAGCTTTGACCAGGGATTGATCATAGACATATGTGACCGTGACCCCTCAGACCATCCTGATGGAATACCATACAAACTACTGGCTGAAGTATACAAGACAGGTATCAAGTTTAAGAAACATGTGGCTTTCTATTCAAGAATAAAATTATATTATTTATATATATATATAACAAATTGGATTATCCCAGTACAATTCAAGCTAGCTGTAAGCCATACCGCAATAGAAATTGTATTACATTGTTACAATAATGTTTTTTTTTTTTTTTTTTTTCTGCATATGTGACTTTTTGCTGCATTACCTTTCAGGCATTCTTCTGGACCCGACCTCCATCTTTGAAGAGCATGTTATATGTCATAGCAGCCATCAATTATCCTCAGAGCTGTTTGCAAATGCTAACAGTGTTTACGTCACAGAAGAAAAAAAGTTCTATTTTAACAAGGTTCTAGTGGGACAGACTGCAAATGCACGCTTCAAGCTTACAAATAACTCTAAAATACCTTGCAATCTAAATGTTGCTATTAGATCAATTGGTCCAAAAATTGATAAGGTGATTGCTCTATAGCATAGGTGTTTTCATATTTTTGTATATGCAATGATTTACCACATTTATCTTTCATCAGATACAAATTCATGAGGAAATCTTGAATGTATATCCTATGACTTTGTTGATACCTGGTCAGTCACAATGTTTTGCTGAGGTAACCTTCACTCCGCTTGCAATGACAATTTTTCATGGGGTATTTGAGGCCACAATGGATGGAGGCAGCAGGTATGGTATTATTTATTTTTTTCATCAGGGATTTATTTACAAATACATACTGTATCTCTTCCTATTTTAGAGGGACACCCACACCTAAAATCAAGATGCTGGAGTTTGATATAATTGGGGAAGGGGTACTGCCAAATGTACAAGTGATTCATCCTACCCTTAAAAACAGTTCTGGTGATCCACTGATGCAGTTTAGAAATTCTTTGATTGGACAAAGAAAAACACAGAAATTGGTACTATTAAATGATGGGAATGCTCCAGCTCAAGTAAGATTCAATGTAATTATGCAACCAACACAATGTTTTACTGATTTTAACATGAATACAAAATCTTTGTGTTTTCATCATGGATGTAATTTAGCTTCAGATTGATATGCCTGACAAAGATGGAGTGTTTACTCTCAATGCAGCCCCGGGTAATGATTGCTGTTCTATCAGCACTGTAATCCTTGAGAGTAGCGCTGATGCAGGTACTCTAAAATATTCAAGTAAATTTTAACTCCTTGTTGTTTCCAAATTACAGATATGTTATGTGTTTTTAGAACCTCAGTCTGCTTATAGAACCCTTGCCCATCTAAATGTTAAGGAGAAAGTTGAGTTCGAAGTTAGCTTTTGTTCCACAAAGGACCAAAAATGTCATACCAATGTGTATATCAAGGATTGCCAATACATCGACCTGATCATATCTGTCACTGGAGAGGCCAGCAAAGAAATCGTCTCGCTGGAAAATATCACAAGACCGTTACTTGAAACTGATCAAATTGCCAAGAATGGTTAGTATGTTAAAGTGAAATGTATCATAATTTGTCTTGAACCTTTAACAATATAGCTTAAAATGTATATGATTGGCTAATAGGAACTTACGAAATGGATTTTGGTGACTGCCATGTGAATGCGACATACCAAGAAAGCTTCACTATGGTAAACCACAGCAGAGACAAAGGGCTGAGGTTTGAATGGGCTCTTCCTGCACCACAAGTCAGATTTTCTCCACAGGTAAAAGACTGAAATGTTCCTTTTCTATTTTACTGAACAAACCTACTGAATCAAAGTGATGCATAAACATGGAGGACAATGCTTTCTTCCAGGAGGGCTATGTTCACCCCGGATGCTCTGTGGAGGTGGTCGTCTCATTCTGCTCCAGCCAGCCCATCACGCTGACCAGTAAGCCGATGAAATGTAAACTGACTCAAGTAGTGTTCAAAGAGCCTCTGGAGCTCTGTGATGACCAGCAGAAGACACCGCTGTTGTGTGCCACACCATCACCACTGCCTGCAAACAAAGTCTGTTCATCAATTTTACATACTCACATAGCTCTTTTGCCTCACTGACCAATTGGCTCTTTTATTCATTTTCTACGCAGGTTATAAAATTGGCACCAGACCCAAGCTATTCTGTGGTTGATGGCTGGCATTTGGACCTCGAATTGAGAGTCAGTGCGGTATGCGACTTTGCCAAGTTTAGTTTCAGCAACGGCATTGTCAAATTCGAAGACACAATGCTTTATCAAACCAGTCTACAAAGGTAAGTCAGACTCTTTACTTTATGTTTATTGTCCCAGTAAAAGCGCTCATAATTAAATTCAGCATTTTTATAGTTTGCTGATATCGAACGAGGGCAACGTTGGGTTGGCATTTTCGTGGACAGTTGATTACGCACATATCGCAGGTTCAATCATATCAGGATTATTTCATGTTTATATTCATTCCGTTGGATCTGAAGGGTCTGAATGCTATGTGTAATGCCTCGCAGACGAGACAGTCACAAATGGTTCGAGCTCTGGATCCTCAAACGCTGAGACTCGTCCTTCCAGTACTACCGCGAGTGTGGTGTCATTATTGAGAATCAACCCGGAACTTGTCCCTTTCACTGTGGAACCAAGTAAAGGAATGATAAAACCCTGGGCCACGCAAGAGTTTACCATCCTCTTTTCCCCATTGGAAGTCTCCCAGTTTGAAGGCACCATTAAATGCAGGTAAATGTTAACAAATCTGTATTTTATTTTGCTTTTTTTGGTTGATATAATTTGATCCTTACGATTTTGCACCATGATGTTTTTCAAGCCGTGCCTGTTTTTGTGTTTTCCTTAGTATACAAAACTTGCAGAAAAAGGATCAGCCTCCCTCTGTCTCAGTGTTGCGGTCGCAGCATGATGCCAAACTACCACTTTGACCTTGAGGACTCAGACTACATCAGAGGAGGGCGTCGAAATTTTGAGTCTAAAATTCCCATCGACTCCCAGACAAGAGTTGTTGAATTCATTGCTGTTGGTTTAGCTAAAAAATCAACAAGGTGATCCACATTTTAAGTATTCAAGTGCATAAATGGGTAATTGTTTTATAATGCACGCTCCCTTTTTGCAGAAGTTTCTTTGTGTTGAACCCAACCAATATATCCTACTCCTTTAAGTGGAGATGTGAGGATACAAGTGAAAGCTCATTCCAATGCCTCACTCCCAGTGGAATTCTTCAGCCCAAGGAGAAAGCAGAGGTCACTATAGGAATATCAACATATATGCATACCTCATTATTTTAAACTGTTCTGTGTGCTTGCAGATTCGTTTGGCATTCGTGTCTGAGCAGATGGATATTGTGGAATCGCTATGGAGCTTTGTGATTGATGCTCTATCAGTGTCCGTTCCATTTCTGTTTGTTGGAATTACCAGAGCACCACGTGTCTATCTTGAGAAAGCCCTGATCAACTTTAAGAGTTTGCTTGTTGGTATGTGTAGAGTCATGGACCTGGCTACTTAAGTTATAGTATGAACAATACAGCTGTAATGATTGTTGCATTCTCAGAAAATGAGGCAGAGGAAACAGTACATTTATTTAATGGAGAGGATGAGTCTTTCGACTTCTCAGTTTTGCAGCAGTCTCTTGTATGTGATGATAAGCTTTCCAGCCTCGCTGTGCAGCCCATGAGTGGCTTTCTACGGCCGTAAGAAAGGTTACATTTACATGTTACCCAAACACTTCGACACACAATATTTTACATCTCTCAAACTTCATTCCATGTTTATGTTTGCATGAGATCTATTATGACTATGATTTATTTTCTTTTGTAGGTGTCCACTCTCTTTATCTTTTGTCCCTCATCACGAAGGCTATTTGAGCTTTAGAGTATTTCTAAAAGTGAAAAGGATGCTTGAGCCACTCGCCTTAATGGTTAAAGCGGAATGTTTTTTCATGGGAACACTTGTTCAAGTTCAAAATCCGACTGGTGGTTTGAGAGAGCTCAGACCTAACCACGTTGACAGCCTTGAGTTTCAAAAGGTCAGAAAACTGCATTATCTTCACAATATGCTCAGGTGAAAAGTTTCTGCCAACCATTTCTGCCTGTATTTGGTCAGGTTGGGATTTCAGAGCAATCCTCTTTCCTCTTCCTGGTACTGTATCTAACCTTGCACAATGTGAGCTCTACATCACTTTGGAAATCGCAGGTGCCAGTAACCTGCTGCAACACTTAAAGCTTGAGCCAAAGCATGCAACTGTAGAGGTCGGGAAGCAGCTGCAATTCTCCTTTTTCTTTTGTCCTCTACAGATTTGTAACCTTCAAGATGTTAGACTGAGTATCAAGGTGAACTATGTGTACCCGAACCTCCTCATAAAACTATACATCTGTTTAAATTGTGTATTCATTTCAATTGGAAACATATTTAAACATTATCATTGTTTATTCCGTCTGCCAGGTGAAGAATGGAGCCTCTTTTACGATAGATGTAAAAGGTCAAGGGACTGCGCCAAGCCTTAACTTTTCATTCACCAAACACAATTTTGGAAAGTGCTTGGTTCGCAGCCCAGGGATGTTCTCGCACTCGCCATCAATAACACTAGTGATCACCAATAAAGGCAAAAGGAAAGTCAGGTAGGTCCTTGTACTGATAATGTTGATTTAATTCTATTGCTGGATATTTTAACATGGTTGTATTATGTGTTAACAGTATCCAATGCCTGTTTGAGAACACTTCTTACCTACATGTAGAAATTGGCTTCCAATCCAGCATTTTAGCCTCAGTTGCAGACTTGAAAATTCCCATCACATTTTGTCCCCAAGAGGAATGCTGCTACAAGGAAAAGCTGGACTTTGTCCTTAACAGCGGCATCACCAGACAAGTGGATATTCTCGGACAGGGCATAGAATTAAAGGTGAGGACAGGTACAGATGTCAGTGTGAAGCAGTGGGATGAACAGTCGATATGTCAAGGAGTATTCAGATCAACATCTGAATACAATATCCTGAACTCCAATGCAAACATGTTGACTAAAATGAAATATAGAAATGCTATATGCTACTTCATTATTTTTATCTCATGCTATCATTGTCTGTCACTGTCAGTGATGTTTACTTCCATGTACATGTTCTCTTCTCTAGCTGGAAGTACAAGACCCAAAACACAAAGTAATCGACTTTAGATCACTGACACTTGGCAAGAAAGTAAAAAAAGCTGTTGTTTTGGTCAACCGCAGCTCAGTCAACCTTTCGTTTTCTCTTCATCTCAACTCAGACCCTCCATTGAACCCTCAGGTACTAAAGGCGCAAACACACACAAAAGGTAATTTCTACAAATTGAAATTATTGTATTTTTTTTTTTTTAACTCTGTCTTTAGGATCTTTTTGTTACTCCAATTGGACAACTTAGCCTAAAAGCAGGCAAATCATGCGTTGTGGAAGTCCACTTCCATCCCAGACAGCATGTTTTTACTGTGGAGATGCAGGCTGAAACAAGAGGCTTGTTACACCCCCTGCTGTCCATCAGAGGGTCGTGTCAGGTTGTATTCAGTGTTCATAAAACATCGATAGTGAATGATTTACTCTGTGAAATACAAACCTCTTCTTCTGCCCTTGTGTCTAACAAACAGGGTGTAGAGGTTCACTTGGATCAGAACAATCTTGCATTTGGGCCTTTAGTTCAAAATTGTAAAACCAGCAAAAAGATTGCCATGATGAACACTGGTGAGATCAGTGCGAAGTAAGTCATGTTGTCTTAAGCTAGATTTATATTCCAGACATAGATGTGCCTTGCGCTCATTTACTGTTCATGTGGAACATAATCGTCTCTTCATTTTGTGTTGTGTCCCTTGAGTTACTTCTTCCTTCCTTCTCAAGGTTTTGTTGGAAAACAGAGAATTTCCCTACTCCATTATGCATTAATCCAACCAAAGGCTCTTTGAAAGGTTTTCTTTGAAGTTGTCTTTGCCCCAGTGCAGCTCTGTGATGATTGTAGATTCGAGAATTTGCCTTGTATTGTGGAGGGTCGCAGCTCACCCTTAACTCTTACTGTTACTGGCTCCTGTGTAATGGCCTCTGACAAAGAGGTAAACATACTCATTCTACTCTAACTACTTACTTTGTATGATTTCATGAGGCAACCGGTGATAGCTGACAATCATTGAGGGATTAACACTAAATCATGATTTGACTTTTCTTCTTATTTGCAGGTGGTAAACTTCATCTGCCCAGTGCGTAGCTCTCACACCCAGAAGCTCTCAGTACTGAACCCTACCAACCAGAGCTGCACTGTCAAACCTGTGATTGAGGGGGAGCAGTGGAGAGGTGCCCCAGTCATAGTACTCGAACCGCTTCAGAATATGATGTTTGAAATCACATATTGCCCTCTCACTATGACTACTGACAGGAAAAAACACCTGGTATAAAGCTACATCTTACACACCGTCCTAATTAATAACATGGCACATCTATAATACTAAATAAATTTCCCAGGGGTCTGTGTTTTTCTCCTTTGTCGATGGAACTGGCCTCCTCTATTCCCTCCAGGGAACAGCTGAAGCACCAAAGACTGGGGACACTATTGTGCTCGAGCTGCCTGCCAAAACTCATCACACAGAGCTCCTTCCAGTGCACAACTGGCTTCTGAAACAACAACAGTAAAATAAATATTATTACCTGGTCTAGTTAACCTATGAATACTAGCAGTCCACTGTGTTTGCCACGCCCTTTTGCTACTATATCATTTTGCATTCTTTGATCAAGCTTTAGCATATTGTGTTGTTGACATAAATAGCATTTTCAAAGTTTAAACATGTTTTTTTGGTGCAAAATATTTTATTCCAATATTTGATACCATTTTTGTTTTTAGATTTTGTGTTCGGTTGGAGTTTCTTAAGCCAGACAAGCCTGATGCTACAGTGTCCCTCAGTGGACTGGACGTCATAGATGTTCCTGCTTTGACCAAAAAAGACTACAAATTGTCCTTTCACGCATATAAGACGGGTCAATACAAAATCAAGGTTGAAACTTTTACATACTTTGAATTTGTTTTCCAGTTTTAAAAAAACAAAAAACAAGTCATCTCACATGTCGTATCTCACAAACTTTAGGTGACATTTCATAATGAAGAATCTGGAGAATATCTGTTTTACCTCATCACTTTCAAGATCACGTCTTCAGTCCACGTTCAGTCCACTATAGAGCTGGTGGTGACATTTCATAATGAAGAATCTGGAGAATATCTGTTTTACCTCATCATTTTCAAGATCACGTCTTCAGTCCACGTTCAGTCCACTATAGAGCTGGTGACTACTGTTCGCCAACCAGTTTCAGCGACAGTCCACACAGAGAACCCGCTTCCCACAAATGTGTGTCTTACCACGGAGTGTAAATGTGCTGATATCAGTGTGCCTCTCCACCACACTGTCCCGGGACACTCCAAAGTACGTATTTACTATTCTGTCATGTGTTTTCCGCTACTGTTCAGAAAATGTCATGAAATTATCTGTGCTTTTCAAGGATTCACTGACCTTTGAGTACCTGCCTTTGCATGTGGGTAAGACCACAGCTCGCCTAACAGTGAGCTGTAATAAATTGGGGTCTTTTAACTATGACCTGCTTCTTCGAGCTTTGTCGCCACCTTTGGAGAAAGTGGTTCATTTTAGTGCATCTCTCGGGACCAGTCACATCAGTCACTGTCAAGTTTACCAACTTTTCCCGCACCAGGACCGAATACTCTTGCAAGGTGTGAACAGTTTGAATCGTAAAGTGTTCGTAGTGTTGCAATTTAAAACGTAATTGTCATTGCTTCAGACCGATTATCCAGATTTCCTTGTTGACAAGAAGGTGACTGCAGCGGCGGGGTTGCAGTCAGGCTCCGAGACCAGTGTTGATGTGTGTTTTGAGCCTCACCAGCTGGGAGAGGTGAAAACCCAACTGACACTACACTCTCCTGCTGGAGGTGAATACATATTTCCACTACATGGAGTGTGTGACGACCCCAAACCACAGGGACCCTTCTACATTGCTGCAGGACAAATTGTACATATTCCCTTCAAAAATGTGTTTTTGCAAAACACTATATTTACTTATAAGGTATGACCCTTTTAATTCATACAACATAGTAGCATAATCGCTTATTCAACACATTTGTTATATTGTCTTCTTCTCCTAGGTGAATAACCCATCATTTACAGTGAAAGGACCAGAGACAATAAGATCCAAAAGTACAGAGAAGGTCCTGGTGTCCTTTGGGTCTCCACCAGAAGGTGGTTCTGGGTCATGGTTTGGCAGGTTGACCATCTCAAGTGAGCCCTCTGATGTCCACACCAAGTCCTGCTCTTGGACATTCTACCTGAACGGATTCAGACCGGTCACTCCTTAGAATATTTGTAAAAGTGGCGTCCCAATGTATATGTACACAAACATATAACACTTTCATAAATGTCATATTGATAAAAGTGGCAAGTTTCTTGATAAATGATATAAGTGAAACAATTTTGAAGGTGAGATTTGACTTTGAGATAAACAAAAGATAAGGCCTTTGATTTGGGATATTTAGTCATACAGAATGGGGGAATATAAAAGTTTCCACACGGAGGCAGCATTGTCTCGTTTTAGAAAACCCTGCGAAGTGCCGTGGGGCAAGCATCAGTTATGCACTACTCAAATCTGGCCATTATGGACTTGTGGCAAATAGAATGAGCATTGTGGAAATAACGCCATAAGAAGCCACGTGGAGGACACATCCAACATTTGAAAGAAGATGCTGTGGTCTGATGAGACCATAATGGAACCGTTTGCCTAAATGCAACACAGTGTATGTGTGATCAATCAATCAATCAAATGTTATTTATAGAGCGCTTTTCTTACAAAACACACACACACACATATAAAGTCACATCACATCATAAATGGGAAACGAACACTGCTCTTTATACTCACACCACCCCTTACGGGTCTGCTTTTCTTCAGCAGGGTCAGAGAAGTGTCAGAGTTGATGGTAAGATAGCTGGAGCCAAATACTGGGACACTATTGTGCTAGCCTGTTAAATATGTACATCATTACAATTCCCCAAAGATTAAATACATGGTGTGATCTTGAAAAAACAAAATTCACGAGTTAAAAGGGGCCAGTCCCAGTCCAGACCTACATTTAATCTAGAAACAGGCATGATCTAAATCTGAAAACTGACACAACTTTCGATTTCATTCATTCATATAATTTTCAACCCCTTTATTAGTCAATTTCTGGGTCGGGGGAGGGGTGAGTCCACATGAAGGCTGCTAGTGATGCCAGTGCCACAGCCTTTGTGTTTCAGCGGGAGCTTCAGGCAATGTGGGATTAAGTGTCTTGCCCAAGGGCAGCAGACGAGGGTTTGTGTCTTACTTTCAAACAGATCTAATACAGTTTGTTCACGATGAAGTTCATATAAACACACTTCCAATGCACTGTTGTAGAATGCCATTTCTTGACACTGAAGGCTGCAGAGAGCACTACCCACGTGCTGTTGGACACATGGTGGTGGAAAGGGCACGGTCACGGGAGTGGCTTATTACAAAAGGTTACATCTCCATCTCTCTCAGATACTATCCTACTCTAATGAGCACTTTGACTGACACTTCTCTTACTCCACTGCTTTGAAGCTCCCTGGACATGTGGATCCCACGGGAGCCCACCGCGGTGAAGTTAGTTTGAAGTTGGATATCCGACAGACATTCAACGGTCATTCCCTCTCGGTACACCTCTCCTTCTCTCTGGGTTCAGAGCGACTCGAAAGCCGCTCCAACATTTTAGTGCACCCCTACTACACACAGTACGGTAAACACGCGGAGACATGTACGCTGGTCTAATATTTACATATAAAAAATCATTAAAAATACTTACAACATTTTAATGATAAAAGAAGAGGTGTACCCCCTGCAGCTAGTGGAGGACTATGATCCTGACCTGATTTGGAGTCAATAGGTCACATGACCTGGAAGCTATTGAGCTAAAATGCTAATATTTGCATTTAAAAATTCATTAAAAATACTTAAAACATTTTAATGATAAAAGAAGAGGTGTACCCCCTACAGCTAGGGAGGACTATGATCCTGACCTGATTTGGAGTCAATAGATCACATGACCTAGAAGCTATTGAGCTAAAATGCTATTTTATTACATATACAAATTCATTAAAAATACTTGAAAAAACTTAAATGACAAAAAAGAGGTGTACCCCCTGCAGCTAGTGGAGGACTATGATCCTGACCTGATTTGGAGTCAATAGGTCACATGACCTGGAAGCTATTGAGCTAAAATGCTAATATTTGCCTTTAAAAATTCATTAAAAATTCTTTAAAAAAATTAAATGACAAAAAAGAGGTGTACCCCCTGCAGCTAGTGGAGGACTATGATCCTGACCTGATTTGGAGTCAATAGGTCACATGACCTGGAAGCTATTGAGCTAAAATGCTAATATTTGCCTTTAAAAATTCATTAAAAATACTTAAAACATTTTAATGATAAAAGAAGAGGTGTACCCCCTGCAGCTAGTGGAGGACTATGATCCTGACCTGATTTGGAGTCAATAGGTCACATGACCTGGAAGCTATTGAGCTAAAATGCTAATATTTACATATAAAAATTCATTAAAAATACTTAAAACACTTTAATGATAAAAGAAGAGGTGTACCCCCTGCAGCTAGTGGAGGACTATGATCCTGACCTGATTTGGAGTCAATAGGTCACATGACCTGGAAGCTATTGAGCTAAAATGCTAATATTTGCCTTTAAAAATTCATTAAAAATACTTAAAACATTTTAATGATAAAAGAAGAGGTGTACCTCCTGCAGCTAGTGGAGGACTATGATCCTGACCTGATTTGGAGTCAATTGATCACATGACCTGGAAGCTATTGAGCTAAAATGCTAATATTTGCATTTAAAAATTCATTAAAAATACTTAAAACATTTTAATGATAAAAGAAGAGGTGTACCTCCTGCAGCTAGTGGAGGACTATGATCCTGACCTGATTTGGAGTCAATAGATCACATGACCTAGAAGCTATTGAGCTAAAATGCTATTTTATTACATATAAAAATTCATTAAAAATACATAAAAAAAACTTAAATGACAAAAAAAGAGGTGTACCCTTTGCAGCTAGGGGAGGACTATGATCCTGACATGATTTGGAGTCAATTGATCACATGACCTGGAAGCTATTGAGCTAAAATGCTAATATTAGCCTTTAAAAATTCATTAAAAATACTTAAACGACAAAAAAAGAGGTGTACCCCTTGCAGCTAGTGGAGGATTATGATCCTAAACTGATTTGGAGTCAATAGATCACTTGACTTGGAAATATTTACATGTTAAATAAATATTTAGAGATTGAAAATGAAAAAAGTACTTGTACTATGCAGCTAGTGGAGTAACATGATGCAACACTAGTAGGGCTACCATGAGATGACTTTATTTTTTCATCAAGAATATATATTGAACATAGCCCTGTCCCTTGTTTCTCTTCTTCACTGGCATAACACACATGCCCAGCTCTTTTCCATTGCATCCTCCAAGTCCTTGCTTTCCAACGATACACAAGAATCATGGAACCACCTGTCACAGTCATCACACTGTATCTGTTCAATTGAAAACAAAAATAAGTAGTAGTTTTTTTCAGTTGTCATAAAATAAATCTTATTTGTACAATGGAGCTGAAGGGTCATCTAATTTTCTCTTTTATTTTCAGAGGCTATGAGAGTAAAGTCAGAATATTACAATATTACAAGATTAATCAAAATAAAAATATTATGAGATTAATCTCAAAATATTATGTGGTCCGGTTCGGAGACCACAGCCATGGGTTCTGGTTAGGAGGCCACAGCCAGGGACCGGAAGGGGTCTGGTTCGGGGACCACAGGATTTCATCTCTGCTGTTTGCGGACAATGTTAAGTAAGTAAAATAAGTAAGTGTAGGGTGACTACTTGTATTAGCTGATTATGATTACTTATTAGTATGAATTTGGTAGTGTGGGGCGGCTAGTCTCCGGAGCGGAAGCTCGCCGTTCCACCAACAGGTCTATGTTATTTATTTTGGGCACCAGCAGAGTTAGAAATCTGCACATAGACACCAACCAAATCTTTGCCTCGATATCAATCTATAATCTAAGGGTGTAGAATACGTTTTATCCGCCAGTGATAGTCCGAGATCTTAACAACACGACTCTGATAGGATTGAGTTAAAGAAAAGGGGTTTATTGATTACAAAGTGGGATAAAAATATAACGAAAAGGGGTTTCTGGTCACATTAAAAGCAGGAGTTTGTACACATTTCATTCGAATCACACATTTAACAAGAACAGTCTTACTTTGTAGGAGCGTAGAGGATGGAGAAAGGATTTGGGTTGGGAATCAGTCCACGTGGTTTCTTTGTCTGGGCAGGCGGGAGGTATGAAGCCAGCGAGTTGGTCCAGCTGCTGATCCACGCGTATACAGCCCAGTCCGGAATGGGTTGCGCGCGTAGAGTCCAGAGCCAAGAAAAAGAGGCTGGTGATGAACAGTTCATAAGGTCCCGAGCCAGAGGAGAGGGTTGTGTTGCGGAGTAGAAGGCCCGATGCGTGCAGGCGCGGCCGTAGTAGGAGACACGTACCGCGGGACGCAGATGGGCAGGGAGACTGAAATAGTGATTTCAGGAGAAGGCAAGAGAAAGTTTCTAGGTTTGCGGGTGCTTATATTGACTTCTGAAGGGGCGTGTCCATATCTTCCCTCTCTGTGGACAAACCCTTCACAACATATATTTGCAAAGGAAACACACAGGATTGGTGCAGATGATCATAACACATGTACAAACACACAGTGCATTTACATCACAGACATCAACACACGAGCAAGGTCCGTAACGTTATCGACATAATATTACAGAGTAATGTCCTTTTCGAGTTCCGCCTTGGGTGCAGTAGTGTCCAGTGTCCGCTAGGGGGCGCCAGAGCGCTGTGGGGGAATCTCAGGGTGTCCGGGGACAGGGATCCTGGGAGCGAGAGCAGGGTTGTGATCTTTGATCTCTACAGGCAGGCAGAGACAGAGGTGCTTATCCCCGTGGTGACTTTATTGCTCTTTTTGGCATCTGTAATCCCCATGATCAATGATAGTCCTCCGGCCGACCTCGCTGTTCCTTTGAAGCTGCAGTGGGACGTCTTCCTCCTTTGGTCGAATGTGTACACAACAGGGCCTGGCTCTGTTTTACGGCCCTGTCCCTTATTTAACCTTACATAAGTAATCTTTATTTATATACCGCCTTTCACAGACCAGAGTCAAAAAGCGGTTTACAAACATGTTCTCCTGTTGGCTTCAACAAACCAGGACGTGCAACATGCACAGGGACGGTTTGCAACCAAGTGTG